TTTGTTTTACACGTGGCAGTTACTCAGCGATTGCTTTAGTGGCCTCGATTTTCGAGTTTTCTATCTGGTAAGTGTTAGGTTCCACGTCATTTGATCAAAAAAACAGCTGTGAGTTTAACCACAGCCGTTAGATTGCCACATGAAAATGTTTTTTGTCTTTATGTAGACTCACGGAAATTACGGAATCCAGCTATATATAAGCCTGAAATTAATTAGGGTTTATAAGCCAAAACTCGGTCGAGAATCTATATTAATTCAAGTTCAACTATGAAAATAGGTTGATTAAGAAATCTAAATTATTATTTTTTATTTAAATTATGAGAGTCAAATCTACTGCAGCGGTTGGTGAAGAAGGACGGTGGGGTCGTAAGTCAACGTACGTAATGGTGGTCGGTCAAGAGTTTATTATAAGCAAGAGAAATTATCATAGGAAACAAGTTAGATAGTCCATTTAGAACGATAATGATGTAAATAATATTTTAGATAGATGTCCTTAATTATATCTTAAATGAAACTTACGAATATCTAAGCAAACACAAAGATATGATTAGTTTTCTCCTTCGCAGTACTAATTGGTAAATGTTCCACACTAAATATTGAACAACAACTTTTTCTATAGTGGAATTGTGATTGGCACTAGCATTAAGTTATAATTTCACATAGTTTCTTAAGTTCAAATGATAAAATAAGTTATATAATTTCACGTAGATTGTACGCACACATTTTGTTTACATGCTTTAACGTGTTGCATGCTAAATCTTTATATATTATATAGACTATATATGGTATACAAGATTCGTGCCTACCTTGGAACAAAAGAGGCAAATGCCTCCTAATGGCCCAAATTATATATTATGTTTAGAGGATCCCAATTCAAAATATTACTCGTAGTATTTTGGTTCAACTATACTTCTCTTCGAGGTTCGAGCCTTCGTCGCTACTTTGAAACAAACTTTCGCATTTAAAGAATATTATTTTTACTTCCTAATTATTTTATTAAATTTGTAAGTTGAACTTATCAATCCTATTAAAAGAAACTGAGAAAGTTGCCGACGGTTGTTCAATCGTTTATGTTTTCCTCCGCCACGATTCCGGATTTGGGCAAAGTCTCTTTGAGAAGTCTCAAGGCTTGGTTGTGGGTTCGTATGGGACATACGACATACCAAAATATTTGGGCCTATATGAGTTATTTTGGTTATGACTACTACATATGGGCCTAGATAAATCTCAATAAAAAAACACAAGTTCCGTCAATGAGATTTATGGCCATAGATCACATATTTGCAATTGCATAAGAGAAAAAATAATAATTCAAAAATATTAATCAATACTCGAAATTTTATCAAACTCTTGTTATCAGAAAAAAAAAAAAAAAAACTTGGGTCAAGGCTAAAGAATTATCTTGGATTTTGTCAAAAAAAGAGTTAGGCCATGTTCTTTTAGGTGTCGCAGCGTTTGATTCCAGCGACCACCAAATGTAAAGGAAAAGAGAGATAAATGTGTTATAAAGGTGGGTCCCTCTCCAATTAAAGCTTTCAGCGACTGCAAATTAGGAAGGGATGAAGATCGCTGGATTTTCCGGCGACACCTGCGATTAAACTTTTCTTTGAATTTTTCAGTCGCTGCCTCCACACCAGCGATTGTGGAGAAGAAAACTAGAAGAAATGAAGAGAAATTCCAGTCGCTCAAGTTAATCGCAGCGATACGTAAAAGAACATGGCCTTACTAATATTTTGCCATTTTAGTTACCTTATAACAGTTAACATAGAGTTTTAAAAACATATAAAAGGTAAACATTGTGTCAAAATCTAATTAACAAACTACCATAACCACTCTTTTATCTTTCTTTTGTAGACTTGTAATGTACATGTACAAGAGAAGATTGTATAAATCTATGAGCCTTATATTATATAAAGCCCATTTTCTCCAATATTGGTTTTGTTGGGCTAATTAAGTTCCAATGGAAGCCTGAAAAATGTGAACATCATAACGGTGAAGTGCACTCTAAGGACTGTGCGTTCGAAAACAGCATGAAACTATCTTCACAAAAATATTATTAACAAAAAAATCATAGAAAAATAATAAAGACAGAGAGGATGAGAGTTATATAAGAAGTTTGACTAAATAAGTTTGCAGCTTTGACCAGCCCACCTTCTCCCACCGACTGCCAACCCATCCGTCAATATTTCTTCTATCTTCATTTCCTCACAAATCCCTTCATTTCAAATTTATATAGTTTTCTACTCGTAGTATGGTCTAAATACTCTAAACTAAATTAAATGGTAGAAACTAAATTAAATTTACTTGAATTTGTAAATTATATTCATACTTTCGCAATGTTGTAATCGAATTCAAATATGATCATATTACATAATCATTTTCTTTTTCCTAAACTACATATTACATAATCATAGATTTACATTTTTAGGAATTGCCCATCATTATTGCGTATGTTCAAAATTATATCATATGTTGTAAGTAATACATTGTTGTTATGATGTATACCATAGACTTTATGAAAACATTTATAACTTGTAATGTATCTTAAAATAATTATTTTGACATCGTTTTCCAACCATATAGACGTCTTTAACGTAAGAAATTTGACTTTCTATGTGTTTGAAAATTAGTCCGGTTTACAAATTGATCTTTGGTTATAATTTTTAATGATAATAAAATTAAAATAATGTATGTGTTTTACCAAGGATAAACCGAGGTTAAAAAAATAAAAATCAGATATAGACAAGTTCAATGGCCAAACTAACGGACACATAACAATAATTTAGTTGGAATGCTTGAAGAAATGGCAAGAATATGCTTCAAGAGGTTATGATTTATGAAAGGGTTACCTCTTAATTTTTTCATTTCTTTTGCCGACGGTTAGCTGTTAGTTAGGAAAAAGAATTTTAATTTTAGGGTTTTCTCTCTTCCCTTTCGTACGAACCCAATCATTATTCTCTTCTTTATACTTAGCTTTGCCTCTCATTTTCATGTTATCATCACATTAATTTTTCGTTAAATAATATATCGTCAATGAAAATGTTATGCAAATTATTAGTTCTTCTTCTTCATTCTCTGCCTTGGCTCGAACCTCAATCACATGGTGCACGTTATTGTGATTTCCAATACCTCAAGAGTTATTCAAGATCCCTACAAAAATATAATTTAATCTTTTATCTAGTGTAGTTTTCTTCATTATTCACTTAAAAACATTATGTTATCTACAAAATATAGACAAAAAGCTTCTTGAGTGAGACCGCTTTTGCTCCGATTCATTTTGCTATACTCCAATAGTATTACTACAGTATATAACAAGAATCGTGGGATTTGTTTAATCCGTACAATGAAACAATAAAGATATACTTCAATAACTTAATCATTTCTATCGAAAATAAACTATCTATATTCTTGTCTCATTGAAATAGTGCAATGATAATAAACGTAAATTATGATTCTATATAAAAGAAATAGTATAAACTTACAAAATCGCACAATGGTTTCTCAATTTTGCAAGGTTCATTCACGTTTACATTTTTTTTCTCTGCAAACCGAGTGTAGTATATGAAACATTTAAATCTGGTTGCTGTTGTATATACGACTGGATAATACTTATATCGACATTTAAATTATTGAGCGTCAAGATAATTCACAATATTTTGTAATGTAAATCCATACAGCAAAAAGTATGTATGTCCCATGCATAATTGAACAAAAAGAAATTATATTAATATTTTTTTGTTGTCTTCTGCAAATGCTAGTACTGCTATCATTATCATCATTGATTTTAATATTGATGTTTCCAGAAAAAAATAAATAAACAAATATAAAGAAAATAACAAACACAATAAGTAAAGCTACACTATTAGGTCATAATTAAAGCTCATTTCAAGTCTAAAATTTAATTATAAAATAAAAAACATTAAAAAGTTAAGACCAAAGAAACATAAATGCTTTTATCTTTCATCAATGTCAAAAAAGAAGTTTTCCCACCAAATGGTCAAACTTGGATCTTTGACAATTTTGTTTAGTTCATCATCATGCTCTAACTTTTCTTTATATAAATTCCTTAGATGTGTTTTTTTTTTTTTATAACTTTAAACCTATTTGTGCATACATGTAGATGTTTTACACCAAAAAATCTGGGGTATGTTTAATTGCAGTTAACTAAATTTTTGGATTTTTTTTAAAAAATTGGATTTGGAACGATAAGTCTTTTTCATAAAATAATGCGATATATGAGTACAAATTAAAATGTAAAATGATATACTGATTTCAAAAAGCATATTATATTTATAATTTCATACATATTATCAATCAAACTAATCTTTGAATAATTTTACAAAGAAATAATGAATGATAATTAGTTCTAATTGGTAATCCGTATTATTATGGTATATGTGTATCGTAAAATTAATAACAAAAATAACATTTAGTATTATTTTCTAATTTTAAATTTGTACTCTTTTTAACTATTTTGATATCGTTAAACTATTACTTATTTTTTTGGAGATTGTATAATTTTGTGTCAGTTACATTCATTTGATTAAGTAATACAACAAAGATAATAAAACATTCAGTTTTTATAATTATGAAAATGAGACATTGACAATTCTAGCATCTAACATTTGATGAGATACATGAAATGTCAATTAAAACCTTTAACCAAACGATTAACAGGGATTCAAATTTGACCGACAAGAACATGATGCTCCTTTGATCACGAAATTTCCACAAAGAGTCCGTGTCTGCGTAATTAACCAACAATTCCAAGGGTATTTACGTAATTTTACCTTAACGAACAAAAAAATTAATTAAAGAAAAAAAACACGAAAGAAGATGGCGAAGAAAACGGAAAGTAGAGAGATAAAGAAAAGAGATAATATAGGAGCGAGAAAGAGAACGAGAAGAGCTGGATTCACATGGTCTTGTTCTTTCTCTCTCTCTCTTCTTCTTTTCTCATCTTGCGGCTTCTCTCTCTCTCTTTCCACAATGATCATTACCAACCAAACTGATTGAAACTCATTTGTTCTCTCTCTCTCTCTCTCAAATCCACTCTCTCTCTTTCTCTTCTCCTCTCTGTGTCTCCATCGCCATGGCTGATGATAAGGTAAAGCTACTTGTGTTCCTTTTGCTCTCTTTTAGAGAAGAAGATCCTGTTTTTTGTTTTTCCACATTTGACCCTTCAAATTATTGGTCGGAGAGTCTTGTTCTTATACATGTATCTAGTTTAGTTAGTACTCTTGAAGTTGAAGGGTTTTTGAGTTCTGGGTTTGTCTAAAGTTTTGAGCTTTGGTTTACTTTTTGAGTTACCTTGAGATCTCTGAGCTCCAGACATGGTTGCTCAAGAGTTTTGAGTTCTGTGACAAAATCTGATTTGTATCTCTGTTTATTGTGTGAATTAGCTCTGTTTGGACGATCCATGTCTATATGTCTCGATCTTTGATTAATCCAGAGTTTGTACAAGTTGTTAGATCCAGAATTGAACATAGATTCATTCTTGTTTTGTTTGTTTATATGTTTTTGTTTTGTTTACCTCTCTTTTGGCGTGACAAAAGTATATATATTTTTACTAAATTAGATTCACTCTGCGTAACGGCTATTTCTTAACCACTCTTTTAGGATAAAAGTTTCCTTCTTTAGGCTTTTGATTCTCAGACAAGCATTATGCTTTTAGCTTTTGATAATGGTTACTTGTGTTGTTTTACTGATCTTAAAGCTTGTCTCTTTCAGGAGATGCCTGCTGCTGTAGTTGATGGACATGATCAAGTCACTGGTCATATAATTTCCACCACAATCGGTGGCAAAAATGGTGAACCAAAACAGGTATGTTTAAGGCTTTTAACCTAATAGGCTCACTTTTATGTATATGCAAGAGTTGATTCTAACCATATTATTTTTCTATGTTTTTGTTAGACAATTAGTTACATGGCGGAGCGAGTTGTTGGTACAGGCTCGTTCGGAATAGTTTTCCAAGCGAAGTGTTTGGAGACTGGAGAAACTGTGGCGATAAAGAAGGTTTTGCAAGACAGAAGATACAAGAACAGAGAACTTCAGTTGATGCGTGTGATGGATCATCCGAATGTTGTTTGTTTGAAGCATTGCTTCTTTTCGACAACAAGTAAAGACGAGCTTTTCCTGAATTTGGTTATGGAGTATGTCCCTGAGAGCTTGTATCGAGTTCTGAAACATTATAGCAGTGCTAACCAAAGAATGCCTCTCGTCTATGTTAAACTTTACATGTACCAGGTAACAACAACACACTTTGACATCTTCTGTTTACAAAGTTGATGTACATAAAATTGTTGTATGCTGATATTAAGTCCTTTTGTTATGTCAGATCTTCCGGGGGCTTGCTTACATTCACAATGTTGCTGGAGTTTGTCACAGAGATCTAAAGCCTCAAAATCTTCTGGTATGTGTTACATTTTAAGATTGAACTCTTTATTTTTGCCTTGTTTCTCTCTTTGTTAATATATCTCTTCTGGTCTCTTTCAACAGGTTGATCCTCTTACTCACCAAGTCAAGATCTGTGACTTTGGCAGTGCGAAACAGCTTGTAAGACTTTGAGACCTATAAACTCTTTCGACTTGTAGCGTTTGTTGATTTATTTACTGTTGAAATTTGCTTTTGCTTCAGGTTAAAGGTGAAGCCAACATTTCTTACATCTGTTCACGATTCTACCGTGCACCCGAACTCATATTTGGTGCCACTGAGTACACAACTTCGATTGATATCTGGTCTGCTGGTTGTGTTCTTGCCGAGCTTCTTCTCGGTCAGGTAAACAATTTTTCCAGTAACCAGCTTCTTTAATCTCCATGTGTATTCGCAGTAGGACACATTGTGACGATATCATGTTCTTATGCAGCCATTATTTCCCGGAGAAAATGCTGTGGATCAGCTCGTTGAAATTATAAAAGTAAGAATCTTTAACAATGATATTTTGCAAATTACATTCATTGGTTACAAAATCCTCACTGTATGACGTTGTTGGAAACAGGTTCTTGGTACACCAACTCGAGAAGAAATCCGTTGTATGAATCCACATTACACAGATTTTAGGTTTCCACAGATAAAGGCACATCCGTGGCACAAGGTTTGTGCCTTTTCTGTTTTACATATATTCTTGTTTCACTTTCTACTTCACACATTAACATAATCATATTCACATTTTGATTTTAGATCTTCCACAAAAGGATGCCTCCAGAAGCGATTGATTTTGCATCGAGGCTGCTTCAATACTCTCCAAGTCTTAGATGCACAGCGGTGAGCATTGTTCTTGAAAATGTTTCTGTCTTTATTCTCCAAGTATCTAATTGAAAGCTTAATATATTTTCATTTTATGCGTATTTTCAGCTCGAAGCTTGTGCACATCCGTTCTTTGATGAACTCAGAGAACCAAACGCTCGTTTACCAAATGGACGACCTTTCCCGCCTCTCTTCAACTTCAAACAAGAAGTAGCTGGAGCATCACCTGAACTGGTCAACAAGTTGATTCCAGACCATATCAAGAGACAATTGGGTCTAAGTTTCTTGAATCAATCTGGAACATAAAAGGATCCTACAAAAGACAACAACCTTTTTTTATATATAATGTACCATTACACGAGCCACAAGGTCGTAGTTGAAGGCAACGTGGAGGACGCAATTCGAAGTTTTTCCTCCGCAAACTCGTTCAGACAAGCCAGCTGCTTAGCAAACCAACTTCCCCAAATCTGCAAAAACAAAAACTCTCCAGTTGTATCTGCTTATTTCTCTCTTCTTTTATAAGTTTGGTGAAAAACACAATCTACTCTTTGCTTATTTTCTTCTTTCTTTCCCCATATGTAAATGAGTTTAGTCAGAAGTTTTTATATAGTAAAGTTTGAGCAGAAGGTGAAGAATCTTACTCAAAGTGATACCAAAGTGTTTCATAAGTCTACCAGAAGAGGAAAGGTTGGAGCTTCTGCAGTTTAAGGGGTCTTTGTTTTTTTTTTGTTTCCTACTTTTGAATGTGTTTGTCTTCTATTATTACCAAATTTTATGAAATGGTTTGTTTATAACTCATTTTCTTACAAATGCAAAATCTTCATGCTTTTTTGTATTCATTGTCCTTAGTCCTTACCATCTTCATCAAAGTTAGCTGAAAGTGAAAAAAATGATTCAAATGAGCTTAATATTTTGGTTAACTTTGTATAATTGCATGAGAAGACAACAATCCGTTGTAGTCTAGCTGGTCAGGATACTCGGCTCTCACCCGAGAGACCCGGGTTCGAGTCCCGGCAACGGAGATCTTTTTTTATTCGTACTCTAAGTAAGGGGTATTTTCGTCATTAACTTCGAGAAAGAAACCCTAGTGTCTTTCATATAATTAGCACACTACGCAGCCGACGCAAATCGTCTGCCACTCTTTTTACTCATCTCCCTCGATTTCGAACCCCTAACCCTGAGATGGTAAAGCTTCATTTTTTTGATCCATGGATTGCTTTATTTGTTAAGTTTGATTTTGTATTTGAGATTTAATTGTGTATTTACGTGATGCAGGCGTCGGAGAAGAAGCTCTCGAACCCTATGAGGGATATTAAGGTTCAGAAGCTCGTTCTTAACATCTCTGTTGGTGAGAGTGGTGATCGTCTCACTCGTGCCTCCAAGGTTCGTTCTTTATTTCCCCTTAAGAGTACGCACTTACTAGGAATAATGCAAACAATGGAAAAAAATTGAGACTTTACGTTTTAGCTACTTTGAAAATGGTTTAGTTCATAGATGGCACTGAGGGATTGGAATTGAAATTTTTGGTTATTGTAGGTGTTGGAACAGCTCAGTGGTCAAACCCCTGTCTTCTCTAAGGGTATGTGAATATGTATTCATGTAGAATCTCTTATATGTTTTAGAGATTGTAGAGCTCTATTTTAGTGTGGTCTTGATTGTAAACAGCGAGGTACACTGTGAGGTCTTTCGGTATCAGGCGTAATGAAAAGATTGCGTGCTACGTCACTGTTAGAGGCGAGAAGGCAATGCAGCTTCTTGAGAGTGGCTTGAAAGTGAAGGAATACGAGCTGTTGAGGAGGAACTTCAGTGACACTGGCTGCTTTGGATTCGGTATCCAGGAGCACATTGATCTTGGAATCAAGTAAGTGATAAGGACATAGAGGCTGATTTAGTAATACAAATTTGATTATGAGGGGGAGTGTTCTTATCTTTCTGCATTTCTTTCTTAGGTATGATCCTTCTACCGGTATCTACGGTATGGATTTCTACGTTGTTCTTGAACGCCCGGGATACCGTGTTGCCCGTCGCCGTAGATGCAAGGCTCGTGTTGGTATTCAACATAGAGTTACCAAGGATGATGCCATGAAGTGGTTCCAAGTTAAGTATGAAGGAGTTATCCTCAACAAGTCTCAGAACATCACTGGTTGAAGAGTTTTTGTCATTTTGTTTTGTGGTGTTAGCTCTGTTTCAAGTTGTTACGATTCTGGATAGTAAGGATTTTCTTGTTGTGGTAACCTTTTTGACTTCAGTTGGTTAAGAATCTTCAAGTACCTTCTAAATATGAACCGTTTTTGGGAGTTTTTTGTTACCAATTCTAAACTTTTTCAGAATTTAGTTTGACCACAGGCTAGAAATGGAGATAACCAAACTTTTACAAGGTTGAGATTCTTGAAAATGTATTAACTCCACATGAATAACTGTGTGGATATAACAATTTCAAGCCGTATCTGTTATCTGGTTTCCATGTCTGGGAGAATGTGGACTCTGAAATCACAATCAGGACGATCTGATCAGCTCTATAAGCTCACTCTTCCTCAACTTTGAGTATCCTTTGATTCCTCTGTTCTTTGCAACTTCTTTGAGCTCTGCAAGTTTCATAGTTTCTATCAATGAAGCTTTCTCTTCCTTGTTTGTCAATTCTCCTAAAGCTTTATCGCTGTTTGATACTGGAAGCTTACCTCTTGGACCTGAGGCAGAAGGTATAGAGGTTTTCTTGGCGAGATTTGTCGGTGATCGAGGAACCTCTACTTGTCCCTTTGGTAGCTCCTTCTTCATACTAGTATCTCCTACAGTTGCAGAGTTGATTATATTAACAAATGGCAAGAACATGGATTTGGGATTTGATCAAGTATCACTGATTACCCTCAGTTTTCTTTCTTGATTTCTCAAGAACGTCAAGAATAGCTTTGGTCAGCGGCTTTTCCTTAGAAGACTCATCGCTGTTAATCTTTTCCTCAATTCCCCGAGACTCTCCTTTAGAGATCGAAGATTGAATACGTCTCAAGAGAGAAATGATCTCTTCTTGGTTCAATTTACTCGGGTTTGATGTTCGCCTATCAGACGGTTTATTGCAACAAACATATCCTTTCTTGGATCTCCCTATTGAAGAAAAAGAAGAACCACCTTTCTCTTGAAACCAAATTCTTCTATTGCCATTAATTGTTGTTCTTGAAAGACTCTGCTCAAACCGCAACGCGAACGGCAGTGAAGGTGTATCTAAAATCTGTCTAAGTTCAGTTAGCTGCACAGAAAAAATGGTTTTGGCAGCTACCAAAACTCTCTGACTTTAGCAAGATTCGGTTACCTCGAACAGGAAGATGACTGGCTGATTTAGCTCTCCTGAATCCTTGGCTGATCGACGGGTAAGCACAAGGACAATGAAGAGCCAAGTCCATAGCTTTAATTCCTGGCTTCACCTGAAAATCAGAGATTCTTTCTCACTCAATTTGGCCTCTTTTTTCACAAGCAAGTCCCAACCAAAAAAAAAGACAAAACTTTATTCCCGAAAAATCCCACCTTTATATATTGGGGTCCAATTACAGCTACGCAGAAATTTGTGGACCGTAAATGGCTAAACTTTGAAGTTTTTGGAACATCGCTCTCAAGTCAAGTGAGCTCTGATTTTCACTAAGAGACTTAAATCTGCGGAAACAACTTTTACTATAAGATAGGATTTTTCTTACAGAAGCATTACAATTTTCCCGCGCTTTTCTCCTTTGATGAGTAGACGAAGATAAGAGAAATGGCGATGTTGGTGACGAATTTGTCTTCTTCAAGCTTCAGTTTCTTTCCCTCTCCTCATTTCCAAACCCACAAGGAAATCAGAAGCGACGTTAGAGTTCGAAAAGATGTGATTTTTAACAGAGCCTCGTTGAGAACAGTATCAGATCGTGCTGATTCGATTACAACGTTTGATCGAAGCGTAACGGATGCAAACACTCGATTACGGAGATTCTGCGAAGCAGGTAATCTAGAGAACGCCGTGAAGCTTCTTCGTGTATCTGGAAAATGGGATATTGATCCGAGAACTTTATGCTCTGTTCTTCAACTCTGTGCTGATTCAAAATCTCTGGAAGATGGTAAAGAAGTTGATAACTTTATTCGTGGTAATGGGTTTGTGATAGATTCGAATTTGGGATCGAAACTAGCGCTTATGTATACAAATTGTGGAGATTTGAAAGAAGCGAGTAGAGTTTTTGATCAAGTTAAGATCGAGAAAGCTTTGTTCTGGAATATTTTGATGAATGAGCTTGCAAAGTCTGGTGATTTTAGTGGGAGTATTGGATTATTTAAGAAGATGATGAGTTCTGGTGTTGAAATGGATAGTTATACTTTTTCTTGTATTTCAAAGAGTTTTTCGTCTTTGCAAAGTGTTAATGGAGGAGAGCAGCTTCATGGGTATATTCTGAAATCAGGTTTTGGAGAAAGGAACTCTGTTGGGAATTCTCTGGTGGCGTTTTATTTGAAGAATCAGAGAGTTGATAGTGCACGTAAGGTGTTTGATGAAATGACTGAGAGAGATGTTATATCTTGGAATTCTATTATTAATGGGTATGTATCAAACGGATTTGCTGAGAAAGGGCTATCTGTTTTCGTGCAGATGTTGTTTTCTGGGATTGAGATTGATTTGGCTACTATAGTTAGTGTTTTTGCTGGCTGTGCTGATTCTCGTTTGATCTCCTTAGGTAGAGCTGTCCACAGTTTTGGAGTGAAAGCTTGTTTTAGTAGAGAGGATCGGTTTTGTAATACATTGCTTGATATGTATTCGAAATGTGGTGATCTAGACTCTGCTAAAGCTGTGTTTAGAGAGATGAGTGGTCGAAGTGTTGTGTCGTATACTTCCATGATTGCTGGTTATGCTAGGGAAGGTTTGGCTGGTGAAGCTGTGAAGTTATTTGAAGAAATGGAGGAAGAAGGTATTAGCCCTGATGTTTATACCGTGACTGCGGTTTTAAACTGCTGTGCCCGTAATCGGTTGTTAGACGAAGGCAAGCGTGTGCATGAGTGGATAAAGGTAAACAATATGGGATTTGATATCTTTGTATCGAATGCTCTGATGGATATGTATGCGAAATGTGGAAGCATGCGAGAGGCAGAGCTAGTGTTCTCTGAGATGCGTGTGAAAGATATTATCTCGTGGAACACCGTTATTGGTGGGTACTCAAAGAATTGTTACGCCAACGAAGCTCTAAGCCTGTTCAATTTGCTGTTGGAGGAAAAGCGATTCAGTCCTGATGAGAGAACAGTGGCATGCGTTCTTCCGGCTTGTGCAAGTCTTTCTGCTTTCGATAAAGGAAGAGAGATCCACGGTTACATCATGAGAAACGGGTATTTCTCAGATCGGCATGTTGCTAATTCGCTTGTAGACATGTACGCGAAATGTGGAGCGTTGTTACTCGCACGTATGCTCTTTGATGATATTGCTTCCAAGGATCTTGTTTCTTGGACAGTGATGATAGCTGGATATGGGATGCATGGGTTTGGAAAAGAGGCGATTGCTCTTTTCAATCAAATGAGACAAGCGGGTATTGAGCCTGACGAAATATCCTTTGTATCTTTGTTGTATGCTTGTAGCCATTCAGGACTAGTGGATGAAGGATGGAGATTCTTTAACATCATGAGACATGAATGCAAGATCGAGCCAACAGTAGAACATTATGCCTGTATAGTCGACATGCTTGCAAGAACCGGAGATTTATCAAAAGCTTATAGGTTCATCGAGAACATGCCAATTCCACCAGATGCTACTATCTGGGGAGCTTTGTTGTGTGGATGTAGGATACATCATGATGTTAAGCTAGCTGAGAGAGTCGCAGAGAAAGTCTTCGAGCTTGAACCAGAGAACACAGGATATTATGTACTCATGGCGAATATCTACGCAGAAGCTGAGAAATGGGAAGAAGTGAAAAGGCTAAGAAAGAGAATAGGGCAACGCGGATTGAGGAAGAATCCGGGATGTAGCTGGATAGAGATAAAGGGTAGAGTTAACATCTTTGTTGCTGGAGATAGTTCAAATTCAGAAACCGAAAAGATTGAAGCTTTCTTGAGGGGGGTAAGAGCTAGAATGATAGAAGAAGGGTATTCGCCGCTGACTAAATACGCTTTAATTGATGCGGAAGAGATGGAAAAAGAAGAAGCTTTGTGTGGTCATAGTGAGAAATTGGCAATGGCTTTAGGGATTATTAGCTCTGGACATGGAAAGATCATTAGAGTTACCAAGAATCTAAGAGTTTGTGGAGATTGTCATGAAATGGCTAAGTTCATGTCTAAGTTAACCAGAAGAGAGATTGTCCTAAGAGATTCAAACCGGTTTCACCAATTTAAAGATGGACATTGTTCTTGCAGAGGTTTCTGGTGAACACTGAACTGTTTCATGTATTGGACATTGTTCTCACCAGGACCTGTTTACGCTTGGAACGGTCCTGATGTAATCATTGAAATTGAATCAATTAGAACATGAACAGGTCATGATAGTATCATTGCTTCAAAGGGAAACATAACCACCATTTTTCATTTACTCAATTACTTTATTCATTCAAGTGTTTGTTAGAACTTTTCAATCATTTTCGTCAAGGTCCTAACCAATGGCACGTTTTATATTTTTGGACCAATTGAACCATGTTCAAGCGCATGTGCAGTATTACATAAACACAACTCATGAAGGAACAATGTTTGTTGAAGAAAATAATTGATAAGAATAATTCAATAATTATTACAAAATAATCCTTTAACCACCACATACACTTAAAAATTACAACAATATCTGAAAATAAATTAAGAATAAACTACTAAATTAAAGTATTAAACCCACTCAAATGTGAAATCAAAGTAAAATAGGTGTAAAAAATAGCCAAATTAAAAAAAAAAAAACTTAACCGGGATTGGTGTGGAGAACCGGTTCGGTTATTCTCCAAAAAAAATCACTATCCTCTTCTTCATTCATCAAAGAACCCTAATCTCACTCTCAAAGATTAGGTCTTTTTTTTGCTTTTTTCTGTATACAAATTTCTTGGAATCAACCACACCATTTAGCGAGAAGGATCATGAAGATGATCAAGAACACAAGCGAAGAAAGTCCAATAGCAACACCAAGCACAACTTTATTAGGACCATGATGTTCTTCTTTCTTCTTCTCACTAGTATCATCTTCATTACCATAATCATAATCTGAATTCGAATCTTCTTTCTGAGGCGGTGGAGACAAAGGCAAACCATGTTTATCACACTGAGCAATACCCAATTTCATCTTCGATGACAAAACACTATGGTTGTAACAAAGATCACTGTTTCCACCGATTTTGAACACTTCAAGTTTCTTGATAAAGCTAGCATTGAATGGTAGAACTCCATGGAAGGCATTGTTAGCTAGATTCAAGTGTGTGAGATACTTCATCTTGGAGATGAATCTCGGAACGGTGCCGTTTAGTTGGTTCCCACTCAGATCTAAGTGTGTAAGCTCTGGAATCGAGGAGATTGAATCTGGGATTGGTCCTGATAGCTTGTTGGAGGATAAAGATAGGTTTTTTAGTGAGATTAGGTCGCCGATTGAATCGGGTATGTCGCCGGAGATGGAGTTTTTGGATAAATTTAGAGACTTTAGGTTTGAGAGCAGAGTAATTGAAGTGGGTATTGAGCCTTTGATCAAGTTATCTGATAAATCGATGAATGTGAGATTTGAGTGGAAAGATTTAGGTATGTTTCCGGAGAGATTTGCGTGAGAGATTGTCAAAGAGACGATCTTGTGCATATTTCCGAGGATAACGAAGAGACCAGAGGTTGAGACTGGAACAGAGGAGACTGTGAGGTCAGTGAGGTTAACGAGACGAGCTAGGAAGACTCCGGAGAGGCCATTACGGTGGCGGAGGAAGGAGGAGACGGCGGAGAAGGAGTGGAGTGAGTCAGGGAGACGTGGAGGTGGTGAGAGAGATGGGCAGTTGAGGAAAGAGAGAGAGGTTAGAGATGGTGAGAGAGCTCTGAGAGCTGTTGTGGAGATGGAGAGATCGGTGGAGCAATTTGTGAAGGAGATGGAAGTGACGAGACGAAATGGGGAGCTGGTGTCGCAGGTTACGACGGAGGAGGAGGTGGATTTGGTGGTGGGACGGTGGTTGCAAGGATCTTTGACGGTGGGGATGTTGAGAGATTCGAGGGCTTTGAGTTGTTTTGGGTCTAATGGGGAAGAGGAGGAGGAAGGTTTGTGAGGTGGAATGGGAGAGATGGTTGGAGATGGAGTTGGAGAGAGTGAAGGAGCGGCGGAGATAGTGGCTGAGAGGTGGAGGAGAAGGAGGAGTAACGGTAACGACGGAGGTTTCATGGTGAAGAAAGAGAGAGAGATTGAGAAAGAGAAGGATTGTGTCAGAGAAAGTAAAAGAGAGAAAGTAAAAGAGAGAAAGAAGAGAAAGATTGGATTTTTCAAAGATGGGTCATGTGACAGTTGGGGTTTGTATACTTTTAGGCTTCTGTTTTTGGTTTAATTACGATATTGACCTTCTTCTAATCTTCTTCTTTTCCATACATTGAACTTTTATTTTGTTGCATTTAGTATTAAACATTTAAACTATGGTTTTTTCTTGGCTTTTTAGTTCAACTTTGGTTGTTGTGGATAGGGATTCTTTTGTTGTTTTTGTGCTATGTGTAACCATTTTAGAAATTTTGACAAATGTAAACGGAACTCAGGAAAAAAAAAGATTGTTTGAGGTATATGAAAAGAATAATAAAAGAAAAAGTGTGGAATGTGTGGTTTGTACAATTGTAATTTTTGTAGTATAAACGATGAAATAAATTATTTAAGAAAATCGTTTGAATATTCAAAATGTTTATCCTATACTATTATTTGGGGAGTACACTTTATAAGATACCCTTAACTAACATTCCCTTTTGTAAGAATTTACTTAAGAATGCCATTACAAAAATCTTCTTTTAGAACAAATTTCATTCAATTTATTAAGGATAAACAAGTAAAATATTAATTGATGTCATTTAATTAATTTATCAAACGAAAATCTGTTATTTTTTTTTTTTTAAATGACCAATCAAAATGAACATATAAGATTTGATATCTAACTTACCATATTAATTGTTATTAATCATTAAACTTCACCTCTCATCTTTATATGATTATATTAATATGAAAAAAAAAATTATCATATCATCTACATAATAAAAAAAAAAGTAAATTTTTTCTGCATATGCCAAGATTTGAATTTTTAAAAACGCATATAAATTGTTCAATCTATAAAGGAAATAATTAAACGGGTCAAAAATTCAGACTTGAGTAATATATTTTTTTTACACAAAAATAAAGTCAACAAAAATTCCGACTGAGCAACGGGTCAGAATTTGAATATTTATATTCGATTTCATACATTTATTTTTTTGAAATGTATAATTTTATATACTACAATAAAAATTTAAATATTTTAATTTGCAACATTTAAAATAAGTTTTACTTGATATTTTTAGAGAATATCATCAATACTTAATAGTTGAAAAAGTTAAAAATTATAAATACTATAATTTGATTATTTTTAAAAATATTTATAATAGGTAGCGGGTTAAATATAATATATTATATGATGAAATGAGTTTTGATCCTTATAACTATTTGAATAGTTATATTTAATTTCATATAATTTGTTTTTTGAAATTCATAATTTTATAAACTACAAAAAAATTTAAAGATTTTAATTTGGAATATTTAAAAATAGTGTAGAACATTTAAATATGGTTTGACACCTCTAAATATTTGAAAATTTGATTCCGCAAGCAATTTTAGAATTAACGAATAATAGATTGTGCACGCAATATTTTAAAATGAAATATTGAGATTCTAAAATAAAAATATAGATTTCACGCACGGGTTGATTTTGGTATTATTATATACTAAATATATGTTTATAACATATTCGATTATGCGAATAATTGGTAAATTCCGTAATTATAAATCTCAAACAAATTCTGTAATTAGATTAGCTCAAACAAATCTCTATTTCAACAACCAAAGAATTATGAATTGAAAAAGAATTTTCTAAATTAATTCAAAATAATACCTAATTTTCTTAATTAATTCAAAATAATCTATGTTTTATATGCGATTTATTTATGATATTTTAATTTTTGATCTAACTGAAATATATGCAATCCTATTTTGTGGTTGTCAACATAAATTAACTCATTGTTCAAAAAATATTACTTTTTAAAAAATAAAATTATTTTCCGTTTTCATATCTTAAAAAAAAAAAGTATCCATAATTGAGTATTATAGAAAAAAATCTATATTTATTCTAATATTGTATATAGGGACTGACAAAAAATTAATATTTTTTCACTTACTATTATAATATATTAAAACTTAGTTCTAATATATATATATTATATAAATTTTGTAATAAATAAAATTCAAACCGTACTTTAGTACGGGTGATGATCTAGTTAATTAAGTATGGTGGTTAACAAACTTTTAAAACTCATTATTCGGCTAGTACCAACCATAATTATTTACTTGCTTTGCATTTCCTCTATTTCATTGTAAGTGATTTGTAACCATTCAAAACTCTCTATAAAGAAGAGTATAAATAAGGTATATTACCAAATGTTATTTCACTCGAATGATATTATGCTCTGCTTTGGATTGGATCGTGTAATCTAAGACTCCATTGATTTTACTTTTGTAAAAGAGAGAAAGTTCATCGATATTAGCATAAGTCCAGTCCTTATACATTGAGGTGGGGACAAGAAGAATATCATAGGAATCATCTTTTATTTTGTAACCCCCATACATGAATTAATAAAGGTCTTGTAAAAAGTTTTCGGACAGAACTCAGAATTAGGCAGAAAAAGAAATACATGCATGAACTAAGGAATTTAACAAGTTGTACAAGTTCATAAACAATCTAAAGTAATTGAGAGAAAATCTACATAAAGTAAACTAATGGCTTAAACCTACACAGAAAGAAACACCATTAGTCACACTGTTGAGTGTTAACACTCGCTGCATCAGTTTCCATGTTATATAAACGATATTTAACGATGGGGTTTTGAGTTTTTTTTTTCACTTTGGTCAGAGACTTTTTGTGAGGGTTTTCTTCTAGAAGACGGAGTGAACAAATGAAAAGTTAGACCTTAAGAGCTAAAATGGTCAAAACACTCCTTGTCCTTGGCATTTAAAATGGTAATTACATTTTTGTTGACTAAATTAATACTACACTTTATGATAAATTAACTAAACACAACTAAATAGACAATAAATGAGTTATTTACACATTAAAAACTAGATTAAATTCCTACTAGCGTTTTCACAAACATTCAACTATGTTTACCCCAAATTCAACAACACGTAATGTGTAACGTCAACAACGATTATTTTCTCACATTTTCTAACTTGATTTTCAATCTATTTGTATTTCTGTCAAAATACAGATTACAGTAAAAAAAATAATTTGAACTACATTTAGTAATATTTCTATCAAATTACAGAGTATATATATATATATATATATATATATATATATATATATAATAAAAAAAACTACATTTAGTAATATCTCAACAAATCTAACTAGGATTTTTTTTAAAAAACTTTCTCATTGTAAGTCTAAATTTCGAAATTAATTTACTTATTCTTACCTCAATTTCATGTTGAGAGACATGATTTAAGGAAAACACCAAAATGCTACGCATTTAAGAATTAATTAAATAATTCAATTTATGAAAAATCACACTAATGCTACCAACAAACTACAAACGTTAGATTTCAATTCCATAACAAATTTATGGGTATAGTAAAAACACACATTAAATGTCTTTTCTTTCTTCTCCTACCTTACAAATACGAGAAAGAACAAAGCTAACACAAAATCGCAAAAATACTTCACTTTTTTTTTTTACTAATTAATTAGTTTTTTTTTCTCCTTTCCAAAACAATGGAGAATTTCGTCGACGAGAATGCTTTTGTTCCTCTAAACCAAAACATCTTCACACGTGATCAAGAACACATGAAAGAAGAAGATTTTCCATTCGAAGTCGTCGACCAATCAAAACCCACTAGCTTTCTTCAAGACTTTCACCATCTTGATCATGATCATCAGTTTGATCATCATCATCATCATCATGGCTCCTCATCTACACATCCTTTGCTCGGTCTCCAAACGACGTCGTCTTGTATCAACAATGCTCCTTTCGAGCATTGCTCTTACCAAGAAAACATGGTCGAGTTTTATGAAACTAAACCAAATTTGATGAATCATCATCATTTCCAAGCAGCGGAAAACTCATACTTCACTCGTAATCATCATCATCAAGAGATCAATATGGTCGATGAACATGATCCTATGGACTTGGATCAAAACAACATGATGATGATGAGGATGATCCCTTTTGATTACCCTCCTACAGAGACTTTCAAACCTATGAACTTCGTGATGCCAGATGAAATTTCATGTGTTTCTGCTGATAATGATTGTTATAGAGCTACGAGTTTCAACAAGACCAAACCATTTCTTACACGAAAGTTGTCTTCTTCTTCTTCATCATCATCATGGAAAGAAAATAAAAAGTCAACCTTAGTCAAAGGACAATGGACTGCTGAAGAAGACAGGTTTGTTATTAACATAAGAAAGCTTAAAAATCAATTAACATAATCAAGATTTTTGATGATTATATAGTATTACACTATTCTAGAGGTTTTAACTATATTCACTCGTTTGTTTCTTGTAAATGAAGTTTTCTTGTTTTGGATAATAGGGTACTGATTCAACTTGTGGAGAAGTATGGATTGCGAAAATGGTCGCATATCGCTCAAGTGTTACCGGGAAGGATCGGGAAACAATGTAGAGAGAGGTGGCATAACCATTTGAGACCTGACATTAAGGTATTACTACTAGTAGCTAAGATCATGTATTGATGACTAAGGAAACTAAAAGATAAAGATTATTGCAGAAAGAAACATGGAGTGAAGAAGAAGACAGAGTGTTGATAGAATTTCACAAAGAGATTGGAAACAAATGGGCAGAGATTGCTAAAAGACTCCCTGGAAGAACAGAGAACTCAATCAAGAACCATTGGAACGCGACAAAACGAAGACAGTTTTCTAAGAGAAAGTGTAGATCTAAGTATCCAAGACCTTCTCTATTGCAGGATTACATCAAGAGCTTGAATATGGGAGTTTTGTCGGCTTCATCTGTCCCTGCAAGAGGTAGACGTAGAGAGAGTAACAAGAAGAAGGATGTTGTTGTTGCCGCGGTTGAGGAGAAGAAGAAGGAAGAAGAGATTTATGGACAAGACAGGATTGTGCCTGAATGTGTGTTTACTGATGACTTTGGTTTCAATGAGAAGTTGCTTGAGGAAGGATGTAGCATTGACTCTTTGCTTGATGACATTCCTCAGCCTGACATTGATGCTTTTGTTCATGGAATCTGATTTGTACTTTTTTTTGCTTGTTTCAGTTTTGTTGTTTTTTGTTTGTCTTTTTATACGAGACAGATTCCACCAAACTTCAATAATTTGAAAAGATATAAAATATTATGCTTTTTTAAACATGTTGAAGTTGAAACAATAGAAACCTAACTTGCGGTATCCGCCAATACTTATTGCTAAAATAAGAACATTACTTAACTTGTGGCTCAAGCAACCATATGAAAATTTATAAAACAACCAAAAAAGATCATCAATCCTTCAAAATACAAACATAACATATTCTTTTAGCAATCGATCAAAAGACAGTTCTGAGAAAGGGAAGTCATATCGGTTTTGGAGACGAAAGGATTGATACGAACCCAAACAAGTGAGAACACAGAAGCAAGCAAGATAGACCAGAGAATAACAATGGTGGGTGTTCTGTTTTGTCTTCCCATAAGACCTTTGAGGAAAGGATAAAGATGAAGAATCACCCAAAAGGCGAAAAACACTTTCCCAAACAAAGGTCCCCAAGCTTCATAACCTTTGTTAAGAGCGTCAGAGAATCCAGCAACGACTCCAACCAAGTTAATTATGAGAAGTGATGTCGGAGGAATCAAGAGAGTTGTCCATTTGACGATGTAGAGCTCACCGAATTCTAAATCGTCTGCGGTTTTTGATGTGACTGTGAAGTTTGTGTCGAGACCGGCGAGCATTTTGAGGAATCCTTGGAAAACGGCGAAAAGATGAGCTGAGACGCCTCCAATAACCCAAAACTGTTCATTTCTCCATAAGTCTTCGATGCTCACTCCGCTCCATCGAAGCTCGAGGACACTCGTTAAGATAATTGATATGAAGAGACCTAGAAACAGCATGCTTGCTAGGTTTGATAGCTGCAATAAAAAACAGCAACAAAGATCAAATCCAATCATTAAATTTTAAGACACATAAGTAATAGACAATCCAAATTAATTATTAGTATGAAAAAGTTACCGTTGGGATGATGAATTTGCCGGTGAGAAGGCAGATAGCAGGAAGAGTACAGTAAGCAACTAGAGGCAAAGAAGTGAAGGGATAAACAATAGTGTTGATATAAGCTAATCTCTGGAGCAACTTGAGGCGGCCTCCGCTGCAGCCGTACCATAGAGGACAATGCCGGCTAAGGAAGATCTCGACCGAGCCAAGAGCCCAACGCAGAACCTGGTGAAGCCTATCTGATAGATTGATTGGTGCAGATCCTTTAAATGCCGGTCTTAATGGCATACAGTAAATCGACCTCCATCCGCGACAATGCATCTTGAAACCCGTCAAGATGTCTTCCGTGATCGACCCGTAAATCCATCCGATCTGCAAAAACAGAATGAAAGGTTATAAAATTTACTCACAAGAGATTTTATAGTTAAGAACTTTGATTTGAAGAACCAACTTACTTCTTTTCCCCATTCGGTTTTCTCTTCGTATCCGCAGCTAATGACATGAATCGCTTCTTTGATAAGCGTTGACGGGTTTACAGAGTCAGGGACTCCGCCATTCTCCATAAGAGTAGACTCGATGAAAACCGCAGAGAGACCAAACGTTTTCTCAAAGCTTGTTTGTGAAATCAGCATCGATCTTTCGTACTCATCGTAGTTGTCTAGGTCCCCAAGATTAAAGATTGCAGCATCAAGTTCTTCTCGCTTTGCGTCTTTGTAAATCTCGGAAGGATCTTGGGGTTGTTTCTTCTTGGTTAGACAGCAACAAGACGAGGAAGAAGATTGCGGTAAAATCCTCGGTTTAGAAGGTGGACTATATCCATAAAGTGCTTGTCTTCTAAAGACAGTACCTGTACCAACATAAACTGGACCTTGAATCCCATCAAGCCCTCTCATATTAACCTGAAATCATCAAATCAAAACCACAAGATATCAAAACTTGCTTGAATTTATAAGCATATGAGTTTGAGATGTTCGGTAACTTACATCGAAGAAAACTATGTTGCGGTTAGCATATCGATCACTCTTGTCGATTCCATCAAATCTCTGTGGGAATTGAACAAAGCAAACGTCTTGACCAACAACAGGATCCATTAAAAAGCACATTGCTTCACGCACGGCTTTGCTATTGTTTACGTAGTGATCACAATCAAGGTTAAGAATGAATGGAGCATTCGTTAAAACCGCAGACACCCTCACCTACAAAGAACAAAATCAATAGGATTGTCTTGCAACATTTAACGTTAAGTTTTCGATTAAAAACAGAACCAAACATTTTTAAGTTTTACCAATGCATTCTCTGCCCCGGCCTTTTTATGATGTTGATAGCCAGGTCTCTTCTCTCTAGAGACGTAAACTAATCTTGGAAGTTCATTTCCTTCAATATCACGAGCACCGCTATATCCAAGAAAAACCTGCAAGAAAATACGTGACTAACAAGAAAAGACAGAGACTTTCAGGTCAAATGTTTTAGCTAGCAAACCTGAATCATCCCGGGATGGTCACGAGTATTGTTTCCAGGCCAAGAGGTTCCATCTTGCATTGTCCATCCTTCTTCTGGTGTCTTTTGAGCCTTGGCGACTAAAGCATTCATTCTTATTTTAAACTCTTCATAGTCTCTCTACAACAAGAGAAACTAGACATAAGTTTTCGATTCAATTATCGGTTAATGTTATGAGCTCTTGCTTACTTACTTTCATGGCTCTACGTTCTTTCACAAAAGAAGGCTGAACTTTATCCCGCAAGTAATCAATTTTAAGCGAGAAGTAAAACTCAGGAGCTCGTGGCTCGATTGAGTACTTCTTGCAGAAAGGTACCCATTTCCTAGCAAAATCTGCTGTCTCAACCAAAGACTCAAAAGAAAGCATTGCTGCACCATCATCAGATACATAGCAAGAGACTTTATCAACCGGATAATCCAGCGCGAGGATCGAAAGAACAGTGTTTGCAGTGATCAAAGGTGGCTCCTTTAATGGATCAACTGTACTAACAAAGAAATCTACAGCTGCAAGCTGTGACTGCTCGCCTTCTCTTTCAAATCTGCAAAGTTTTGACAAATGATTTCATTAGACTTAAAGATTTGTACTAACCGCGCAGATTAAGCATATAACGGTTATAAAAGATTTGTAACCTTGCGGATAACCGATCGATGTAAGTTTCTCGGTTAATAGGAGACCATTTAGGGAACTGATCCAACACCCAAGAAACAGCAAACCAAATCTCACATATCACAGATGTTAGCCATAAACCGTAAGCACTATCGACAGGATGCGTGATCCGGTAGTTGAAAAACAGAGCCAAGATGATCAACCGCATGATGATCACGATCCTGTATGAAGTGATCTTTGTCCTCGGGATCGGAATCACAACCGAAAGCACATCTGTAGCACCAGCCTCTGTGTTCCTGAGAACAAAAGTAGCATAGACCAATCAAAGTCTCAAACTTTTTGGTGAATGTATAACAACATAAACCATATATTCGAGTTAACGAGGATGTTCTTACGATGGCATATCTTCCATGTGTTGTTGGGTAGGAATCTGAGCCTCATGTTCTTCAGCTTTTGTTGCCTTTGAATCTTTCTTCTTCTTCTTGCTCTTCTTGTCTTTCTTGTCTTTCCAGCTCTCAACTCTGTTCTTCCATATTGGATTCCCATATTCATCATTCAGATCTTCAACAAGAAACCACAATCCACAAGTTAGACAAACTATTTAAACCTGATCATCAAAAGTTTAATAAAATTGGGTTTGCTTCTTAGTTCTTCTTACCACTGTCAATTGTAGAGACTGTACTTATATGTCTAGCATGAATCCCAGAATCCACCTGAGGAGTGTTATTGATGTGTGTTGGAACAATGGATTGAGTTTTAGATGTCTTTGTCTCAACATCATCAAACACATTCTCTAAGAAAGCAAAAAAAAAACAAATTTATAAATACCCTTTGACCAAAAAAGCAAACTTTTGAATAAAATTTGTAAATTTAAGATTACCATCATAAGGATTGCCGCAACGCAAGCAAATTCGTCGACCTTCTTTGAATTCATACTCAAGACAAGCTTTGCAGATCGGGAAACTACACTCATGACAAGCCACAAAGAACTCTCCGTTTGATTTTACACCAATATCTTCACCGCAAGTGTTGCAGATCGGAGACCTAGACTCCATCATCTTCGAATTCCCCTGTTTGGAGAACAGAGAGAGAGGAGAAATAAACCCTAATTAGGGATTGAGATTTGGATGGGTAACAAGTTTGAGAAGCCATGGAGTTGAGGTTTTGTAAGAGAGGAAAAAAGGGATTAAAAAAAGTTTGGTGGATTGTGAAAAATCGGAAGTTGAGAAGTTTCTTTCTGAGAAAGCTGATGGGTAAGCTAACAAAACACTCTGTTTTCGTTGGCAAAGATGATAAAGTTTGGGACTTTTTCGAAATGATTTTGCGGGAAAGTGAAGGAAAGTTTTAGTTGAGAGGAGTGACACATGATCTTTGTCTCTAACCAGCGGCAGATACTTTGCTTGCTTGCCTCCTAAGCGTCACCATACTTTCTCCATCAACCTAACAATTTTTAAAAAGTATATAATTTTAGAATAATTAGCATATAAGTTGGGTTACTTTTTTAAATCATTTTGCTTAGTAAGATAAATATAGATTTCATTGTTTTCATCAAAAAAAAAAAAGAAATACAAATTTCTTTGTCATTTGGTGTAATTTCTCTATAAAGTTCTGAGCTTCATCGGCTAATCAAAAATAAAGTTTTGAGCTTGAGTATCAATTCTCTGTTCATTAACATCATTTACATAAGTTCTATTCTACATTTGCAAACAAAACTCAAAAATCAAATCTACATTTTTTATCGATTCGGTCTTTGCATCATCTCATATCTCAGTTTCCTTTGGTCTACTGTCTCAAATCAAACCATCGAGCAAATGCAGCAGAACCATCCCTCAACATCGACCAAGCCGCTTCTTCCTTTGCTCAGATAAGTTTTAGGGTTGAAGACGTCTAGAGTTTTGGGGGTCTACGTCTCTGTGGAAACAACTCTCTGTGACATTTCTAAACTCGACCAAGAAGAAGATTGTGAGCTTCTATAAGAAACAAGATAGATGATGAAACTGATGTATCCAACTATTCCAGCAAAAACCAAAAAACCAACAAGAAACCCTTCCACTTCAGCCATGAAGAAATCAAGAAGAAGATACCCATTTATCATCATCACAAACACCGCCACAGTCCACGCTAGCTTCTGCAAAGATCCCAACTAACTCGTTACAACAGAAAGCACATAACATCAACGAGAGATTGAAAAAATGGTTTACCTCGAGCGAAGGTCCGATTTTGAAGACACCCATGATATGTTCATTAGAAACCATAGTCAAGAGAGGAATAACCGCGAAAGGAATCTGCATCGATTGAAGAATGTTAAGCCATTCGTTTAAAACATCGAGCGAGCCCTCGGATGTGTTAAACATAATAGCAACAAACATAGTAGGTACAATTGCAAAGCTTCTCGTTATAAAAGCTGAAAGCCATTGTTCCATCTGAAGATCTAAGAACCCTTCCATTATAAACTGTCCAGCGTAAGTCCCGGTTATAGTGCTGCTTTGTCCAGCAGCTAATAAACCGATTCCCCAAATGTAAAGTATCGGAAAAACCCCACCGCCATATTTCTCCTGTAGGTAATGCCCCGCGTTAACAAGTCCTATACTATCAGCTTGTTTGGTTCCATAAAACCCTTTAGCGAAAACCGCAGTTACAAACAGATTGATCATGAACGAAACAAAAAGCGCGGCTGATGATTCGATTGTATAGTAGTTAAGAGCTTCCTGAACTCTGTTTATCTCCTTTGGATCCGTCTTCCTAGACTGCACTAAAGCCGAATGCAAGAACACATTGTGAGGAGTTATCACACATCCCACAACTCCAACAGCTTCTCTTATCGTCTTTGATCCAAGCTTCGGAACAAGAATACCTTTCAAAGTCATCATCAACATAAAACAAATCAAGAAATGACATCAAATTAGAGACAATGCTTAATCTTACAAACTTTTTTTAAGAAGTTACCTATGAATAGTTCTTCAACACTTGGCTTAGTTTCATTAAACATCCAAGCAAACGAAAGCGCCATTGTCGCAATCAAAACCGCGAAAAGACCTTCTAATTTCCTCATTCCACATTTCTCCAGATACGAAATCAAGAAGCTGTTTTTTCACACAACAACACAAATCAAAACTTTTATCCAATTTTGAAGCTAATTCCTTTAATTTTGCTTACCAATCAAACGATGTGATGATAACACCAACCCAAATCGGTAAAAACCCTCGGGTCAAAATCTGAAGAGCAATTGCGCTTCCGATGACTTCTTGAATATCAGCTCCGATCAAAGCAACCTCCGCCATGAACCAAAGCAAGATTCGCGCCCACGATGGATACTCGTTTCGGCAAATCTCCGCCAAATGCCGACCCGTCGCGACACCGATCCGAGCAGAGAGAAGCTGCATCAGAAGTCCCATTAGCGTCGCCCATAGAAGAAGCCATAGGAGAGAGTACCCAGCCACAGCTCCGGCTTGTAAATCTCCTTCGATGTTTCCTGGATCTAAGAACGCGATGCTCATGAGAAATCCTGGTCCGGTGAATTTCCATAGCTTTGCCCATGAGAATGGCGGGACCGAATCGTAGGTTTTGTCTCTGTCTTCTTCTACGTTCAGGACCTGATTCTCCGGTGGCGATTCGCGGCGCTCGTCCTCCGACTGAGAGGTTTCGGGAACTAATAGACGTTTGAATTCGCCGTTACTGTCGTTAGGTCGTTTTGGGCTATTTTCTTGGCGGGAAACGGTAGAATCCGTCATCTTAGTAACGGAATATTCCGTCGGCGTTACTGACGACGTGATATTTTTTAGGAAAATTTAAAAGATTACATGGATTATTTTTACAAAATTAAAGTCAAGGATAGTCAAATGACAAAACAAAAAAACAATCTAAAAATGAATTATGTTGTTAAGAGTTTCTATTATTAGAGGCTGAATTGTGATCTCTATTTTTTTGACGATCGAGAATTTAGAATTTGATTTTCTTCTTTTTCTAAATTGGTATAACAAAAATTAGTTGTTGTGTTCAAGGATTAGCACAATAAATATTGGTTTAGAGATATTTGCGGATTGAATTACAAAATCCCTTGACCGGTACAGAATCAGACCAAAGCTAAGCAATTTTCAAGCGAGCAAATCAAAAGCATAACATAGATTGTTTCCTAAAAAAAGCAAACATCTTCAAAAAAAATTGAATGTAAAATTTAAAACCGATTTTAGCTTTGACGACAAAGACCAAATCCCTCAAATCTGTAGCCTCTTGAATTTAACCGGTTTTGGTCTGTGGTTTGTTCAGCTTCTTTTCTGTTCAATCCGCAAATATCTCTTAACCGGTACAGAATCAGACCAAAGCTAAGCAATTTTCAAACAAGCAAATCAAAAGCATAACATAAATTGTTTCCTAAAAAAAGCAAACATCTTCAAAAAAAATTTGAAAGTAAAATTTTAAAACTGATTTCAGCTTCAAGACCAAATCCCTCGATCTGTAGTCTTTTAGTTGGAGCAGCAACCGGTTTTCTTCACAGCGGAGACATCAACATCGATCTTTTCTCCTTTCGAAGGAACATTAGCCGAATCTTGACCAGCCTCCATTGCTTTCTTGCTCACAACATGGTAAATCTGAGTGAGTACTTCAGAAAACGCGTTCTCAACATTAGTAGTTTCAAGAGCTGAGGTTTCCATGAAGTAGAGTGATTCATTCTCTGCAAAAGATTTTGCATCTTCGGTTTGGACTGCCACAAGATGGCGAAGATCTGATTTGTTTCCCACAAGCATCACAACTATGTTTGGGTCAGTATGGTCACGGAGTTCCCTTAGCCATCTCTCAACGTTTTCGAATGTTGAGTGTCGGGTTACATCGTAGACAAGAAGCGCCCCAACAGCTCCTCTGTAGTAAGCACTAGTGATTGCTCGGTATCTAAAAATGGCACAAAAAGAAGAGACGGTAAAAACCCATTACACAGGGAAACTCTGTTAAATAAGAAAGATAACACATAAGAAGAACCGAAACGACAAGAAAGACTTCAAAGCAACAAGCTCTTTAGCTTCAATGGTAGAAACCGATCATTAAAGAAATCGATATTCGATTAAACTTAGTCCTAATTATTGTCATCAGAATTAAGGAGCATATAGACAATGAATTAGCTTCTCTACCTACGACAGCAATTTCGATCAAACTAATCAGCAAAACAACAGAATTTCTACAAAGCTGGTAACTTTAAGCATAATTGTTGAGTTCTCTCATTATCACCTCACCTCCAGTAATAAAATGCAGAATCACAGGGTAGGTTGCTTTCTCAAGCTTCCTCTACGATAAACTGATTCCATCAACTAAAACAGATCTAATGAAAATGATAAGCATAGTTTAAGCTCCATTTGACTTCCTTTGTCAATTGAACAAACCATAAAAAGCCACAATTTCCACCGTCCACAGAAAAAAACTAAATCTGTTTGCGATAACCTAACAATTCATTTCTCTAGACTCAATAACAGAGAGGATTGGTTTTGACTCAACAATGCGTCAAAAGGCTAAAACCCAGATCAAGAAATGAAGAAATGAACACGAAAACAAGGAAGAAAATCAAAAAGCTTAAACCTTTCTTGACCAGCAGTATCCCAAATCTGGGCTTTGATAACTTTTTCATGAACATTCAAGCTACGAGTCGCGAACTCAACCCCGATCGTTGATTTAGACTCGAGACTAAACTCATTCCTGGTGAATCGAGAAAGCAAATTGGACTTTCCAACACCTGAATCACCGATCAGAACCACCTTGAATAGGTAATCATAATCATCATCTGCTCTGTAACCCGCCATTAACACTTCTCACTAAATCAAAAAGCTTCACAATATTGCTCTTTGATCCCACACCTTCACTTCGATTTTGCTTTTCTTCTTTTTTCTCTTTAGATTCAAATTATTTTCCCAGATTTCCACAGAAAGACAGAGACTTTGAATAAAGTTAGGGTAAGACTGGTGTCTTTCTAGCTGTACTATGATCACCGATAGATTCTGGGTGAAATATTTTGTTTAAATTTACCAATATACCCCGGCTTTACTCCATGTGACCAGGGGTGGATCCGACAATTCGTTACATTTTTGTATCTACATTGTTAAATGCTTTCATTTTCTTGAAAAGGTCACAAAGTGGTGGTGGTCATGTTTTTACATTGGTAAACGGCGATAATTCAGTCACTCTAAATTTCGATATAAAAAAACAAAATGAAGATGCTCTTATAGAAATGAAACATTTGTGGCTCTATCTTCTAGTTAGTGGATTTTGTATACCCAATTGGTTTCAACACATACTGAAATTGAGGCCCATATGCCAAATCTCACATGGCAGATGTGTATTTTCTTAATTCTTTGAGGTTAGCAAAAAACACATCTGCCATGTGAAAAGAGTTCAATGATTTGTGTTTTTGTAATCCAAAAACGCATCTGTACATTAGAAAAGAAACAAAAAAGGATAAAAAAGAACACAGACAAATGTTCTGTGCTCCTCTCCACTCATCCTCCATTATTTGCCAAAAAAATCCATTATTTGTCGTTACCATAAAAGTCTCCATCAATCCTTTACTCATGAAAGCCTCCAATCAAAAATTTAGATTTTTTTCACTTTTGTCTTTAATTTTAAAGAATGTCTGAATCTCCACCTCCATCTTCGTCTTCCTCTGTTTTAACTCAGAATGTAACAAAACCAGTTTCAGACAAACTTCTTCAGAAGTACATTGATGTGTCTGAGTTTCAGTTTGATTACCAGACAAGTGGAATCTGGTCTCCACCGTTTCAACGGACTGCTTTTCTTACACCACAAGGGAAAATTCTCACAGACAGAGAAATGGCAGTGAAATTTCAGAATCTTGTTGAAGAACCTCCACGGATCAAAAGGTACAATCTTTATTGTTGTCGTCGATAAGCTTTTGTATATCTAATCTACAATGTACGGTATATGTAGTATACATACATGAAACATGTTTCTACACAACTCTTTTGTTGTTTTTTTTTTACTTTTCAAAAGATTTTTCAGACAAACACAGAGTTACAAAAGTAGATAAAACCTGGTTTAAACTGCAACAGTGCTCTGTTCTAAAGCTTCTTTACCGGTGATTCCATCTTTCAGATTCTTGAAATACTCATTGTAGTCTTTCTCCGGTGGAGGATTCTCAGGATCTACCGTGAAAGGCTCACTAAACGGAACCGTACTTTTAACCTGAAACAAAAAAAAACAACACACAAAACAACCCAAATGAGAAATTTAACATCTTAAATAGAAACCCGAAAAAATCGACAATTTTTTATTCTTTAAAAACCTCGAATGTCTTGTCTAGAGCATACGGGCTTTCTAAAGCAGCGATGCATATACGCGCTACTTCGTCTCTTGATACCTTCCCCTTTATAAAGATGAAGTTGGTTAGGTTAGTTAACTTAAAATGTGTTTTGGTTCCAAGGGGAAGACTAATTGAAATACCGTAATGTTGTCTCCTTGTTCGAAAATGAGATCAGCTCCAGCAGGCTCTTCTGTTAAAGCACATGGCCGTACAATCGCAAATGGAATCCCGCTTTGGCGTATCAGATCCTCTCCCTATTCATCCAAAAAAGAATATCTATAAAATCTTGTGACAGTGACTTTTCCAATTTACAGCAAAGAAGAGAGTATTGAGAGGCCAACCTTTAACTTGTAAGTGAGAATGAAATCAAGCTCTTTGTTTAATCTCACAGCCGGAGGTTGTTTGCTTAGATCCAAACCGGGTCTCTCTGGTCGGGTTACTCCCGCAGAGCCAACATGAACAAACCTATAACCATAGGTAGCGAAATGCCAATTCAGCATTTAGTGAAGAGTTTAGTTTCTAAAGAGCAAGAACCTAAATAAAACCTTGGAGTGACGGGTTCTTGGATATAAGCTCGAATGCTCGATAAAGGAAGCTCGAAAGGTCCTTCTTTGAAAGTCGGGTTAAGCTTACCGTCATACTCAAATTTGCTAAACATAAGCTGAAAAACAATCAAATTGAATCAAACATTTAGAATGGAAAATTAAAGAGGATAGAAAAAAGAAAACAAACCTGTAGTGAAATGATACTGCTAGCATTAAAAGGCGGTGCATCTGTCACTGTACGTGCGCGAAATACAGGTCTTAAGGACGAGAATGGTAAACGTACCTACGATTCGAATTAACAGAAATATGATTTGATCTACCTACAAAAGTAGAACGAAAATGAATTGACAAAGTGATTTTACTTACAGATTGCCATTGGCCTGGTGAAGTGTCAAAACTAGCGGTGTAACCAACAGTATCCCAATCTTGGCTTGTCCGGACGATTAGTTTGTAACGGAGTCCATCACCTTTTAGTCTTAGCTCTAGACCATCATATGCAGAGACATTCTCCGCCTCGGGAAAGTTCTAGAAGAAAATTTTAAGACTCATGCTTCAGTTAGATAACGAAGGATAAGAGAGATTGGAGAGATTCTGACTTTAAGTCGTACCCTTTACCTTGGTTCGGACACTTGTAAATCCGCCATTATTTGTTGTTGAAACAATTCCTAACAAAACATGTTATCTTTCTATAAGTAAAACGACAAGAGAAGAAACATGGCAAATAGAGTTGTTATATATAAAAACCTTTGAAAATTCCGGTAGGTCCACCGTTTTCACCAGCGGTTAGATCTACTAGGAAGTTACTTTCGCTGACACCTCCCATTACAACATCATCCAAGGCTCCCCAAGGTAGATCTTTAAATGTGTTATCTATACAGATACATCGGTAAGACTTTTAAAATGCCATGTGAAATTAGAAAAACATAATCAAGTTACTTGACCCAACTTACCCCCGACGCCGAAAAGGAGCTTCCCATTCTCAAGTCCAACACCATCTCTAACAGCATTGATTAAGTTCTTCATTCCGATATATTCCACTAACTCGGGAGAGTCGCCTTTTATCTGTGTATCACCAAAATCTATTGGTTTTAGGTTTGTTGAACAATGAGCACTAAATTCATCAAAACAAAACTCACGAAATGTTCTTTTAGTCCCATTACCTCTGGCTCGAAGAATCTGACTCCCTGCATTGTAACCCATATCCAAAAAATGTCATTTCTCAAAGCTAGAATCTAAAGTTCAAAGCTTTAAAGAAAATTCTACTCAGGAAAATTCACCGACCTGATTGTATTTTTGTCTCTCAGGTGTATCTCCTTCCTTTGGACCGACAATAACAGAAACAGCATTGATCACTTTCCTCACTCCTTTGAACTTTTCAGGAACCAATGTATTCTCCTTTGTAATATCTGCAACAATCTGACAACATTGAAATATATGCAAATAGTTATCAATGATCTTAGAACTCTAAAGACACCAAGGATACAATGTGGAAAATTTCAGTAGAGTTTCTCACCAAGTCAATGTCCGGTCCTAACATCTTCCGAGCCTTCTCTTCGTTTCTAACCTATGATCATTCCCCACAGAAGTTAAAAACTTTGTCCACATTTTCAGAATCAGGAACACAAACATCGAGAAATCAAATCGAAAAGGTGTAGTACCAATGCTTTAACAGGCAACCCTCTCTTCCTCAAGATATCAACAACCCTTCTTCCTACACCACCAGTAGCTCCAGCCACAAGTATGATTCCAGAAGTTCCCATTTCAGTAACTGGTTCCTCCGTTGATCCGTTAGTAAGTTTCTCAAACACCGATGAAACAAACTTCACAAGCAAGAAACAATCAAATTAAACCACAAATGACTATATTAATTAGACCTCAATGAAAAATCAAACAAACACTCATATACCTTTAGAGGAGATGGTGCTCCGTTAAAAAAGTACAATGTTTTGATGAATCTACCAAAGTCCCAACCTTGAGAACCTGATTTCGCAGTGACCCGTTTTCTATGTGACCTTAGATTAAGAGAATGTGAAGCTTGTTGGTCACGAAGACGTCGGCTTTTATCATCAAGTTGAAGAAACGGTTTAGGAAGTGAAGTGTACTTAGAGAATTTTACATCAATACTTGATGAAGAACCCTGAAAGCAACAGATTTTAACCCATGAAAGTAAAGTATTAGCAGAAAATTATCATGAATTTTCAGACCCAATTTCAGAAAACAGACAATAGGAAGATCAAAGAACAAAGGAATTAACCTGAAGGTTGATAATGGAAGGAGATAACGACGATGAGAGCTTGAGTGAAGACGAAACCTCCATGTCTCAATTGAAAACTCTCGAAAGATTGATTTCTGGAAAAATCTCAAAAGCGCGACAGATTTTTGTGCTGTGAAATCGATAGAGATTGTAGACCACACACGTGGGAAAGTCTCAGCGGTTTGGTTTCCCGGTTTAAATAACGACGTCGTTTAGTCTGATGAGGTTTAGACATAAAAAAAAAAAAAAAAACTATTGCGTCTGCCGGGAGTCGAACCCGGGTCTATTGCTTGGAAGGCAATTATCCTAACCGTTGGACTACAGACGCTATTGTTAACAAATAGGAAATATAATTTAAATACCTAAATAGTATTCTTCTTCTCCCAAATAAACAAGTTAAAAAACATTACCTGAGGACTAGAATTTCCAAATATTTTTACTTTTTTTGACAAATGAGATTTAAGAAAATAAACACATAAAAAGTTCAATTGGTTTAAAGTATAAGTTACTATTCATAAGCCAATATCATAGTAACGTGTACTAGAGCTGGCTTTTTTAGCTTAAGCTTTTGACTTTTGTTTGAGACTAGAGATATTAAAACTAGGCTTTTACCAAACATTAGAGAGAAGAACATGTGGGGAACAATTTTGTTCTGTGTGGTTAGTTTTGCTTAGTATTCAAGACTGACACGTGGAGCCTAGCAATGGGCCGCCGCAATGTAACAATGGTGGGCACGTGATCAGTATAAATTTAGGTTTTAGACTTTTAGGTATAGATACTGAAATTTGTAGTCTTATTACATATTACTTGTGACCCAACAAAAAAATTCATATTACTAATTCAGTGGTTTTGACTTTTGAATAGCAATGAGTTTCTACGTTCGGATCGGTTTGAATTTGCCCATCTATAGCCGGATTTTTCATTAATTTTTTAAAAAATATATGAATATCCAAAATGTCTGGTGCAAAAAAAAAAAGTTTTAAATGAGATAAAAATTTTCAAAATACATTACTATTTATATTCAAATTATATATATTTTTTGAAGAAAAAAGAGAAAACATCTTGGAGTTTTTTGTTTTTGTTTTGGATTTTAACATTTGTCTACTTTAGTTAGAACAAATTTTTTTTTTTTTTTTTTCACTAGAAATAAAATTTCATTGATAGAATTTTCCGATGGATTACAAGAGGTGGATTACAAAGGCCGGCAAGGGGAAACAACCCTTCCAGAGACTAAGCCGGCGAGTAAAGTAAAACTCCCGGGGACATAGATGAAGAAGCAAAGGGGAAAAAACCCAGAACAAACAAATACACAAAATCTGATCTAAAACTTCCCGGACTCATAACCAAATATTCAAAAATAAATACACAAGTCTAAATCAAAGACAAAAGAACAGATCTGAGTTAGAACAAATTTATAACACGGTTTTTTGACAAAAAAAAAAAAAAAAAAACAAACAAACAAACGGTTTATAAGTTTATAGCAAAGTAAACCCTGAGTTTATAGATAAAGATTCTCTTCTCCACTCTTACAAGTTCCAAGTGTTAAAGCATCAGTTTGGGCTCGAGAATCAAAACACTTTCCAAATTAAAACGTGAAAGTTAATGTGTCAGAGATGTCTAGCTATGTGAAGTCACTTTATTTACTAGTTAGTTCATTGTATTTTGGAACTACAACAACCTCGTTTTTAGGTGCATTTCATAAACTTATCCCTTAATTTTTAAAAAAAAAAATTCATCCCCGCAACAATAATTATGCTACTACCAACGTTGGGAATCAGATACATAAGTCAGAGATGATATCACAAATAAAATTCAACCATTTGTCACCATTTTATTCTCACTAAATTTCTCCCAAGTGTCAAAATACGTTAACCTTTGATTTCTTACGTTTCGTTTTACATATTATACATACAAGATCGAGAGAAGTTATGGTAGATCAAATAGAGTTAGTCGGAACAATGGCTTCCCATGACTATCATCATTTAGCCAAATTGGTTTGATATGCATGTTGTCAAATCATGAACATAAACGATCGTTGTTCAATACAATCTTGTTCACGAGCCGTGCCTATCCCCAACTTTTACCAAAGTATGATCAATTTAAAGCATCCACACTAGCGTCACCCATACAATAAATATAATTAATGTATACAACCAAAAAATAATGTAAACAACGTTATTACAGATTATAGAGAAGAGTCCAATAGTGATATGACTTATATATGTCTCGACTTTCTTTTGTGTATCTTTTTTTTTTCTTTTGTATAGCTGCGATAAAACATAACTTTTGTTTTTTTTTTTGGGACCATTCTATTGTTGCACTTAAAATGTAATTTTGGTCAAAAAGTGATAAGGTACTAAGTTAGTTCTACCACCATACGGTGAAAAGTGAAAAACAGACACACACACACACACAATATTTGACTAGATGATTTCAATAATAAGAGATACTTAGATATATTTTGATCATTGATCTATATGTTAAACCAGTTTGGTACTAATTATATATATAGATCGACTCAAAATAAATAAAAAGAATTCAGGTGCCTAAAAATTTAAATTTCTATCTTTTGTCCATGTATAAAATCCTACATACGCATACCATACATGTATCCATTTTTATTGGTAGCCATGTTGATGTATGTACCTTTTTGTAGTACAAAAATTTCTCATTAGTCTTGTAAACGACACGTGATAACGGCTTCCTTCGACCAACCAAATTTACTAGTAATTTCCAAAATATAGAAATCGGTGGACCATGTGTACTCCATACCTTCCATTTATTATTTTTATCCGAATCCTATGCCTTTTTCACTTGTGTTGTAGTATATTATAAGGACCTTTATATTTCTTTGAAAATTTTGAAGCTATTTTATCTGTACATCGAACCAGGAGCTAATTAATTCTGTGATCTTTATACATACGTACGTTATATGCTTAGTTATGATTAGTTAACCTTATCAATAATATCATTTAGCGAATGTAGGTAGATTTTGAAATTACACTTTCCTCGTTTTTGTTATCACAAAAAATAACAAAAGCAACTTGAAATTTTTTGTAATCATCTCGGTCTCAATGTGTGCACGTGATCTGACGTTGACCGTAATAGTTATCGTCCGGAAGCTTTTTTCTTTTGTCGTATCCTATTCTTTGGTTTTATTGTCTAATGAAACTATGGAATCTAATATGAGATAGAAACCATTTCAACAATAGTTAATAGTTTGTTTTCTAACATGCACCCACAATATTTTTTTTTCTGTTCCGCCACATTTAGAAACAAATCTTAGTCCATCACTTACACACTATTCATCTCGATCATTTATTTTTAATGATTTGTAACAGTAATCATATTTAGAATTGATGAGACAAAATCAATTTTGAAAGGTTGCAAATAGAAACCTTAACTTAAACAAAAGAGGATATTAATTAAGAGCTTCCACAAATTTAGAATCTTTCTTTTCATCATGATTAAAATGAAAATATGATAATTATTTTGGATTATTACTATTTTGATGAGTAGAAAGATTTGACTAGCTTGAGTGGACATCTCTTCTCCTTTTACCATATGTAACGAGAAAATAAAAAAAGAATTCGTTTTTCATCCACATTATTCCAAATGTAGTAAGGAAGTAATTTTTTGAAACTACATTTTAATGGATAAAAAATGTATTTATTCATTGCTAAAAGGAAAAATATGATATTGCTTTGGATTATTAGTAAACCATATTTTTATAACAAAAAACTCTCCATTATTAATCCAAATTAGGAAATTAATTATAAAATATTTTAGTGGATATCGACCAATGACCCCAATCATATTACTAAGAAACACCAAAAAACAAGGATAAGAAAAATAAATGCCAACGACTAGTTTTTAAATTCGTACAAAAAAATAACAAAAAACCAAGCCGTATACTTCAAAGGTCGAAACTTTATGGTAATGGTCTCATAGAAAAAAATTCATAAACTTTTTAATTTAGGAAAAGAAGAAAAAAAACATAATTTCTATTGCATGCTTCCTTCTCCTACAAACGGACACTTCTTTATTGGCTTTGTTCCTATCATATGCCTCTGTGTTCGTGTCTACAACAGATCTGTCTCCTCTTTAATTTTTCTCTCTCTCTAGAAACCGAAAAACAACAAAACCCTCTACCCTAAAGGGAGGTGTTTTAACACTCTGCCAAAAGCCATCGTTTTCTCCAGAGAAACCCATCAGTTTCTTCTGAATCCTGCATGTGAAAGTTTGGTGAAGAAAGAGGAGAGATCTGTGATTGCCTTTAAAACGCTGCCGTTTCTTTCCTTTTTCTCTTTCTCTTGATTTCTGTTGTTCTGTGGCTGATGATGTCACTAAACAACGATGCCCACTTGCCTCCATCAATTTCTCAATCTCTCTCATCTTCTTTAATGACTGAGATACAAGTTCTCATCTTCAGTGTATAAGAAGCATAAATTTTGATCCTTTAGCTTCTCTGTTTCTTCTTCTTCCCTTGACTTGTAAACAGAGCTCGAAAGTTTTCATTTTTCTTTCTTTCCCATCTGGGTTTTCAATTTCACTAATTTGGGTTTTTGAGATTTGGAGACTCAAAAGTTGTAACTTTTGTGTGGAATTAAAGCTATTGCCATAGTTTGTCACACAAAATCACTTCAAATTTGGAAACTGTTTTCAAGATTTTCCTTAAGAGGAAACAAAATGAGATACAATTCGAGTTGGTTCTTATGCAAGATTCCGAGGAGGAAAGAGACAAAGCTTTTCTTCTTCTGAATAAATGACGACGACGACGACTACTACGACAAGGGTTGCTTCTTCTTCTTCAACAAGGAATAATCGAATTCTTAAAGATGCAAATGGAGATATCGGTGAGCATCTTCGTAACCACATCCATTTAACCAATTGTATTCATTTGAAGAACCATATGCATAAGCAGAGTCCTGTTTTAACTGACCGTGCCTTAATGAGAGACCTCATTGTTCTCCAAAGGTCACGCTCACTTAGAGATCCTTCTGCGAGCCCTCCTGCTTGGAACACGCCTCCTTCTGTTGTGGATTTGCTTCCTAAGAAAGGTGATCTTGTGGAAGGAGGAAGAAGATCTGTTGATCAGAAGAAGTCTAGTCGTAGGTTGTCTGCTTTGAGTGGTTCTTCACCTGTTGTGAACTTTGGGACATCTAAAGTGACTCCTTCTGATGAAAGGTCGGGTCCGGTTAGTGGTGAAAGGGATAGTGGTAGGAGAGTTAAGAGAGATGAATCTAGTAGAAAGAGTTATAGAATTGGGGATGATTATCAAAATGTTAATGAGGTTGTTTCTCATGGTGTTGCTTCGGGTAATTCGGGATCAAAAGCTAGTAGGAGGCTTAGTAGGGTTAATGATGCTATTGTTAAGACATTGTCTGATCAGTTAAATGAGGTTGTTGTGGGTGATAGTGATGATGTGGTTTCATCTAATGTTCGTCCACGGGTTCGGTATGGTGGTGGCGGTAGTAATACTAGGGGATGTGCGGGTGGAATGAGTCGGCCTAAAAGACGGAAATTTAAAGGAACGAGGAGAGTTCGGGGAAAGAGTAGAGATACTGGTGGTGGTAAGAGTGAGATGTCTGTTGCTTCTAACACATTGCCTCAAGGTGAGAAACATGAGGGAGAAAAGGAGGGATTTGGGGAACAGAACATGACTAAAGCTTGTGGGATTCCGTTTAATTGGTCGAGAATTCATCACCGAGGGAAAACTTTTCTCGATAAGGCGGGTAGGAGCTTGTCTTGTGGTATGTCTGATTCAAAAGGTAGGAAAGGTGAAACCAATGAGAGAAATGGTTCTGATATGATGATGATACAATCTGATGATGACTCAAGCTCCTTTATCCCCTCTGATGGTGAAGCACTTCCCTTACTAGTTGATAGTGCAGAGAATGATGGTTGGGTGCACGATTACTCGGGGGAGCTAGGGATTTTTGCAGACAGTCTGCTCAAGAACGATGAAGATTCTGACCTTGCTTCAGAAGGAAGGTCAGGGGAGAAAAAACACAAAAAGAAGAGCCATGTAAATGCTCGGCATCGACATCAGCAACAACATCAGAGTCTAACGGAAAAATACACGCCTAAAACATTCCGGGATCTCCTTGGTCAGAATCTGGTGGTACAGGCTCTTTCTAATGCAGTTGCTAGACGAAAGCTTGGACTTTTGTATGTCTTCCACGGGCCAAATGGAACCGGAAAGACCTCTTGTGCTCGGATATTTGCAAGGGCTTTGAACTGTCATTCCATGGAACAACCAAAGCCTTGTGGCACTTGCAGTTCTTGTGTTTCACATGATATGGGTAAAAGCTGGAACATTCGGGAAGTGGGTCCTGTCGGGAACTATGACTTTGAGAACATCATGGATTTACTCGATGGTAATGTGATGGTTTCGTCGCAGTCACCTCGGGTGTTCATATTTGATGATTGTGATACCTTGTCATCTGATTGTTGGAATGCACTGTCCAAAGTGGTGGATCGAGCAGCGCCACGTCGGGTAGTCTTTATCCTCGTGTGTTCGAGTCTTGATGTACTGCCTCATGTGATCATATCGAGGTGCCAGAAATTCTTTTTCCCGAAACTCAAGGACGCGGATATAGTTTACTCATTGCAATGGATTGCATCAAAGGAAGAGATTGAGATAGATAAAGATGCATTGAAGCTTATTGCTTCAAGATCAGATGGTTCCTTGAGAGATGCTGAGATGACTCTTGAACAGCTGAGTTTGTTAGGACAGAGGATCTCTGTTCCTTTAGTTCAGGAACTGGTAAGCACTGTTCTGTCTCACTGATATAACAATTGAAGGTTGGAAACATTTCTAATTGAAATTATTTATTACTCTTTTCAGGTTGGGCTTGTTTCTGATGAGAAATTAGTGGATCTTCTTGATTTAGCTTTATCTGCAGATACTGTAAATACTGTGAAGAATCTGAGAACAATAATGGAAACAAGTGTAGAACCATTGGCTTTAATGTCTCAGCTTGCAACGGTCATAACCGATATTCTTGCCGGTAGTTATGATTTCACTAAAGATAGGCATAAAAGAAAGTTTTTTCGACGGCAACCATGTGAGTTTCGACATTTTCCAGCCTACCTAAATGGCAACAGCTTTGTTTCGGTCTTTTGTTCTAATCCAACTATTGACTTTGTTCACTATGTATAGTACCTAAAGAAGATATGGAGAAACTGAGACAGGCTCTTAAGACGTTATCCGAGGCAGAAAAACAGCTGAGAGTATCAAACGATAAACTGACTTGGCTCACAGCCGCATTGCTTCAATTGGCTCCTGATCAGAACTATCTGCTTCAACGTTCGTCCACTGCAGATACTAGTTTTAACCGTAGCCCAATACCATTAGAGAACAATGGAGGTAGAGATAGCGCAGATCACCATTTGGATCCTTCTAGTGATCCAGCAGGTGGAAGAAGTTCTGGATTGGACAGAAGAAGAGGAGATAGTAGAAAAAACCGACCCGCTGTTGAAGAAATTTGGTTAGAGGTTATCGAGAAGCTTAGAGTTAACGGTTTGAGAGAGTTTCTTTATAAAGAAGGAAGAATCGTCTCTCTTAATCTCGGATCAGGTAATGCATTTCGTATCGACAAATCTTGAATCTTAACTTATGTTGAAAGTTTTGCGTGAAGCCAGTTTCGTTCTGGTGTAGAAAAAGCTTAAATCTTGATTAGAATTAAGCATTTCGTGCGAAAAAAGCTTCAAATCTTGATTGGATTTTCTATAAGTTTTGAAGCCAAATTTTGTTTTCTGGTGTTATGGCAGCTCCTACTGTGCATCTAATGTTCTCTTCGCCGTTAACCAAATCCACGGCTGAGAAATTTCGTGGCCATATTATGCAAGCGTTCGAGGCGGTTCTTGAGTCTCCTGTCACTATAGAGATCAGATGCGAGGCAAAGAAAGACCCAAGAAACAACGTGCATCATCATCATCAGCACCCACCTGTGAAAGACAAAAGCCTGCCACAATCTTTAGCACTCATTGGCCACGATTACAACATCGATGGAAGTGGAAGAAGTGAGATAGTAGAAGTTACTGAATCTAACGGACAAAGACGACAGCAACAAGAACAGAAGCAGCAGGAAGAGGAGAGGACAGAGCGAGTTGGTTCTTCTGCTTTAGCCCGAGCTAGAAGGAAACATTTGGAAGCAAGCCAGAGTCAGAACCAGAGCCAAAGCATCGTGAGAGGTAAGGTCTCGTTGGCTCATGTGATTCAGCAAGCTGACGGATGCACACTCCAAAACGGTTGGTCTAAACGCAAGGCCGTGTCTATCGCCGAGAAGCTGGAACAAGAGAATCTGTAAGAATCTCTCTAAACACTTAATCCAACATCCCAAAGATAGATCAAGTAAAAATGTTGACCCTTTTTTTTCTTCTTACAGGAGACTTGAACCAAGATCAAGAAGCTTGTTATGCTGGAAATCGTCAAGAGGTACACGTCGCAAGGTAACAACAAAACCCTCTATATCTTCAGTGAAAATCAAAACTTTTTGGTTATGAGTAATTGAAAAAATTGGAAACTCTGAAATGATAGGCCACGAGGTTGAAGATGAGAACAAGAAGGGCGAGACCACATTCGTTATTGAAGCTCGTGTCGTGCGGGAAATGTCTGTCGACAAGATCTCCAACAAGATAAAGGCTTTTGTTCTTTGGTCGATCATACGCAGATTTTACTGTAATTTTAATCAATGTAGCTTTCTTCGCAATTTTTTCAATCATTATGGATCTGTTCTTACCACCAATAAATGGATTAGTTCTAACTCTTCAAAGCCATTCGTAAGAACTAATTGAAGGACAAAAGAAAGAAGAGAGAGATCTTTATTAATGTAGATGCATCAAGAACTGCGTTATGTGTAAACCACAGACCTAACACATCAAGAAGTGCGTTTTGTGTCTCAAGATCTCAAGAATGCTAAACACATGTTTTTCTTGTAAAATCGATGAACAAAGCAAAGCACCCCAATTAGTTTTATTTAACAGTAGCAATGACAAATCTTTCTTTTGCAGAAGCCACCTCTCTTACTGCTACAGCCTTGAAGACACCACTTGTTACAACTGATATTATTAGTACATATTCCAAATTCCGGGTGATCGTTGCAACACATTGAATCTCCTTTGTTGGAAGACCAAATTGAATCTTCATTCACTACTTTTGTGGCTTCAATATCTGCATTATAACATATATATACATGCATATACGACAAATTCAAGATTTTGGTTTTAAGGAATAGTAATCAAAATGAAAAAAAACATGTTGTGTTTGATCTAATGAGACTAACCCGCAAGTAAAACGGAGAGAGCGAGGAAAGCAAAGAAAACAAATCTTGAATGGACCATTTTTTCTTCTTCTAACGTGTTAAGTGTTAAGTCTATAATTATTGTTTATTATGACTTCTGAAAAATGTAGACTGGTTAAGTTTGATATATAAGGTTTTCAATTGTTTGCTACTAAAGGTTTTTTTTTTCGTTAATTTTTTTGCTAATAAAGTTAGGCATTGAATTCTATATGGAAGGCATACCCAACAATGTTTTTAGTATCAACAAGGAAATGATATGTTACTCAATATAACATTGCATTGATGATGATTGATGATATAATTGGTACATTTGTAGAAACAGTTGAATACATGTAAACAAAAATCCAGTTAACTAGAACAGTCCAGTGTTCTTTATCAGAAGATCACTTGGTCAAATGGATCCGATCGCAAGTCAATGACTTTTAATGATTAGTTTCCTTATATTTTTAAAGTTAATTAACAAACATTAAACGTTTATGAAAAAATCTTAATCCAATTATTTCAAAGAAAACAAATCTTGAATAAGCCATCTTTTATCTTTTTAACACTCTAAGTAAGTGTTTAGTATCGTTATTTGACATAAAAATGTAGAATGGTTATGTTTGATATAAGGTTTAAATTGTTTGCGAATGAGTTTTTTTTTTTGTTTATATTGTTTGCTAATAAAGTCAATCATTAAATTATATATTGAACGTAAATATTAAATACTAGTTTAGTATCAATAAGATAATGATATGTTATTCAAGGAAATCATTTCATTGCTGAATGATATTATTGGAGTACAATGGTAAACAAAAATCGAGTCAACTAAAACAGTCCATAGATGACTTAATGTCGTTCAAATCTTGAAAGTTTGTATAAGAAACCAATCAAAGAAATTTAGAAATAATGTTTTCAATAATTTATTACATAAAATTATAATTACATCATATATGTAGTACTCTTCTTTATCAATAAAAACATAACGGGGTCCGTATCGTCGCTATCACCAAGTTTGAAGTAGCAGTGATATAATAAAAGTCTTGTCCCATTTGATAATATGACTAGTCTCCAAAAAAATCTTAAAAGATAATTATAATTACATTTTTATTTATCTTTTTCGGTGAGAAAAAATAATAAATACGGGATGGGGTATTATTCTTTTATTCCTTTTTCAGATTTGGAAAGTAGAAGAGCCTGAAATTGGTGAATTTGTGAATGCTTCAATGCAAAGTCTTGACAATATGAGACACAAAAAACAAATGTAAATAAACTAAAAAAGCTTCTCTATCCCTATTTTTGATGGGTATATAACTATATAAAAGAAAAAAATTAAATTTAAATCATGAACAAGTTGGTGGGGGGTGACACAAACCATACCTCAAGGTAGGTGATATATCCATATGGAGAGTTTTTTAGCTGTTCTTTTAAAGTTAGGACCACTTCTTCCTCAAACCTTCACAAAATCTCTATCTTTGAGATGAAACTAAATCCATCAAACTTTACCTTCTTCATGAATAAGAAAAAAACATACATTTCTCAGTCTAGGACCATAGAGACCAGGACCGGGACCAATCATGTTGTTGTGTTGGACGAAACTCGGGTTTCAGGGTTAATTCTGTATTGGTTTTTGCTATATGACTAGGGGATGTAATCATGTAACCTTTGCAAAGGCACTAGATTCCATGATCTAAGAACTCAATGCTATTACGGTATTAAGACAGCTACTACAAACTAAAAAGATGGGAGGATTCTTGTGGTTCTTGGGTCGGTCACGTTACTCCGAAAGAAGAGAAAGGGAGAGAGAGCCTAAGTCTTTGTCATCAATGAAGTTTGGTTTTTGATTGATAATTAAAATTGGTCCCCCACTTTGGTATAAATTCCAGAACATACCCAGAGATAACAGAACCAATAAAAGAAAAAGTTATTTAGGCTAAAAGTGGTCACAGGATTCTTCAGGCGGGTTTGGTTCTTTTTTTCAAACTGCAACTAGCTTTTACCCGTTAAGACAACATCTTCATCTCCCTCATATTAAACACAACGACCTAACCATATTACAGCAGTAAGCTCTAGATACATATCCCTTCATTTTTATACATCTTTTTTTCATAGTCTAGCCTAAAAAAACACCCGGTAAACTAAGAAAGCACAAAACTTTTTCAGATTTTGGAATGATGAGATGGGGAAGAAAGAAACCTGTTTCTTCTTCTTCTTCTTCTTCTTCCGGGTTGTCTCGTGCTCTTCCTGTTTCTTGGTTTTCAAAGTTAAGTGGTTCTTCTGACTTGAAACCTGCAAAAGAGAAGAAGCAAGATGAAAAAGCTAGCCACGACATGTCTGCAAAAACTTCCTTGAGTTCTACTAAACGTCGAAGTGATATTCATGAGAACAGCAAAAGGTTTCAAAGAGTATCAGTAGAAAAGGAGAACGCTACAACAAGATCAGCAGATAAAGAGTCAAATGAGAAGTTTGAAGAGATAATGAGTAGTGTGAGGAAGAAAGTAAGAGATTTCCAAAAAGAGACATGTGGTTTTCTGGAAGTGGAGGCAATGGATAGAGACAAAGGAACTGTGATCATGACCCCAAGAATTCATGTGAACAGAGATAAGCAGAGATGTGAGAGACGTGACCAAAGGCTTCTCGAACAAAAGCCAAAGAGATCAGAACAAGACGCAGAGGTCAAGGTGAAAAAACCATCGAGAAGGACAGGCACGGATTCTGAGATTCTTGGTCATACTGTAACAAAACCGGCTCATCAGTGGCAAAAGCTCAAGGAAGTCAAACTAAGAGAAGTGAAGCTGAAGGCTGACCAACAGAGGAAATCTCTGTACCTAAAAAGGGAGCTAAACAGATTAGGAACAAAAGAAAACAACAAGGTTAGAGTTTTTTCACCAAGAGCATCTGAAAAATGCAGAGTTAAAGCTATTGAAGACTTGAAGAAGGCTAAACTGAGAGCACGGGAGCACGAGCTTCTGATAGAAACAGCAGATGGAGGAATGAAGAACGAAAGCTTTGCAGTAGTTAAATGCTCGAGCAATCCTCAGAAGGATTTTAGAGATTCAATGATTGAGATGATCATGGAGAATGGTATCAACCACCCTGAAGAACTCAAAGAGCTTCTGGTTTGTTATCTCAGACTCAATACAGATGAATATCATGAAATGATCATCAGTGTATTCCAGCAGGTGCATAATGATTTTAATTTTCATTAATTTTGGTGTAGAATAGTAATATATAGATCCGTGCATGATTCATCATTATGATTTGTGGATAGTTCAAGCTTTCTACGATGTAACTAACTTCATGCTTCTTGGTTATGACTAAAACTGATAGCAATTCTATAAAATTGACAGAATAAGACCAATATAATTTTTGGAAATTACCGATTTTATTCGATTCTTAGTCCTTCACCAGCTAAGAACTCATGGACAACTCCGTCAACTTCAATCATGCTACATCCAGGCTTCTTGTTTACTCTTTCTGCTCTCATCTTTCTTCTCATGTCCATAACCTCATCCCATCTTCCATCTGAGGCATACAAGTTTGACATCTGAACATAACCTGAGCTCTCACGTGGATTCAATTCCAGTAACCGATTTGCTATACGCTCTGCTTGTTCCAGTTTTCCAAACCTTTTACAGGCACCAAGAAGAGATTCTAGTAAAATCAAAGCCTCATCTGCTGGAATCTCGTTCACAAGTTCTTCTGCTTCCTCAATTTTTCCCATCCGACCAAGCAAATCCACCATACAACCATAGTGTTCAATAGTTGGCTCAATTCCGTAAACACTATTCATCATTTCAAAAAGTTTGCGAGCTTGGTCTAACAAACCCACATGATTGCAGGCCGACAAGACACCAATAAATGTGATACCGTTTGGTTTAAAACCTTCATACACCATCTCCGAGAAGATCTCTAAAGCATCCTTTCCAAGACCGTGAACGCTCAAACCCGAGATTATCGAGTTCCATGTACTGACATCTCTCTTTGAAGTAGCTCTAAACACTTCAAGAGCCTTATCAATTTTCCCGCACTTCGAATACATATCCACGAGAGCTGTTGCCACAAACCCTTCAATCTCAATCCCATGCTTGTCTATGTAAACATGTACCCACTCACCTTGACTCAAGGATCCAAGACTAGCACATGCAGATAAAACATTAACAAGAGTAAAACCATCTGGTTTCTCTGCTGAATCATCCAGCATCATATTAAAAACCTCTAAAACCTCGTTGTAGCAACCCACATGTGCATAAGCAGTCACCATAGCGTTCCAAGAAACAACATCTTTCACCGGCATAGAATCGAAAACCTCCCTAGCTTCCTTAACCAACCCCGCAGCCGCATAACCTGAAACCATAAAATTCCAAGACTCCACATTCCGTTCCTCCATCTCATCAAACAACGCACGAGCTTCTTCCACCAAACCCTTTTCAAGATAAGCACTCAACAACGAATTCCACGAAACAGCATCTCTCACAGGCATTCTATCGAGCACTTTACGTGCAATCTCAAAGTAACCGCTTCTTCCATAAACATTAACCAAAGTATTCTCCACAAACACATCAGTCACCAAATCACTCTTCATAAAAAGACCGTGAATTTGCCTTCCTTCTTCAAACCCACAAAACGCACCACAAGCTTTCAACACAAACGTGAAACTGTACTTATCGGGAAACACAGGACCAAGAAGCATATCACGAAACACGGTTAAAGCAATCTCAGGAGTAGAGCTATTAGCATAAGCTCTGATAACGGAATTGTGAGTGAACCCATTAGGGCTCTCGATGCGATTGAGAATAGAGTGAGCGTAAGAGACAGTTTTGGGTTCTGGGTTTGTTGCAGCGAAGGCAACAAGCTTGCTTGCGGAAAACGTGTCGTGAAAAAGACCTGTTTTGAGCATAAAGGCGTGAGCTTGTTGAATCTCCGACAGAGATTTAGCTCTCTCTGTGAATGACAGAATCGGTACTGGTGGTGTTGATGAACAAGCACTCATTTTTTACAATTCTCTTTCTACACACAATGTTTTTTCAACCGTATAAAATTAAAGCTATGTAAAATGTTAAATCCTAAATGAAATCAAATCAATGAGTCAACAGATTTTTAATAATTTAAACTTCATTTTTGTGATTGTAATTATTTTATAAGAAATTATCGAAAATATTAATATAAATCTTTAATAATTTTTTATTATTATGGCATTTTATAAGAAAATAGAACATATATATAAATAAAGAAAAAGTCTATTAATTAAACAAGGGTAATAAACACTATGGTTTATTGACGTGTGTGTGTGTATATAGATGACATAAAAGTACAGATAGTGGAAATTAAGTAGGCATAATGCAACACGAAAACACTTAACTAAGTCAGCAAACTAAGTTCAGATTATAATGAGAAACAAGATAAATAATTTGATCTCCTATATAAACAGAGCCAGAGGTGATTACGTTTAGTTATACACTATCACAAACGAAAATTAATCAAACCAAAAAAAGAGTTCGAGAAAGGAGAGCTTAGAGCGCTATGGAGAGCAAGAAAAAGCAATTGTCTGAGAACTTGCGCGATCTGAAGAATGCCGTCCAAGTGCGCATGGACAACAAGACGACGACGGCCGCGGAGTTAGAGGCAATTTCCGAGAAGCTTCTCAAGTGCTGCATTGATGTCATGACGATCACGGTGAGACCGGTGGAGGGAGAGGGACCATCGGAGAAACCATCGAAGGCTGAAGTGAAACCATGATCGACGTCCACGGTGGTATCAAAGTTATGAAAAATAATATATATAACTAATTAGGATAATCTATCTTTTAGTTTCTAAATAACTATGGTTGTTTCTGTTAAGAAAACCTAGATGATGATGGTATAGACAAACTTTAATACATAACGATAGGGTATATATATGCTCTGTTATTTGTTTATAAATAACGAATGTGTTTTTGTGAAGAAATCTAATACAGTGGACTGTGGACAAGTAATTATTATAACGAATTATGATGCTCTTTTTCATCTCTAATTAAATAACGAAATGGTTGTTTTTGTTAACAGATTCTTAATTTTTTAAAGTGTTGAGTAGAGAACTAGATGATGACGGTATAGTGCGAACGACTTGCATAATCAAACCGACTTAATTCATGAATCATGAGTAAATTTGTACCATGACATTAGATCCATCTTTTGGCTCTCGTTCACTTCCAAAGATTATTTTAAATTTATTTGAAAACATTTCTTCATTACTCTAATGTCATAACTATATAGAAAAAATTCAAAAGACTAAATTTTGTCACTTATATATGGCTAATGATAAAATGGACATTAACTAATTAACCAATAATACATATCAGAGAACAAGTTGACTAACCCTTGTAAGATGAGCCGTTTTTTTTTTTTTTTTTGCTAAGAATGTTAATATCATATAAATGAAGTTGAAGGTATTACAGAGCATTACCTAGAGTAGAGTAATCTTGGCAAAAAGAAATAAAAAACAAGATTACAATAAGTTTGGGTAATAGATGAGCTATTTGATCCAAAGAAGCATGAGATTACTCCAACGCTTCCTATGCCTGCGAGCTGAGATTGTATTACGAACCTCACGGTCAATGATCTTGAAGATGATCAGAGAACTGATGGACTGCAAATTATGTAGTACATTATTCCTCTGCCTCCAAATATGGTAAATTGAAGCTTGGGCAGCTACCTTGCGGAGTAACGACGGAGCCGAGTTAGAAGATAATCGCATCCACGATAGAAGTTCTGACCAGTTGTACATTATTCCACGTCTTGGAGAAAGCCGAATAAAAACCTGCTTCCAAATCTCCGCAGCAAAATCACATGAAAGAAAGAGGTGGTCTCTTGATTCAATCGAGGAAGAGCAGATGCAGCATTGTGATGAAGGAGCAACTCCCCAAGCTGCAAGTCTCTGTCTAGTTGGAAGTCTGTCAAGTTGGGCTACCCACATATTAAATGCATTCTTGGGGACAACTCCTTTACACCAAATCGAAGTCGCCCAGTCCTTTACCTGGTCACGTGGCCTCAGAGCTTCCCAAGTTCTAGAAGAAGAGAAGCCAATGCATTCTTGATCATTCACAACCCAGAGAAGCCAATGAGCCGTTGGTTGTGACTTGTGACGAAGCCGAGTGTAAGGGAGCGAGTAATTCTTTCTTTCCAAAGCTCATAGACTGTTGCATGAAGTAAAATTTTGCAAATTGCATTGAGTTTGCGGTTTGGAGATGGAGCATTTGCCCGAGTCATAATCATGTCAAAGTCTGTTGGATCACACAATCCGTCGTCTACTTTCATTTGAAATCAGATCAAAAACAAAACAGAGAAACATAAATGGAACTCTCTCCCCATTTTCCAACAAGACACTAGTTTTGGATCGAATTCATTAGGTTTCTTCTTCAAAAACACAATTTTGCTCTTCACTTCCGCAGTTTTATCCACCGTTTAATTTGGCTCAAAGCCCTAGACTTTGACTCGTCTTCCGCAGTATCCGATATGGGTTTTGCGGAATCAGAAACAGGATCATCAACCAGGGTTTTGGGAAAACAGCGTCTTGGATTTTCATTTTCTTCCGCGAGGGACAAGAAGTAGAGGTCTGTGGCGTCTTCTTCATCTTAACGGAGAGGAGTGTTACACAAGTTACTTGATACAGAAATTACATCTTATTGTCATTTTTATAACTTGTTCGGGAAGTTAAAACAAGTACCTGATTTTGGGCTTTGGACATTCTCTTTAGATTAGAATCTTTGGGCCCTTAATTGTGGGGATCCATCTTTATGGGCCAATTCATTCAATTCATTTTTCTAATTTTCAATTTAGGGAAGTAAAGTGTATAGATTACAATAATAAAATTTTGTAGATTTCATTTTAATTTAAACTTTGGATCTATAACTTGTAATAAGTTTTTATATTAATATTTGTTATATTTAGTGATTATTAGATTGCTTACCTAAAGATGTATTTAATTAATTAATTTTCTATAAAAGAAAATCTTATCAAAATTTTAATATTTCTTAGAAAATATCCAATTGTAATCAAATTTAAATTTAATATTCATTTGATAATTAATTTTCTATGATATATAAGATATAATATTGTGGAATTTTATAGAAGAAAATCACTTTATTTGGGTAGCATATTTAATTTTTGAATATATTTTACTTCTAAATATTTATGAATTGTGAGTATATATAAAGGACATGTAACTTCAAAGAGTTGCAACACTGTATGAGAAAAATAAAACAAGTTAAAGGGTGCTTTAGACTGCTGTAAAAAAAAAGAGGTGAAAGTAGATTTCTTTGGATTTTGAAGCTTGGCTGAGATAAATTAGATAATAATCTCTAATTCGGTTTTGGGTGTGTTAACGATTATATATAGATTCAAAATGTTAAACATGAACGAAAATGAAGGTTCATCAACCTCAATATCTAATTTCATCACCACAATATATGATATGGTCGACGATCTTTCATCAGATTCAATTATTTCTTGGAGCCAGAGTGGCAAGAGTTTTATCATTTGGAATCCAGAAGAATTTTACAACAATCTCCTTCAAAGATTTTGCTTCAACTTCAAGGCCAATACTAATCTAAATTGCTTTTTCTCTTACCTTGCTACACATGTAAGTTACTTATATGTTTACTTTAGTAAGATGTCATCATATATAGTTTTGTTTTCTCTCAACTTTGAATCTTTCTTTTTGGTAGGGTTTTAGAAAAATCGACTCTGAAAAATGGGAATTCGCTAATGATAATTTTGTGCGAGGTCAACGTCACCTCATAAATAACATTATAAGTTGTGTAATAGAGCAGAGGGTTCTATATGATCAAAGTATGGATATGTTTAAGGTGAGACAATTATTTGCGCGGCAAGTAAAAAAAGTAGAGGATCAATTGCCACCTCATAACAGTTATCCAACCTCAAAACGTCCTTTCCCCACCAAGCTCTATGAGATGGTGGACGATCCTTCATCGGATGCTATTATTTCATGGAGCCAGAGTGGCAGGAGTTTCATTATTTGGAATCCCAAAGAATTTTGCAAAGATCTTCTTCGTAGATTCTCCAATACCCTCCATATACCTTTATTCTTCCATAAACTTCAAAGATTTGTAAGTTTTTTTATATGTTAGTTTTGTAAGACGTAATCATATTCTTTTAGCTAGTTTTTTTTTTTTTTTGCTGAAAAACTTTGAATCTTCTTTTCTCTATAGGGTTTCAAAAAAATTGATCCAAAGAAATGGGAATTCGCAAATGATAATTTTGTTCGGGATCAATGTCACCTTGTGGAAATCATTATAAGCAATGAAAAAGAGAAGATTGATCAACTAAGTAAAAGATATGACAGACAGAAAAAACTGGGGGAGGCAAGAGAATTGTTTAAGTTGCAAATTGAGGAAATGAAGAAGGCCAAGGAAGTAAAGGAACAAGAGGTTCGACTACAACATCATATAGGACTTTGCAAATTATGATTTTGTTTGAGGTCAATCTCATTTTATGAAACAATATCCATAAGGTCTAGCTGTCATTACCATTAAAGTTTTTATTTATTAGTATTTTTTTTTGAGATTATGTTCTTTGTTTTCGTTTGTGCAACAGTTGCTGCTTTAGTTTTCTGCTTTTTGTTTTAATTCCTTATAATTATATAAACCTAATAATATAGTTTTTTAATAAAAAATTCTATTACTTAAAAACAAAAATTACAAAGCCATAAAAAGTCCGCAATGGCCCAACAGAGAAAAAAACACAAATTTCTCATCCGAAAAAATATGCTGGCAATATATACAACCTAATAAACATAAACAGACTCAGTTGAAAAAATCAAACCAAGTACCCAACAACAAACTAATCGTCGAAGTAACTCTTTGAGCTCTAGACAAAAGATCTAACTAGCAACGAATGGTGTTCTTAATGTCGATGGTCAAAGTCGGTTGGTGGTCTAGCTACTTGAGAATGTAACATACAATGCTGATTTTGGAAAGGTAGCATGAGGATCAAAGCGATATTCAAATTGCGACAAAGGTCTTTAATCCATTTAACCCCATTTTCAAATAAAGTGGATAGAGTTAACATGGACTTTAGATATGAAAAAGACAAAACCTCGCCTGAAAATATGCAATCATAAAAGAGGTATTGAATCGATTCATCATGTAAATTGCAAAGGAAACAAGTTGCTAGGACCGACAAACCCCAACCCAATAATCTATCTAGAGAATGTAGCCTTCTTCTAATGACTACCCAAGCGAGGAATGCATGTTTTGGGAATCCTTCCTTTAAACCAAATCTCTTCATGCTAGTCCACTACAATATTTGGAGGATTCCGATAGTGCCAAAGTTTTGAACTTTAAAAAATAGAAGAATGAGGCTTATCACCGATAGCCACAAGAACCTATCATCTTCCAATGATGGTCATGGATCAACAACTTCTGGATGAGGTAAAATATAGTTATTTAGTATTATTTTTTAACATAATTAATAATATCATTAATGTAATGGAGAACGTAAAGAAATGCTCTACGTCTCTCTCTCTCCCCCTTTGAGAAAGAAGAGAAAGGAAATAGAATCAACCTGGCACAGAAACATTTTTGATTAAAACAAAAAATAATGAAACATAAAGACATTAAACGGTCAAGAGCTGTCTTCAAATTTGACTTATGTGAATCTTGGATAAAAGAAAATCAAATAAAACAAAGAAATCATGACTCATGCATGCATGTTCCACTTTAATACAATGTCACCATTAGCGTACGTAGAGACTAGAGTGTCACTAAAATTCTTTAATAATCAACATAAAAACAAAACAAAGTATCCACTCCTTAGCAAATGAAAAAGAAGTGTCGACTCGGGAGTATTTCGTACGTATAGTAGAAACATTTGTAACTAACGTAACAACTTTAATTCATCAAGAATTGTATTATTTATAAACTATTATATCTCGCTAGCTATAATATTTATATTTTTGTATTATATTCTGTAATTCAGTAATACTCTCGCTTTTAATAAATATTAAAATATAATATAATCGTAAATTATAACATTGTAGTATCAAAAATAGTCCATACCAAACCAATTAACAAAAGAATAAATCCGTACCAAAGATTGTCAATATTGAGTGAGGTACTCTACAATTGCTTATTATTCATAGTATTTATTAATTGTTCTTTAAATATGATTTTATTAGTTATTATTTTTATTTAAGATGATTATATTATTTATGTGTATATATGCAAAAAGTTAATTAAAATAAAGAGTTCCAACTTACATCTTGATGTTAATTCTCAATAAAACAAATATTATTATTGTATTCATTCATTATATCACCCCCGCCCCCCTTTGGTTCTTGTTTGACAAATTATATATATATATATATATATATAGATTTTACTAGATCATCACCCGTACTACAGTACGGGTTGAATTTCATTTATTACAAAATTTATAAATTTTATGTTTTAGAATAAAGTTGTGATATATTATAATAGTAAGTGAAAAAATAATATTTTTTTTTTGTCAGTCCCTATATATAATATTAGAATGAATATATTTTCCTTTTTCTATTGTATTCAATTATGGATATTTTTTTTTAAGATATAAAAACGGAAAATAAGATTATTTTTAAAAAAAATTAATATTGTTTGAACTTTGAACAATAAGTTAATTTATGTTAACAACCACAAAATGAGAGTGCATATAATTTAGTTAGATCAAAAATCAAAATATCATAAATGAATCGCATTTAAAACGTAGATTATTTTGAATTACTTAAAAAAATTAGCTATTATTTTGAATTAATTTAGGAAATTATTTTTTCAAATTCTGATTCATTGGTTGTTGAAATAGAGATTTGTTTGAGCTAATTACGGAATTTACCAATTATTCACATAATCAAATATGTTATGAACATATATTTGGTATATAATAATACCAAATTTAATCCGTGTGTGGAGTCTATATTTTCATTTTACAATCCGTATGAAAATATTGCGGCACAATCTATTATTTATTATTTTCAAAATTGCTTGCAGAATCAAATTTTCAAATATTTAGAAGTGTCAAACCTTATTTAACTCATCTCATCATAAAATCTTAAAATACCGTCTGTTATAAGGATCATAACTTTCTACCATATAATACATTACATTTAACCCGCCGCCTACTATAAATATTTAAACATATCTTTTTAGAAAATCAAATTAATGTATTTATAATTTTTTTTATCTTTTTAATCTATTAAATATTTATGATATTCTTTAATATATTAAATTAAACTATTTTAAAATGTTCCAAATTAAAATCTTTAAATTTTTTTATTGTATTATGTAAAATTATGAATTTAACAAAAAATGATATGAAATTAAATATAAATATTCAAATAGTTATAAGGATCATAATTCATTTCATCATATAATATATTATATTCAACCCGCCGCCTATTATAAATATTTGTTTCAAAAAATCAAATTAGAGTATTTATACTTCATAAATTTTTGCTCTATTAAGTATTGATGATATTAAAAAAAAAGGAATATATTACTCAAATATGAATTTTTGACCCGTTAAATTTGTTCTTTCATACATTGAATAATTTATATTCGTTTTTAAAACTTCAAATCTTGGTATATGCGGAAAAAAATTTACTTTTTTTTTATTATATAGATGATATAATGATTTATTTATTTAGAGAAATAGAATCATATAAAGAAGAGAGGTGAAGTATAATGATTAATAACAAATTAATATGGTAAGTTAGATATCAAATCTTATATGTTCATTTTGATTGGTCATTCTTTTTAAAGAAATTAATAATAGATTTTCGTTTTTATAATTAAATTAAATTAATTAAATTGCATAAAACAGTATTTGACTTGTTTATCCTTAATGAGTTGAATTAATTTACTCTACAAAATTTTATTTCTAATGGCATTCTTAAGTAAATTCTTACAAAGGGGAAGGTTAATTAAGGGTAATCCATAAATTGTACTCCCCAAATAATAGTATAGGATGCAAAAAGTTAATTAAAATAAAGAGTTTCAACTTAGTTCTGGATGTTATATTTCTCAAAACCCCACCCTCTCATATTAATTATCAAATAAACTATGGAAAAAAAGTACAAAACATATACCAAATAGCATAGTTTGTTAGAAAATTATTTAGAACAAGAAATACCAAATGGGGTACTATTCCATGTCACCTTTTAGAAATTTCAGGAAAGCCATATTTTCAAAGTTTGAGTCGACAAGTTTTGGAAAAAAATTCTTAAAACATTTAAAGGGTGCAACTGTTGAATGTTTAGGGTAAAAAGTTGAATTAAAAGGAATTGAAAATTCCTAACCAGAGTACTTGAAATGGTAGAGTCATTTTCTTTTTCTCCTCTTATTTTTTGCATGTGACTACATTTGCTTTTTCTTTTTCTATGGTATGATTGGTATCGGTTATCTTAAACATTGTTTTGCAACTATTCTATGCACAAACTTAAAAATTACATTAACTGGAGAATCAAAGTTTTTTATTTTTGTTAAAGGACCTGAGAATCAATGTTTCAATCACAATGTTGAAACTTTTTTCCTAACAAATAATACACCATTTTCCAAGTTGTATCAATACATTTACATACTTCGATACAATTTCTTCGTATAAATGGAAATGGTGGTGTCTATTTCCTCGCTTAATTAAATCAGGTGCAGAAAGTCATAAAGAAAGCTCTACAACTTTCCTTAAAATGCCTTTTTAAGAAGACACATAAGGAATTCCTAAATGGATTCGACTAAGAAAAATGTGGATATATGTTTGAAATTCAAGAATGAAAATACGAATATTTTGAACCAAAGTCTTTTTTATAATATATTTATATATTGTATTTTATCAAAAGTCTATTACAAATACGATGGGATGATAAGCATATAACCTTTTAAACCAGAGTCTATTACAAGTACGACTTTATTCCAATATACTAATTACAAAAGCAAGTAGCATTAATTCTTTATTAATCGTCAAGTTATCACTAAGTAACTTATCAATCCTCGTCGCTGTTGGACCCTGGCGGCACGTCGTGGTCGTTGATTACAATTTCGTCTGGAGCCGGAGCCGGAGCCTCTGGACCAGCCGGAGCCGGAGCCTCTGGACCAGCCGGAGCCTGAGCCTCTGGACCAGCCGGGTCAGCCACTGGATCAACTGGGTCAGCCACTGGATGCAGCAACTCGTTTGCGTCCAGAGCGTTCATGATATTTTCTAGCAGCACACGGATTGCTACCAGCTGATCCACATCGACCATCTCATTTGAGGAACAAGAATTAAGTTAGATATTTTAAATATCAATTTTAAGTTGATTTCTTCAATTGTTCTAGATAAACGAAAATATTTACAAACCAAAAAAAAAAAGTAATAAACCAAAAGATAAAGTGAGAAAGACACGCAGCATACCTCGTTTACGTGAAACCTAAGGTTATCAATAAGATTAACCTGGAACCTAGCTAACACAGTGTAAATATCGTTTCTAACTTGGTCCGCCATTGTAGCTTCTTCAAAAGCTTTGCAAATGAAGGAAGAAGAAAGAAAGTAAAAGCTTTGCAAATGTAATTAAGGTGAGAAGATGGTGTTAATTAAGATCGTATTATATAGCCAAAACATTACCATTTTAGGTAGGTCTTTAACAACAACAAGAAAGAAGGTGTATGATCATCATTTCAGGTAAATTGTTTGAAACTTGTGATCGTATGTAGTTACAATGAATGTGTAAGTAATATATTATTTCTTCCTAAATCGTATATGTTAAGTTGTAACCACCAGCACTTTGCATTAAGAATTTCTGTTTTTAGAATCGTAGAATTAAAAATAAATAAGACATCCACATTAACGTTATCTCTAAATTCTAATTAATTAGTTTTCTTTTTGGTTACCAGAATCTTATTATTAAGTTTTCATTCATTAATTTTAAACATCCACATTTACAAAAAAAAAAATACATATAAAAGCTTTCACAATATCAAAAGGAAATTAAATTTCAAATATTATCTTAAAATAACATTTTATAGAAAACTAAATTATATATAAAAAACATCTTATAGAAATATAATTTTCTGTAAATTTTCTAGAAAAAAACAACTAATTAGAAAAGTATAACTATATCTCTCTCTCATTTGCTGCATTGCATAACGCATTTTTAATTTTATATATAAAAACTAAATATTCTTTAATTGGGACACATACAACTATCAACAAAAACATATAGTTAGACACATATAACTATCAACAAAATCATATCATTAACTGGGACACGCATCATATATGTAAAAGTTCTTTCTGAAAACACATGTTTGAGTGTTTGACGTTAAACTTGAGTTTTACATAATTTGATCGCGTTTCTTGTCCAACACTACTTAGCACACTTCCATCACTTTAATTTCTTGTGAATTTGGAAATTTTCTTCAATCTACAATGTGCCATTGTGATGCTCACAGCCACACAGACTCATCAAATATCAAATAGCATACGAAAAAGAAAAATAAAATACCAAATGGGGTACTCTTCTAGTCCTAATAAAAAGACAGTATTTTTTCTTGTGGGCTGTCACCTTTAAATATTTCAAGAAAGTCATGGTTTCCAAGTAGACAAGTTTTGGAATATGTTTCTTAAAACAAAATAAATGGTGCATGCAACTGGTGAATGTTTAGAGTAAAAAGACGAATTAAGACGAGTTAAAAAAAAAAGGCATAGGATGAAGAGAAAATTCATAACTAGAGACTAGAGTAAATGAAAAAATGGTAAGAGTAAAAATTTGTCTTCTTTTTTTTTACTAAGTGGAAAATATTCCAAGTGTATTCAACAAAACTAAAGAGAAAGGAACTAAACCAAAGCTTTCCTTTGATTGGACGATAACAAAGTGTTCCCACTAATCAAAGTCAAAGGTCTTCGAGTAACACCGTAAGAGTGTTTTACCTATATCAAGCTTGAGCAGGAGTAAGGGAGTAGGATTTGGAAAGCTATACTTAAAAAAATATATATATATATATTTAAAGGACTACACTTAAAAAAAAAAAAAAAAAAAAAAAAAAAAAAAAAACACAAGGAGACCAATGGCACCAAAATTTCCTAAACCTAAGTTTACATGATCAATTTGTCTAAAGCCCTGCCAAAAAAAATCCGTACCAAAGATTGTCAATATTGAGTCTCTGCATGTCACAATCTTAATTAACACATGCTCATTATTTTTCTAGTATTTATTAATTGTTCTTTAGATATGATTTTGTTAAATATGTGTATATAGGCACAAATTTAATTAAAATAAATATTTTCAATTTACTTCTTGATGTTATTATTGTTGTATACAACTCAAACACCCACACTCTTATATATTCACAATTACCAAATAATCTATTCAAAATATATATATACCAAATAGTATAGTTTTTCAGAAAATTATTTGTAACAAGAAATACCAAATGGGATACTATTCCATGTCACCTTTAAATATTTCAGGAAAGCCATATTTTCAAAGTGTGAGTCGACAAGTTTTGGAAAAAATTTCTTAAAATATTTAAAGGGTGCAACTGTTGAATGTTTAGGGTAAAATGTTGAATTTAGAGGAACTAAAAATTCCTAACTAGAGTAATTGAAATGGTAGTAGAAAACATTTATTCTTCTCTTCTTTTTGCATGTGACTACATTTAGTTTATTTTTTCTTTTTCTTATGGTTTTCCTTAAACATTGTTGTGACAATTATTCTATGCACAAACTTAAATCACAATAACTCACATTATAAAGGTTGAATAAGAAAATCATTGTTATGACGACTGCTTAACCGGAGAATGAGAATCAATGTTTTTTTTTTGTTTTTTTTTTTTGTTAAAGGACCGTAGAATCAATGATCGATCACAAAGTTGAAAACTTTTTCCTAACAAGTAATAAACCATCTTCCAAGTTGTATCAAAACATTTCCGTCGATACAATTTCTACCCGTAAATGGAAACGTAACATAGTTCCTCGCTTAAACTCAGGTGCAACAAAGTGCTACAATTTTTCCTTAAAATCCCTTTTTAAGAAGAAACATACGAATATTTTGAACCAAAGTCTTTTATATATATATATATATATTTTTTTTTTATTTCATCAAACTCTATTACAAGTACGGTGGGATGAATGATAAGCATATGAAGCAGTTTGAACTTTAAACCAAAGTCTATTACACATACGATTTTATTCCAATATACTAATTAAGAAAGCAGGTAGTATTAATCGACCAATTATTACTAAGTAACTTATCAATCCCCGTCGCTGTTAGTTGGACCCTGGCGGCACGTCGTGGTCGTCGATTACAATTTCGTCTGGAGCCGGAGCCGGAGCCTCTGGACCAGCCGGGTCATCCATTGGAGCAACCAGCTCAGGATCATGATCCATTGGATCAGGCGGTTGTGGCAGCAACTCGTTTGCCTCCAGACCGTTCATGATATTATCCAGCAGAGCTCGTATCTGTTGCAGCCGATCCACATCGACCATCTCATTTGAGTAAAAAGAATTAAGTTAGATATTTAAGTATCAAATTTAAGTTGATTTCTTCAATTGGTCTAGATAAACGAAAATATTAACAAACCAGAGAACAGAAAAAAAGAAAAAGAAAAAAAGTAATAAACCAAAAGATAAAGTGAGAAAGACACGCAGCATTTGGAGCTTACCTCTTCTATGAGATCGTTAACGTAGTCAACAATACTAATCTGGAACGTATCTACGACAATGGAAACATTTGCTCTAGCGTTCACAAGTGCGTTGTCAGCCATTGTAGCTTCTTCAAAAGCTTTGCAATTGAACAAAAAAAGAAGAAAAAAAGAAAGTAAAAGCTTTGAAAATGTAATTAAGGTGAGAAGATGATGTTAATGAAGAACGTATTATATAGCCAAAACATTATCATTTTGGGTAGGTCTTTAACAACAACAAGAAAGAAGGTGTATGATCATCATTTCAGGTAAATGTTTTGAAACTTGATCGTATGTGTGGTTACGATGCATATCCAAGAAGTTTTTTTCCTAAATCGTATATGTTAAGTGGTAACCACCACCACTTTGTATTAATCATCACTGTTTTTAAAATTGTAGAATTATAAATAAATAAGACAGCCACATTAACGTTATTTCTAAATTATAAGTTAATCAATTTTCATTTTGGTAACCAAAATTTGATTATTTTACATTCTCTAATTTTAAACATCCACATTTTTATTAGTCAACATAGGAAATTTACTGACCTGTGTTTGATTTATGATTTTCCTTTCTTCAAATAACATTACTATATTAGGACTATGATCGAGTCTAGGAGGTGGTCCAATTAACTCATTAATTAGCACACGGTTTTCTCCAATTGAAATTTACATATAGGAAAGTTTGCTCTCACATCAAAAGGATATGAGCTTTCAAAAAGTATCTTAAAAGAACATTTTATAGAAAATTAAATTTAAGAAAAAAACAACATCTTATACAAAAATATTCTGGAAAACCTAATTAGAAAAGTATAACTATCTCTCTGTCTCTCTCTCATTTGTTGCATTCCATAACACATTTTTCATAGCTAAAAGCTAAATCCTATACTATTATTTGGGGAGTACACTTTATAAGATACCCTTAACTAACCTTCCATTTTGTAAGAATTTACTTAAGAATGCCATTACAAAAATCTTCTTTTAGAACAAATTTCATTCAATTTATTAAGGATAAACAAGTAAAATACTAATTTATGTCATTTAATTAATTTAATTAAATTATAAAACGAAAATATGTTATTCTATTTTTTTTAAATGACCAATCAAAATGAACATATAAGATTTGATATCTAACTTACCATATTAATTTGTTATTAATCATTAAACTTCACCTCTCATCTTAATATGATTATATTAATATGAAACAAATAAATCATCATATCATCTACATAATAAAAAAAAAAAAGTAATTTTTTTTTCTACATATGCCAAGATTTGAATTTTTAAAAACGCATATAAATTGTTCAATCTATAAAGGAAACAATTAAACGGGTCAAAAATTCAGACTTGAGTAATATATTTCTTTTACACAAAAATAAAGTCAACAAAAATTTTGACTGAGCAACGGGTCAGAATTTGAATATTTATATTCGATTTCATACATTTATTTTTTTGAAATGTATAATTTTATATACTACAATAAAAATTTAAATATTTTAATTTGCAACATTTAAAATAAGTTTAACTTGATATTTTTAGAGAATATCATCAATACTTAATAGTTCAAAAAGTTCAAAATTATAAATACTCTAATTTGATTATTTTTAAAAATATTTATAATAGGTAGCGGGTTAAATATAATATATTATACGATGAAATGAGTTTTGATCCTTATAACTATTTGAATATTTATATTTAATTTCATATAATTTGTTTTTTGAAATTCATAATTTTATAAACTACAAAAAAAAATTAAAATTTTAATTTGGAATATTTAAAAATAGTGTAGAACATTTAAATATGGTTTGACACCTCTAAATATTTGAAAATTTGATTCCGCAAACAATTTTAGAATTAACGAATAATAGATTGTGCACACAATATTTTAAAATAAAATATTGAGATTCTAAAATAAAAATATAGACTCCACGCACGGGTTGATTTTTGTATTATTATATACTAAATATATGTTTATAACATATTCCATTATGCGAATAATTGGTAAATTCCGTAATTATAAATCTCAAACAAATTCTGTAATTAGATTAGCTCAAACAAATCTCTATTTCAACAACCAAAGAATTATAAATTGAAAAAGAATTTTCTAAATTAATTCAAAATAATAGCTAATTTTTTTTAATTAATTCAAAATAATCTATGTTTTATATGCGATTCATTTATGATATTTTAATTTTTGATCTAACTGAACTATATGCAATCCTATTTTGTGGTTGTTAACATAAATTAACTCATTGTTCAAAAAATACTACTTTTTAAAAAATAAAATTATTTTCCGTTTTCATATCTTAAAAAAAAAATTATCCATAATTGAGTATTATAGAAAAAATTCTATATTTTTTCTAATATTGTATATAGGGACTGACAAAAAAATTAATATTTTTTCACTTACTATTATAATATATTAAAACTTAGTTCTAATATATATATTATATAAATTTTGTAATAAATAAAATTCAACCCGTACTTTAGTACGGGTGATGATCTAGTATACTTTAATTGGGACACATACAACCATCAACAAAAACATATAGTTACCTGGGACACATCTCATATGTGAAACTTCCCTCTCTCTTTTTTTGTGCAACATGTGAAATTCCCCATCAAAAACACATGTTTGAACTTTGAAGTTAAACTTGAGATTTCACACAATTGGATGGTGTTTCTTGGCCAACACTACTTACCATACTTTTATAACTTTAACTTCTCATGAATTTGGAAAATATCTCCCATCCACAAGGTGCCATGGCGATCCTCACAGCCACGTAGATTAATCAATTATCAAAAGAATGTGGAAAATGAAAAGAAAAAAAAAATCAAATGGGATACTTGTTGGCTGGCACCTTAAAATATTTCGGGAAAACCATGGTTTCATAGTGGACAAGTTTTGGAATAATTTTCTTAAAATAAATAAAGGGTGCAACTGGTGAATTAACGGTTAGAATAAAAAGATCAATTAAGAGGAAATGAATTAGGAAGAAGAGAAAATTCAAAATAGAGTAATTAGGAAATTGGTTGAGTGCAAATTTTGTCTTCCTTTTTTACTAAGTGAAAAATATTCGAAATGTATTTGACAAAACTAAAGAGAAAGGAACAAAAATAATGGTTTGTTTCATCTTTTCCACAAGTATTTAATTAGTAGGTGGTATTTACTGTATTTAGCAAAGAATCAAAGTGAAGCCCATGTCCATTTGATTTATTCTTTTACTTGCCTCTCAAACACTTCTCGTTCCTCGTCTTGTTTCTGTAACTCTTCAAGCAATCCTTCTTTCTCTTTTGTCAATCTCTCAATCTGATTATTCATTCTCAGTCGCTCTGAATCCGTCAACGGGTTTTGCTGAGCTTGAAGATTTGGTAAAGAGTGGCTGTGAACAGGTTTGCGTCTATGAATGTTCTTCATAAGATGAGGTTGACCTCTCACAAAATCATCATTCGCAAATTCCCATTGGACATTCTCTTTAGATTAGAGTCTTTGGGCCCTTAATTGTGGGGATCATCCATCTTTATGGGCCAATTCATTCAAATCATTTTTCTAATTTTCAATTTAGGAAAGTAAAGTGTATAGATTACAATAATAAAATTTTGTAGATTTCACTTTAATTTTTGGATCTATAACTTGTAATTAATTTGTTAAACTAATATTTTTTATATGTAGTGATTATTAGATTGTTTACCTAAAGATTTATTTATTTTTTTATAAAAAAAAGTCTTATCAAAAAATAATATTTCTTACAAAATATCCAATTGTATTAAATTTAAATTTAATATTTCTTTGATAATTAATTTTCTATGATATGTAAGATATAGTATTGTGGAATTTTATAGAAGAAAATCACTTTATTTGGGTAACATATTTAATTTTTGGATCTATTTTACTTCTAAATATTTATGAATTGTGAGTATATATAAAGACATGTAACTTCACAAGAGTTGCAACAATGTATGAGAAAAATAAAACAAGTTAAAGGGTGCTTTAGACTGCTGTAAAAAAAAAAAGGTGAAAGTAGATTTCTTTGGATTTTGAAGCTTGGCTGAGATAAAATAGACAATAATCTCTAATTCGGTTTTGGGTGTGTTAACGATTATATATAGATTCAAAATGTTAAACATGAACGAAAATGAAGGTTCATCAACCTCAATATCTAATTTCATCACCACAATATATGATATGGTCGATGATCTTTCATTAGATTCAATTATTTCTTGGAGCCAGAGTGGCAAGAGTTTTATCATTTGGAATCCAGAAGAATTTTACAACAATCTCCTTCAAAGATTTTGCTTCAACTTCAAAGCCAACACTAATCTAAATTGCTTTTTCTCTGACCTTGATACACATGTAAGTTACATATATGTTTACTTTAGTTAGATGTCATCTAATATAGTTTTGTTTTCTCTCAACTTTGAATCTTCCTTTTTGGTAGGGTTTTAGAAAAATCGACTCTGGAAAATGGGAATTCGCTAATGATAATTTTGTGCGAGGTCAACGTGACCTCATAAATAACATTATAAGTTGTGTAATAGAGCAGATCAAAGTATATGATCAAAGTATTGATATGTTTAAGGCGAGACAATTATTTGCGCGGCAAGTAAAAAAAGTAGAGGATCAATTGCCACCTCATAACAGTTATCCAACCTCAAAACGTCCTTTCCCCACCAAGCTCTATGAGATGGTGGACGATCCTTCATCGGATGCTATTATTTCATGGAGCCAGAGTGGCAGGAGTTTCATTATTTGGAATCCCAAAGAATTTTGCAAAGATCTTCTTCGTAGATTCTCCAATACCCTCCATATTCCTTTATTCTTCCATAAACTTGAAAGATTTGTAAGTTTCTTATATGTTAGTTTTGTCAGATGTAATAGTCATATTCTTTTAGCTAGTTTTTTTTTCTTAAAAACTTTGAATCTTCTTTTTTTTTTTAGGGCTTCACAAAAATTGATCCAAAGAAATGGGAATTCGCTAATGATAATTTTGTTCGGGGTCAATGTCACCTTGTGGAAATCATTATAAGCAATGAAAAAGATAAGATTGATCAACTACGTAAAAGATATGACAGACAGAAGAAACTGGGGGAGGCAAGAGAATTGTTTAAGTTGCAAATTGAGGAAATGTTAGATATGAGAAAGAAAATGAAGAAGGCCAAGGAAGTAAAGGAACAAGAGGTTCGACTACAACATCATATAGGACTTTGCAAATTATGATTTTGTTTGAGGTCAATCTCATTTTATTAATAATATCCATAAGGTCTAGCTTATCATTACCATTGAAGTCTGCTACAATGAACTGTGAAAGATCATACATGTAATAAATAAACTGAGAAAACCTATTTTACAAGAAACTAAAACAGACTATAATTTAATCTTTGACATATCAACTTCTCTCTGAAGATGTCAGATGTCCAAGCTGTTCTGTAATTGTATTTACATTCCTCGAATTCCACCAACATTTCTCACTACGTATGGCTTGATCTTTATCATCTTTCCTCTCTGATTGAACTTCCCGTTGCTCGGTTGAGCCAGGACTCTCTGAGAAAAACTGCTGCCAGAAGACATCATTCGCTCCTGCTACTGGAGGAGGAGCAGGAGCAGCAGCAACAGTGTTCTGCTCTTTCGAAACATCGGGCTCAGAGTTCATGTCGATGATCCTTTGAGAAGGAGGAGACTTGGGACGTGTATCGATACTTAGCTGTATGCAAGAAAGAGGAGGGCTTTGTGGACAAGTAGATGATTCATCCACATCAAGTGTCATCATGCTTCTTGATTGTAACATACTCTCACAAGAATCCGATACAAGATTCTCCCAAATACCTATCGATGACTCTAACTGTTCCACTTGATGCTCTGTTGTGTGTGAAGACGGGCTTGTAGAGCCTTCCTCTCTCACAACAACACATGGTTGGTTCTCTTCCAACATCGGTTCATCGGGAAAGAACCCGATCCTAGGGAACCTTCTTTTCCTCTCGTTTGTTTCGGGAACACACGGCGAGAGGTTCAAAGCAAGCCCTGGTTTTTCCAATACTTGAGAAACAAACGAAACCATTGTTTTCTGACGTTTCTCCATGTGTTGTAACCGTTCTTTAAGTTCTTTAACTTGCCTCTCAAACACTTCTCGTTCCTCGTCTTGTTTCTGTAACTCATCAAGCAATCCTTCTTTCTCTTTTGTCAACCTCTCAATCTGATTATTCATTCTCAGTCGTTCTGAATCCGTCAACGGGTTTTGCTGAGCTTGAAGATTCGGTAAAGAGTGGCTATGAACAGGTTTGCGTCTATGAATGTTCTTCATAAGATGAGGTTGACCTCTAACAAAATCATCATTCGCAAATTCCCATTGCTCAGGATCAGCTTTTCTAAAACCCTACACATAAACAAAATCCTCCAACTAAACTTAAACCAACCAAGAAGATGATTGATCTAATCAAATACTCCACACAAAGCATGAAAACACTTACATATGTGTTAAGCTGACGGATAAAGCTTGAGAAGTTATTGTGCTTGAAGAATCTCGGAAGAAGATCTCTAGAAAACTCCGGCGGATTCCAAACGATGAAACTCTTATTGCTCTGACTCCACGAGACGATTGAATCGGATGAAGAATCATCAACCATCTCGTATGTTTTGGTGAGGAAAGGTGGGAGTGAGCTTGATGAACCTCCATGATTACTCTCATCCATCTCTAAAACACTTACAAATCTAAAAAACGCAACTTTCAACTCCAAGCTAACAATCACACTCACAAAAGCAGAGCAAGAGACTCTTTTTCAACTATAAGCTTCAAGAACCAAAAGATAAAAACTTTCAATTCAATAACTTGAGTACACAGAAAATAGAGTTAAGGATGGCTCAAAGAACTTACTATCACTAAGTTTCGATCAAATATTCAAAATCAGAAACCCAAAATTCCCTCCAAAAAAAGCTTCAAACTTGAACAAAGTGAGAGACAAAAAACCCAAAAAAACTCACCACTGTTTCTAAATAAAGACAATCAAACAAAAGCTTCTAAGAACCCCAAAAACCCTTGTAGAATTCAACGAATCTAGAACCCTTTTAGCATTAAAATCTCACCTAATCAGATAAAAAGAAGAAACCTTTATTAGCTTCTCGAACCCTCTCTGCTTCTCGAACCTAAACAGCTTCTGGACTTGGGTATTTATTTAATCAGAAGACAGAGAATTTCAAAACAGAAATGATTTGTCTGCTTCTGTAACTTTCTACCATTATTGCTGCTGAAATATCAGAGAGACTCTTTGTGGAGAGAAGACCGAAGAAAAGTAAACGAGACGATTGACCCGTTGGAGATTGACGAAGATTCGTCAAACCTTTCGTCGATGATTTTAATTAACCGATTAAAAACGCGTAATCGATAACCAAAAACGAACAATTGAAGAATTAAAAATTTCTGGAGATTTAGCTTTTGATTCCCAAAAAGGTTTTGAAGCAAGTACGAATCACAACAGAACAGCTGTTTCATTGTTTTGCAAAGATTGGGTTTGGTGGAATTTTTTTTTATTTTTTTATTATCAAAATCACCTCATGAGATGATGATAGAGCTGTTTTAAGCATAAACTTTTTTTTTTAATTATATAAAAATGTGAATAGTCAATGAATATAAGACCATCTGCATTGGGGGATCACCCCCCCTGATCTAAGCATTATTTAAATCCAAAAAAATGGGTTAATGGGCTTAAGATCAGGAACTGCGCTCTTGACCTGGATCTGTTCTTGTGGGTGTTGCGGGGTGACGTGGCATTTGGGCATTGGTTGGAATATTCAACATATTTGGAATAAATTTGGATACTAAACTATGTATTAATTAGATAAAATATTTTTGTGCTTTTATTAAGTAATATGTTTGTTTGTTTATTGTTATTTATATTTTTAATGTTTTTTTCATAAATATTTAGTATTGTATTTTCACTTTTATTTTCAGTTTTTCATAAATTTGGCATTTGCAATTTATATGTTATTTTTAAATGTTTTAATAATTGTAAAATCTTAATTTAATTTAGATTATTATATTATTAAGTCTTAAGATCTTACACATGTTCTCCCACTAATCAACTTCTAAACAAAAGATCTAAACACATGATCTTACATTATTTTAACATTATATTCTCTATAAGAACACCCTCACATGATCCCCCATTGATGATGCCCTAACAGAAAAAAATCAAAGAGATCTTGTTTGTTTGTGAGTGTAGAAGCATTTATGACCGTGAGAAATTTCGTTGTTTATCTTTTTGGGATTTATAAACTAAAGAAAAGTCTTTGATTTTTTATTTGGATGGCACGAAATCTTAAGGTCTTGTTTTGAATATTCAATTTCTGATGGCATTTGGTAAATATCATGCCTTCTTCTTTTTTTTTTGGTTTGAACATCTGAAATTTTTTTATAATTTTGATGAACATATAATAATCATGGAACAACAAAATGGTAAGAAAATTAGGAGGATAGTCGGATAGACATAGATTTATGTAGTCTTACGTTGTCGAGATGCCCCATTTTGACTTGATTACAATGGAATGTTATTGAACCGATCGAGTTCCGGCAAAATGGCTTCCCCATATATTCTTGCTTTTCTTACGAGTAAAAGGTCATGTAAAATTTTCCAAATATCTAACCGTAATGGCCACAATCGTTTAAAATACTGGTTTCATGTAATCAAGTACATGTTAGTCTTTGTGCGTCTTAACCAATATCAAAAGATTAAGTATCTTACTTGAACCTTGCCTCATTGTTACGTTTTAACCATCCTCGATCGATTGAATTAGTTTCCATCATATATTATCTATATATGAATCATCTCAAATCTTTGATCATGTTTTCACGATCACGACTGTCTATATGTTCGTAGTACATGTACTCATTCCAGTCTGTCTTCCCATGCATCATTTGGCAAAATATAAAATCAGATCTTTTTCTCCAAATGCCAAAACTAGATTTGCATTATGAAAACAAAAATTGAATCAAGTCGGTATCATCATGTAACTGTGTAAGTTTAACGCAAGTGTACGGAAAAGTTGGATTGAACCTAAAATGTTATAGTATCACCTAGATATAAGACCACTAAGCTTAGCTTATTCAAATGCTTTTGAAACAGGATTTGTAAATTCATGTCCAACGTTAATTCACTAATCCGTTTCGGTTGATGCAAAATATTGACATTTCTTTAAATAATCCATACGTATGTGCTTAGTTCACTGTCCCCGTCAACGCTAGATTACAAATTTCCAATATCAAAAACCAATTTAAAATGTTTAGCTCTGCTAAAAATATTCAGATTCAGTAAGACACAATAAAAAAATCAATAATCTAACTAAACTATAGAAATCGTAGATAACCAACATGCATATAATGGCAAATACATAAAAATGTAAATTTTTAATAACATAATTAACTTGTACTAATAAAATTGCTAAAAACTTAACAAAAAAAAAAACATAATTAAAGTGGTTTATTATTGGTTTTATTTTCCAAATATTGTTTGATAAGGATGAAAGATAGTATTGTTTTAACTAATTTGTCTCCTTCGTTAACTCATTACTGAAGTCATATATACACAAATTTGACATATTACACAACGTGTGTAAGTTGATATATATTTTGACATTATAAAGGCAAGTGTGGAATGTCGATAGTACTACAAAAATATTTAGTGTCGGATAATAAAAGGCATGTGTAGACAAAAAACCCAAAATTGTTGTTCATTATATAAGAAACATTATGTATGTGTTCTTTATCTATATAGTAGTGGTACGAATATTTTGTTGGTTGGGTAACAGATGGTCTCATATAATGTCAAAGAAGAGCTTACTTATTCTAATTACTTACTAATACTTAGATTAGAAAAATGAAATTAATGAAAAAAAGAGCAAAGGAGTCACGAGCAATGACAAGTTGATGGGAAGCAGATCGGGAGCATCACGTGACCCACCCGATTTAACGGTCATGATTAGATTTTAAAGCTATTTGTGATCCCACGAAAGGTGACCTGTCACATTCCTTTAGATGCCGCAATCTCTGCCACGTATTTTGGACCCGCAATTATTTTAATTAACTACTAATTAGTTTAGCTTAATCTATAGATTAATAACATAATTATTCATAGTCCCTATTTTCTTTTGAGGAAATATTCATAGTCTTTAGATGTGGATAGTCGTCCGTAGTTGGAAAATGCTGTCATTGAATAAGCATAAAGTTTAAACTGATAAAAAATAGTCATTACACACAAAATAGACATTATAAAAGCAGCTTGATATTCTTGACTTCTATAATTTCGAAAAACGAAATTCTCAAAATGTTATACCAAAACGATGTCGTTTGTGGTCAAACATTTTCCATTTTCCTGCTTTATTAAAAAAAAGCCTGAGCACGTGTTAACACATATGGTCATCCTTGTAAATTAAAATATACTTAAAGGGTAAATTAGTCTTTTCATGACCCGACCTCTTTTTTCTTCACCCTGCTAAGTGCTTCTTCATTTATTACTCACCAGAAAAACTCAGAACCAGAAAATTCTCAAAAAAGAACAAAAAATAAAGCGCGAAATTAGTTTTCACCGGCGAGTTTTTATCCTCTCTTCTACGAGCTAACAAATTAGAAGAAGAGGAAGTTAAAACAGAGAAACGACGCCGTTTTCTTTTTCTTCCAAATTCCGGTGATCTGAAAATGACGTCGGGGACTAGAACGCCGACTTGGAAAGAGAGAGAGAACAACAAACGACGAGAGCGGCGAAGACGCGCGATTGCGGCTAAGATCTTCGCAGGATTAAGGATTCATGGAAACTTCAAGCTCCCTAAACACTGCGACAACAATGAAGTCCTCAAAGCCTTATGCAATGAAGCTGGCTGGACTGTAGAAGACGACGGAACTACTTACCGCAAGGTAAAAAAAAAAAAACTCGATCCTAAATTTCTTGAAAATTATAGATTTTGTTGATTTTTGCGTTTATTAAAACTGTGAATAGATCTGAGCGTTCGATTTTAAGGTGAAAGAAAAAATCGGACGGTTGTGATTTGATTTTGAATGGTTTTAGTTAGTCATTGCAAACGTCAGATCGAAACCGTTCCGGTGAACTGAAACAAAAGCATGAATGTCTTAAGATTCGCTGATGCTTTCAACGAACAACTCTCTGTTCACTTTCAGATGAGAATTATAATGACGAAAATTACCCTTACTAATCACACGGTCTTAGAAGGATATTTCAGGGTAATTTCGTCATTTGAGTGATGTACATTAGAAAATGTAAGCTTTGAGAATTTTTCTTTTTGTGTTTTTCTTTGTGCTTTATGATTTTTAACTTTAGGACACGTCTGTTTCACGAAACTGCCATTGGTATTGGGTTTAGATTCCTTAGTACAACGATCGAGGTAGGCTTTTTTTTTTCTTGTTCACATGTTTTTTTTTTTTTGGGTACTTTTTCAGACTGACGCTTTCTCTGAAATTCCAATTTTGCTTTTCTTGAATCATAAAAATTTCTCCACAAAACTTTTTCTTTATTTGCTTACTTTCACACTTACATTAGCAAAAGTTAATTAACCCGTCAAAAAAAGACTCAATTTTAAACTTATGTTGCTGTCATGCTGTGGATTTAGTATTTACTAGAAAAAGCTAAATTGTGTCAAGAAAATGAAAAAGGACTTGGGATTCTTGACTCGTGTGATTTAATAGTTTCCATGAGTGTTTTTTATTTTTTGTTATATATTTAAACTGTCCTAATTCTTGTTCAACTGTCCTAATTCTTGTTTAACTGGTCAATGGTGAGACTGGGGAAATGATTTCCCTTTTGCCAACATCTAATGATGATGTTTGGATTTTGCAATTTTGCTTGTGTGGGGATAAATTAAATTAAATTATTCATTGTTTGACCATTAAATGCCAAAGAAAATCATTGTTCTTTTACCTTTTTTTCTTACCTTAGTTGCATTTGGATTTTCAATTTTCAATCATAGTGTCATCTTGTTCGTTGCTCACCAGCTTTTGCATTTCGTAAAATGGGAAAAGAACAAAAAAAAACATTTTAAACTCTCTTTAATGTAATTATTCTGTGAGATATTCTCGATCCATTAGTAAAGATTGGTTCTTTGAGCACTATACCAAAGAAAATCATTGTCCTTTCACTTTTTCTGCTTAGGTGCATTTTGATTTTCAACTATCAATCATAATGTCATCTTGTTCATGCTCACCAGCTCTTACATTTCGTGAAAATAGAACGATAAAAAAAAACATTTTATGCTCTCTTTTATGTAAATAATCCATAAGGAAAGATTGTTCTTTCCAGATCTTCTCCATCCATTAGCAAAGATTGTTCTTTGACCATTATAAAACCAAACAGAATCATTGGTCTTTATAACTTTGTTTCCTTGGTGCATTTGGATTTTCAATTTTAATCATAATGTCTTTTTTTTTGTTTGTTGCTCACCAGCTTTTGCATTATGTAATTAATCCACTAGCAAAAGATTGAGAGAGTATCAGCTTCAAATGGATTGTGTTGGTTACATTTTTGTGATATTTCTTACATTTTGCAATGAACTCTTGTGTAGGGATGCAAACCAATGGATCGAATGGAACTCATGAATGGTTCTACTTCAGCGAGTCCATGTTCATCGTATCAACATAGCCCTCGTGCTTCCTACAATCCAAGCCCTTCATCTTCATCATTCCCGAGTCCTACAAACCCATTTGGTGATGCTAACTCACTAATCCCATGGCTCAAGAACCTCTCTTCAAACTCACCTTCCAAGCTTCCGTTCTTTCATGGAAATTCGATAAGCGCTCCCGTGACTCCACCATTGGCTCGAAGCCCTACTCGTGATCAAGTAACCATTCCCGACTCTGGATGGCTCTCTGGAATGCAAACTCCACAGAGCGGACCGTCTTCTCCTACTTTCAGTTTAGTTTCAAGAAACCCGTTTTTCGACAAAGAGGCTTTTAAAATGGGAGATTGTAATTCACCAATGTGGACTCCTGGACAAAGTGGAAACTGCTCTCCAGCTATTCCTGCTGGTGTTGATCAAAACTCTGATGTGCCAATGGCTGATGGAATGGCGGCTGAGTTTGCGTTTGGTTGTAACGCAATCGCTGCGATTGGAATGGTGAAGCCTTGGGAAGGAGAAAGGATACATGGAGAATGTGTTTCAGATGATTTAGAACTTACACTTGGAAACTCAAGAACCAGATGATGATTTCAGAGAAGAATCAAAGTCCTTTGCTATCATTAATTCTTCTTTTTTGTCTGTTTTTTTTTTCAGTGTGATGTTTAAAGGTGACTGAGGAAAAAAAAAAAGGAGAAAGGAAAGGAAAAAAAGAACATTTTGAGCTCTGTTTTTTTTTTTTGGTTGGCTTTTGACTAAAGTTTGTAGTTAGAATCTATTTTATATCTCGAAGCTTTATTTTTTGTTTTTTAATATTTGTGGAAATTGGATTTGAGATTAGTGATGTTATTAGTATAATGAATTTCATATAAAATATTGAAGCCACTTTAGTAACCGTTGTGAACGTGAGAAAATATCAGTATCTATCGTTGAAAATTTTGTATTTTTTTACATTTAATAGATAACAGAAAACTTGACTACGTTGAAAGACCAAAGATATGTCCAAGAAGTCGTACGTAGCCAATAGGAAAGTCAGCTAACAATGACGACCGACCACATGTGATTGATCTTTTTTTAATTAGCGTCGTACGTAAACGCGACACTATGAAGACAATTCGTTCGTAATTGCACGAATAATACGAGTGTAGTACTTCGACTGGACTATTACAAGTCAATAAATTGCTTAGTGGATCCAATTTAAATGTGCAATTGTTCTTATATGGCTAAAAGCTAGGCCCATATCTACAGAGTTTATTTATATGAATTTATGTAAGCGAAAAAAAGGGTTAACAAACGGAACCCTTTATTAGTTCGGTCTCTCTATCTCTTTCGATAGATACCTCCAGTCTCCAGAGCAAGAGTTAAGTGTACGTAGCTTCGTTTGTAACGTAAGTTCTCTTCCTTTTCAATCTCAAAGTAGAGATTCTAATAATGAGATTTATATGAAAGATAGTTAGCCTTCTTCATCGCCGGTTATTTAGGGTTTTCCTTCGTTGTAACGTTTCATTTTTCTATAGTTAATCAGGCAAACAAAGTTTTGTAGATATGTCGCTTGGTTACGGTTTTACCGGATTCTTCTATCATTATATAATCTTTATTGTTCCTCTCAAGGATATGAAGTATTTGGGATTGGATTGATGGGTTGTGTTACATATATATGCTAGTTCTTTTAAGCTTTCCGTGAGAGGCTGAAAAAGTGTTTAGGTATATTTAATTTGGTTTGTTGGATATTTTTTATTTTTGCAGAATGATAAGTGCATTGTCATGGGTACCAAAAGGGGCTGCAAAGGCCATGCCCGATCGTGCTGAACTTCCTTCTAAGGAGGAAATCGAAAAGCTCAAAGAGAGTTGGAAATTTGTCGGTGACGATAAAGAAGAAGAAGAGACCGAGGATGAAGAAGAGAATGGTGAAGTTGCTCATGCGAAAGCCGTAGCAAAAGAGTTTGGAAAATCATCCAAAAGCAAGAATGCTTCTTCTTCAATGGAGGTTGATGCGGTAGATGATGGTTTGAAAGAACTCGACATGGATAATTACGATGAAGAGGATGATGGTAAGTTTGGTTTTTATTATTTTTTCTCCTAAAGATTTGTAGAGAATCTCAAATCTCAATTTATGCTTTCATTGTGTAAACTAATAAATTAGTTTCATTGTTATGTTTGGATTCAGAAATTGAAATTTTTAGCTCCGGGCGTGGGGATCTTTACTATAAGAGTAACGAGATGGATCCATATCTCAAGAGAAATGATGTATAAGTCCTTATCACTATATTTTTTCATGCAAAATTATCGGATTTTCTATATATACACAATAACATCTATGTTTTCTAGGATCATGATGATGACTCGGATGATGATCCAACAATCTTACCAACCGATTTAGTGATTGTCTGCGCTAGGACCGACGACAAAGATGCTAACTCTCTTGACGTTTGTCAATTATTTCAACATTTTATTTATTTATTTTACTGCACAGATCCGACATGAAACTTATATGAATGCATGACTAGGTCTATGTATGCGAGGATACATCCGATGGTTCTCCAAATATGTATAATCATCAACACATAATTATACCAGCAATTCCATTGTGTACTGCTTGGCTTGATTGTCCACTTAAAGGAGGAGAAAAAGGTTAGTGAAATGTATCACTAAAAGTTTTATAAATTAACCCAACTAGGCTCTTCATTCTTGCTATAAATAATGTTTTATATTATTTGAATCTCTTTGGGTTTAGGGAATTTCCTAGCTGTTGGTTCAGCTAAAACGCCAATAATAGAGATATGGGATCTTGACGTTGTATGTAAACTAAACTGTCTTTTTGCATATTATTTTATCAATCATGAAACACTCTATTTTAATTTAAATTGTTGATATAATGCTTCAGATGTTCGAGGTTCTACCTTGTGTACAACTAGGAGGACGAAACGAGGAAGGGGTGAGTATATTTAGTTTGGATTAATTGCAACAAAAAAATGTACAAAATGAAAATATAACCCTTATTTTGATCTCATGTCTTTTGTCTTAGAAATATAAAGAAGGTAGCCACACTAAATCAGTTCTTGGTCTTGCTTGGAATAAGGAGTTTCGGTATGTCCATGACTAAATCTGTTTCTTCCGATTTGCTTCTTTATAGAAGTCTCATTTTTTCTTTTTTCTTTTTTCCAAAAAAACAGGAATATTCTTGCTAGTGCTAGTTCCGACAAAAAAGTTAAAGTTTGGGATGTGGCTACTGGAACATGCAAGATTACTATGGATCATCACACAGAGAAGGTATAGACATTGATATCATTTCCTTACTCTTTGTTGAGAACCAATTCATAAAAATTCAGTCCTCTCCCTAGACTTGAGCTTGTGATATTGAGGAACACTCTCTTTAAAACATCTCCTAATTAATACACCAGCAGATCTAAGTGGTTAATTTTTCTTAATAAAATGGCATTATCATGGATTGTTGTTTGTATGGTACGCAGGTTCAAGCCGTTGCTTGGAACCATTATGCTCCAGAAGTGCTTCTCAGTGGGTCCTTTGATCAAACTGTTGTAATGGTAACTGTTTTGTTCAATGGATTATTTTCGTATATTCTACTCTTTTGCTTTAAAGTTAATAATCATTAATATCGGTTTGTATATTATTGTTGCAGAAAGATGGAAGACAACCTTCACACTCGGGTTTCAAATGGTCCGTCATGTCCGATGTTGAAAGCTTAGCCTGGGATCCTCATAGTGAACACTCCTTTGTGGTGCGTTACACTTTAAGTCTTTAATTAATATATACAATGTGTGTTTTTTTGGCGGGTTTAAGAAAAAAAATTTCTTCTTTTGTTTCCGATCCCTTCTTTATATATAGGTAAGTCTCGAGGATGGAACTATCAAGGGCTTTGATGTACGTCAAGCCACCACTCCAGCCTCTAATTCAAATCCAACCTTTACTATCAATGGACATAACGAAGCAGCTACTTCCGTCTCATACAACATTTCAGCACCTAATGTAAGCGTCTCTTTCTCCTTATTTGTTTTTCGATTCGATTCGAAAAATATGAATAACTACTAATTTATGGAACAAAACAAATACTCAGTAATCTTGGTTAAGAAATTAAAAATAAAGCACAAATACTAAACTTTTGAAAACATGTATATATATCCTCTTCCCTTACGCTCTCTTATGTCATTGTTCTTTGTTATGTGTGTTTTACTTGTTCTCACCATTTTGGAGCTGTAATTATAACAGCTTTTGGCAACTGGATCTATGGATCAATCGGTAAAGCTTTGGGATCTTTCAAACAATGAGCCTTCATGCATTGCTACACACACACCAAATGCTGTAAGAACCAATAATCAACCATTTAAAAAAAAAAGTTTGGTTTCCTTATCTTAACTTGATTATTAATTTGTTTGTATGACTCCTAAACTTTTGATATCACACAGGGAGGATTATTTTCCATTGCCTTCTCTATGGACAATCCTTTCTTACTCGCTATGGGTGGTGTAAGGGGGGAGTTAAAATTTTGGGATACACTTTCGGACACTAATGTCTCCAGCAGATACGGAAGCAGACAATTCCGACCGTGAAAAGTCCAAGCTAAGCTTTGATTGGTCGTCACATTCGAACACACTTAAACCAAAATTTTGTAGTAGTTTATTTGTTTGTTTTATTTCTTGCGTAAGGGCTATAATTATAATTTGTGACTCAAATTTAATAAGACCCATGACAAAAGCCCATTAGTTTATCAGAAGAAGCTCATTATATTTTAGTTAATCAATGGTTATTTCACAAACATTTGTGGTTAAGAGGATGTTTACTGTTTAGTTAGGATAATCCCACATTTGGTTTAAGATATGTTAATGGTCATTAAAATTTAATTCAAAGGTAAGGTATCACTTCCGTAATTTATTAAGAATTTCATCTTTAACAGTTTCAAGGCATTCTGTGCATATGTTTGAAAGTTTTAGGTCTTTAATACAATAAATAAATAGTTTAGGGGCTTTTAAGCAATTTACCTTAATTTGTTTCTTCTTCTTCTTCGCTTAGCGCCGCTATACCTCCCACTCTCGGAAAAAAAATCATCAGAAGCAACAAATCTTCAATTGTTAAACCCTAAACCTACAAAAGTCTTGACTTTGTTTGTTGCTCATATTCGTTCTCGATTAATTTCTTCACGAGCAAGTTATATCCCGTTTCAAAACGTAAGTTCTCTTTGATTCTTTTTCAATGATCTTAGGTAATCGAAATCTTAACCCAGTTTTGAAATTAGATGACGAAAAAAAACTAATTTCGAGCTGCCCTAAACTCAAGAACCGGCCTTTTACCGATTTGATGATTCTCTCTTTGGTTTTGTATATTTGCAGAATGATAACTGCAGTGTCATGGATACCAAAAGGGAATCTAAAAGCTGTTCCTGATGTTGCTGAGCCTCCTTCAAAGGAAGAACTTAAAGAGCTCATTGAGAGTGGTGCTTTTGCCAGAAGGTGATATTTTTTATTAAACTTAATATTGTTTCTGTTTCTATAAGTTTAGGACTTGAGGAGATTGTGATATGAGTTTGGTTATTATGTGTAGCGTGGACGATAGTAATGACGATGAAGAAGAGATTGAAGAGGATGGAGAAGAGATAAGTGAAGTTGATCATGCCAAGGCTGTAGCTGAAGCTTTTGGTAAATCTTCTAAAAGCAAGGCTGCTTCTTCTTCAATGGAGGTTGATGAGGTAGCTCAAGGATTGAAAGAACTTGACATGGATAATTATGATGAAGAGGATGATGGTATGTTTTAGCTCATTCAGTTTTTTGTTGGCTTTTTGGTGTTTGTTCTGCAATTCTGCAAGTGATAATTTTGATTAGAAGAGATAATTTGGTGTATTCCTTATGTAAAGCTACCTTTTCTTGGATTCAGGAATTGAACTTTTCAGTTCTGGAATGGGGGATCTTTATTATCCAAGTAATGAGATGGATCCATATCTTAAGGATGTTGATGTAAGCCATTTCACTGTTTCTATTCTGCAGTGAAACTTATCGTGGTTAAATTGTTTTGTGTAAGATTTAAATGTTTGGGCTTTTTAGGATGAGGATGATGAAGAGGATATTGATGACACGACAGTCAAGCCGACCGATTCAGTGATTATCTGCGCTAGGAATGAAGATGATGTCAGCCATCTAGAGGTATGGTCAATCCTTCTCGCTGTGTAGGTTACATGTTAAAACATTAGGGATCATATGAAAGCTATATATATATGACCAGGTTTACGTATACGAGGAATCGTCTGGCTCTCCAAACATGTATGTTCATCATCACATAATTATACCGGAATTCCCATTGTGTACTGCATGGATTGATTGTCCTCTTAAAGGAGGGGAAAAAGGTTAGTGTACGCTTTTATTGTTCATATGGGGCAGTTTTTTTCCTTCTTGCTATGGATGAAATCTCATTCTTACTCTTTTTTTTGCCTTGGTACTGTCAGGGAATTTTGTAGCTATTGGTTCAAAGGAATCGCCGACAATCGAGATATGGGATCTTGACGTTGTATGTAAATATAACTGACTTTGTATTTACGTTTGCTTTTATCGGTTATGAGTCTATTGATAAGGTTATTATAATGCTTCAGAGGGACGAGGTGCTACCTTGTATACAACTAGGAGGAACAGAGGAGATGATAGTGAGTAAGAAAAAGAAGAATAAGAAAGATAAGAGTAAGAAACAGAAGATTAAGAAACCGGTGTGTGCATCAAACTCGTGTGTCTCTAGTTCTTAATTTTTTTTATGTTAAGTACTTGTGTGTATTTATTGATTTAATTTTGTGTCTCTGTCTTTTTCTTTATAGAAATACAAAGAAGGTAGCCATACTGATTCAGTACTTGGTCTTGCTTGGAACAAGGAGTTTCGGTATGTCTGAGTTTACTAGTGCCCATAATTTGAAAGTTTATTCTCGTTTGCTCTTTAGGCGTTTCTCTGATTTTCTTTTGATTTATTTGGATAAAAGGAACATACTTGCTAGTGCTAGTGCCGACAAAAAAGTTAAGGTCTGGGATGTGGCTACTGGAATATGTAAGATTACTATGGAGCATCACACAAAGGAGGTAAGAACGAGATTCGTCGAAGGAGAAATTTCTTTATTCTATGGCATTCTCAAGTTTATTGTTTGTATGATCACAGGTTCAAGCGGTTGCTTGGAACCATTATGCTCCAGAAGTGCTTCTCAGTGGGTCGTTTGATCAAACTGTTGTCTTGGTAACTGTTTTGTTCCATGGTATTTATTTTCGTCTGTTCCGGTCTTTTCCCTTTACAATGATCATTAATATCTGTATGTATATTATGTTGCAGAAAGACGGAAGACAACCTTCACACTCGGGTTTCAAATGGTCTGTCATGTCTGATGTCGAAAGCTTAGCCTGGGATCCTCATAGTGAACACTCCTTTGTGGTACATGACACTTTCCTTTTTTCTTCTGATAGACAAATCAGTGGTTCCAGTGACATTTTTCAATAGATCGTTTGTTGTTTCTTTTCCCTCTTAAGGTAAGTCTTGAAGATGGAACCGTGAAAGGTTTTGATATACGTGCTGCACAGTCAGGTTCAGATTCTGATTTAAAACCAAGTTTCACTATCCAAGCACATGACCAAGACAAAGGAGTCTCCTCCATCTCATACAACATTTCTTCACCCAATGTACATCTCTCTATATCTATGTCCTTCTGGCATTTCATTTTCATTTTTTTTTTGTTTTTTGGTAATCAGTTCTCACCATTTATGAGCTGTAATTAACAGCTTTTGGCTACGGGGTCTATGGATAAAACTGTAAAACTTTGGGATCTTTCAAACAATGAACCTTCATGCATTGCTACACACAAACCAAAAGCTGTAAGAACTAATCAACATAAACCTTTTTGGTTCCCCATTAGTATCTACTTTTTTTTATCCCTAACCATTCTGATTTGTTTTCATCAGGGAGCTGTGTTTTCCATTTCTTTTGCGGTGGACAACCCTTTCTTGCTTGCTATCGGTGGCTCAAAGGGAGAGCTACATGTAAGTGGAAATTAGATACAAGAAGGTTAAAACATATCATTTTATTAGGAACTTTTAATCAATCTTGTGTTTATGTTTGCAGGTTTGGGATACACTGTTGGACGCTAATGTTGCTCGCAAATATGGGAGCAATCGATCTTGAAAAGACCCGCAAGGATAACTTGCCTCTTTGAAGCTGTGATGGTCGTTAGATTCGATCACACTCATGCCAAATTTTGCAGTTTCTTTTCTTCTTTTCTTTAGGCTTGTTTTATCTCATATGATTATGGTTAATCGTGCAAGGGTGTGAGCTTATATGTTGAATTCCTAAAACTGGCAGAGCCTTTTTCAACTTATCAAGAATCTCTGAGTTTATATATAATTCGATTTCAAGCTTTCTAGTATGATGGAACTAGCATTTCCAGGTGTTGTGCTTTAAACAAAAGTTTCATTTGTCAAATTCCATGTTTTGTGAAACTTAAGAGGTTGCTTGTTCTTATGTTTGAATTGTTGTTACGATCCATGCTTGATTCTCAGGTTTGTTTGTTTCTCTCTTTATTCAACCATAAAAGCAATTTTTTAACTCTCTTAATCATTCATGATTTTCATACATAACAATTTCACACACATTACATACTTATAGTAGATTTCTTCTACTCACTACACCCACTCTCTTAGACTCTAAAACTTGGCCACTATTTGACCTTACCTCTAGACATTAGGCTTAGTGTTACAAGCAACCTTACACAACCTAACCTTAACTACTCTACTGAAGTACTTGGCTAAATTTAAACCCATAATCCCATATTACATACTTTCTTGTTTGGGCCTAACTAAGCTCAACAGCCCATTAGTCTTCTTAGCCCAAAACAACAAAAACATAAACCCACTTCCCTCTGTTGACTTTTCTTCTTCTTCTCACGTCTCTCTCTCTCTTGCGACCAACGACGACCACTTCGTCTTCTTACTCTTCTTGTTCTTGATCATCTTCTTATTGCTGTCTCTAATCATCTTCTCTTTCTCAATAGCAGGTTCAATCGAAGACTCAACCCTCAACAACTGTTTTGATTTGAAGCAGAGAAATCGGGATTTTAAGCCGCTCTCTTGGATTAAGGTTGCACTTGATGCAGCTAAAGGTCTTGCATTTCTTCATAGCTGCAAAGTCAAAGTTTATATATATATATGTTCACATTTATGTATTTGAGTTCAAGCGTTCTAATGGAAACTAGCATTTCCAATTCTTGTGCTTGCAAAGATTTGTCATTTGTCAAAAATGTATTCAACTTTTAACTCTGCAAACTGCAAAGTGATACTATAAAATAGTATAAATTTCTACTGTGCTTAGGTGACGGTTATACTAACGACTTTTACGACAGTAGGTAATTAATTTCAACACAGCAATATTGTCTAGTAATTAAAGTCTTTGTCTGCCACAAAACTTACGAAATCTTAACAACTAATTCTTTCTATCTTTATGACTTAAAGAGTCAAAAGCCTATAATCGTTACAAAATCCCGATTTGGTGTTGTTAACAACTTTATAATATTTATCAAATACATACTAATATAGTAAATGGAATAAACAATCAATACTTTTAAATCATCAAGGAAGAAAATGATCTATGCAATAAATTAGGTAGCATGTAAATAATTTGATTTCATACTTCTTTGATGAATTACAAATCAAATAAAAATCCATTTTTAAATCAATCTAACTAAACAGTAAACACACACTGATTTTCAAAAGAGTCCATTTTTCTAATATCATTTGCAAAGTCACATGGGAAAGGGATCTTTGTTGAATGTAAATGTAAATAGTGGGAGGTTAGAGAATCTGCATGCGCATTAAGAAAATATTGTAACCACCCAAGTCACTTCTTGAAAGTACAAATTATAGTTATTGTGCATCATTACATTCATAATTCTAACAAAAAAGTCTTTAATTATTGTTAAGTTTTTCATATTATTTAATTGAAACGTTCAAATTCGATGGACGTATTAGTCAAAGTCTCTGTTTAAAAGAAACTTGTGCATAATGTCAATGACAATATTGTTAATTATCTACTCGACCAATAACGTTATTGATCTGAGCAGATCGTGATATGGTTAATATTATTTGAAATTTCTGTGACATAATTATTATGAATTCAACACGAGATTGTGCATTGATTAGTTCATTTTTTTCTAACTTTCTTCGCTTATGATTCCGTTGATGTGACGACATGTCCTCCCTCACTTCAGCTTTATGAATTTATTTCTAGAACTATGCCAATCAATCTATATTGTTTTATTTATTTAATATCAAACTTTTGATGTTTATGGGAAGTTTTATTTAGATCATATGCTAACATATATTAATTTTCGGTTTTTTAAAGACAAAAAGAATAACAAACTTTTATCGAAAAAAGGGTTGTACAATTTTATTAATTCATAGTGTAATTCTTAGTAGAAATAATTTAACTGTTTGACAATGATGAAATGTATATCACTCTATTAATAATTTTTTTATTTTAGCTATGTTATGTAGTTCCAAAAAACTAAGTATGAACGCATTAAATTTGCATTGAGTTTTATTCTCTATGGTTCATAAACCAAATAAATTGAACTGAATCAAGGTTAAAAATCCTAAATGTACATATGTTCTTACATTCAATACATATTTTCAATTGTTCGATCGTATATAGCCGATTGTCTTATCACCATTATACGTGTACAATGGCACGTGGAATTTTAACATAGTATAATTGATGTTTGACCCCCAAAAAAAAAGTTTGATAGCTATGATATTTTTTTGTTTGTTCGGAAAAAAAATAATTGATGTATACTGTATGTGACAATTTTAACCAGTTTACCACTACATCTATGAAAATATTGAAGGCACGGATTAAAGGAAAAAAATATGTATAATGTATTTGTGGATTATGACCCAAATGCATATTTTCCTAAGTGTTGGAAAGACTCGGGTTAAGCAAGAGGGTCTTCTGTTGGGGTTGTTACGAGACACGTGTGGTTTGCACGTGTGAAGTGAGAAGCTGAACAATCAGCTATAAACCTCGAGCTTCTTCTCTTTGTTCATTTTATCGATTCATTGTTGTAACAGAGAGAAAAGAGAGAGAGAGATCTTGTAACCGAGTAACAAACTTGTGACTTAGTGGATTCCGGAGAGATTCCTCCGGCGAGACGTAGGGTTCCGATCTGGGACCTGAACTCGTAAATTCGGCGTGTCTCTTTACTTTCTTGTAAACACACGAGTGACGTGAGTGGTTTGTGAGTTGATTCGAGTTGTGAATCAGGCTTGATTCGTACAAATTGGTATCAGAGCCGTGGTTCAAGCGGCGGATCTGTGGCGTAACAGAGGATGACGAACTCGAAGCACAAAGTATCAGTGTTCGATGGATCCGGCGACTTCTCTCTCTGGAAGACGCGGATGTATGCTCATTTGAGGATTCTTGGTTTGAAAGAAGCACTGGTGGAACAAGCTCCGTTTCCACCGTTGACGGAAGAAGAAGAGTCAGATCCGGAGAAGAAGAAGAAACGGATCGAAGAAGAAGAAGAAAGGATCAAGCGAAGCGAGAAGGCGATGGACATAATCTTTCTTAACGTCGGTGATAAGGTCCTGCGAAAGATCGATCACTGTACTACAGCAGCGGAAGCTTGGTCGACGCTGGAACGTTTGTATTTGGTAAAGACTCTACCAAATCGCGTGTATTTGCAGCTCAAGGTTTATAACTACAAGATGCAAGATTTGAAATCTCTCGATGAGAACATCGATGAGTTCTTGAAGATGATATCGGATCTCAACAATTTACAGATTCAGGTTCCGGATGAGGTTCAAGCTATCTTGATCCTGAGTTCTTTACCAGATAGGTATGAGATGTTAAAGGAAACTCTGAAATATGGTAGAGAAGGTATTAGACTAGAAGATGTAGTAAGCGCTGCGAAATCAAAGGAATTGGAGCTGAGAGATACCTCCGATTCAAAATCTGTAGCTGAAGGTTTGTATGTCAGAGGAAGATCAGAAACCAGAGGAGGTCAATCTGGGAATGGTAACAACAACAAGTCAAGATCGAAATCAAGAGATGGTAAGAAGATTTGTTGGATCTGTGGAAAAGAGGGACATTACAAGAAGCAGTGCTACAAGTGGATAGAGAAGAATAAGAACAAGGTTCAGGCACAAAGTTCTGGGGAATCCGCACTTGCTAAGGATGACGCTCAAGATTTGGTTGGTCTGGTAGCTTCAGAGGTTAACTTGAGTGAAGATCAGATGGATCAGAATGAATGGATTATGGACACTGGATGTTCATTTCATATGACACCAAGGAAGGATATCTTTATAGAGTTTCAAGAGGTTGATAAAGGCAAAGTCAGAATGGCTAACAATTCGTCTACTGAGGTAAAGGGAATTGGCAAAGTGAGATTTGTCAATACAGATGGGACTACTTTTGTTTTGCATGATGTGAGATATATGCCTGGAATGTCTAGAAACTTGATATCTATGGGAACTCTAGAGGCTAAAGGCTGTGAGTTCAAAGCTGCTGATGGTATTCTGAAAGTAATAAAGGGATGAACTGTATTCATGAAAGGAGTTAGGAAAGCATCGTTGTATGTTCTGCAAGCTGAAGCCAAGAAGTCAGAAGCTATGGTTGCTGAGTCTGGGAATCAAGACTTGGATCAGACACAGGTATGGCACAGTAGACTCGGTCACGTTGGGCAGAAAGGTCTTGACGTGTTAGCAAAGAAGGGATGTTTTGGGAAGGATAAGGTATCAGGCCTTAAGTTCTGCGAAGACTGTGTGTTTGGAAAAACACACAAAGTAAGTTTTGGTCCTGCACAACATGTCACCAAGGATAAGTTGGATTATGTGCACTCAGATTTGTGGGGATCTCCCAATGTGCCACACAGTCTTGGTAAGTGTCAGTACTTTCTTTCTTTAACTGATGATTGGTCCAGGAAAGTATGGATTTATTTTCTCAGATCTAAGGATGAAGCATTTGAAAAATTTGTGCAATGGAAGAAAATGGTTGAAGTACAGAGTGAAAGAAAGGTGAAGAGACTCCGTACTGACAATGGACTAGAGTTTTGTAATCATAAGTTCAATGATTACTGTAAGCAGGAAGGAATGGTGAGACACAGAACTTGTACATATACTCCACAGCAAAATGGAGTAGCAGAGAGACTCAACAGAACGATCATGAATAAAGTTTGAAGCATGCTCAGTGAAAGTGGTCTTGGACAGAAATTTTGGGCAGAGGCAGCTTCAACTTCAGTGTATCTGATCAACAGGTCACCCTCTTCAGCAATAGATTTTCAGATCCCAGAAGAAAGATGGACTTCAGCAGTCCCAGATTTGTCAGGACTAAGAAGGTTTGGATGCCTAGTCTTTGCTCATTCTGATGAAGGGAAGTTAAATCCCAGGGCAAAGAAAGGTATCTTTACAGGCTATCCTGAAGGAGTAAAGGGATTCAGAGTATGGTTGTTGGATGACCAGAAGTGCATCATAAGCAGAAATGTGGTTTTTCGAGAAAGTGTGATGTACAAGGAGGTCATAGCACAAGAACAGTCAGGTAAGTCCTTTAACCCTGTACATTTGTTAACTGATGATGTTACTTGTGAGATTGCAGGTAAAAACAGGTCAACAGGGGATTTAGCTCAAGGTGGAGTCATGGACCAGGATAGAGAAGCAAGTCCAGGACAAAGTAATGTTGAGGGAACTACAGAAACAGAAACTCAAAGTTCTGAGGATCATCAGATTGCTATTCACAGACCAAGGCGGCAGATAATTCAGCCCATAAGATTACAAGACTATGTTACAGATGAGGCTGAATTGGAGGAAATTGCCGGTTATGCATACATGGTTACTGAAGATGGTGGTAAACCAGAACCAGGAAGTTTTCAAGAGGCAATGGAGAATCCAGATAAAGATAAATGGATCCTTGCCTCTGATGAAGAGATGGATTCTCTGATAAAGAATAAGACATGGGTTCTAGTTGAAAGGGACAAGAAGCAGAAACCCATAGGTTGTAAATGGGTGTTCAAAAGGAAAGCAGGAATAGCTGGAGTTGAGGGTCCCAGGTTTAAAGCAAGATTAGTAGCAAAGGGATACTCACAGAAGGAAGGAGTTGACTATCAAGAGATTTTCTCTCCAGTGGTGAAGCATGTCACAATCAGATTCTTCTTGAGTATGGTAGCACATTTTGATATGGAGCTTCAGCAAATGGATGTGAAGACTGCGTTTCTTCACGGGTATCTGGATGAAACCATCTACATGGAACAACCTGAGGGGTATGTGGATGAGAGGTATCCTGACAGAGTGTGTTTGCTACAGAGGTCGCTGTACGGTTTGAAGCAGTCACCAAGACAGTGGAACACCAGGTTCAATGATTTTATGGAGTCACACAAGTATGAAAGAAGCCTATACGACAGCTGTGTGTACATAAAGAAACTTCAGAATGGAGAATACATCTACTTACTCTTGTATGTAGATGATATACTGATTGCGTCCAAGGATAAAAGAAGCATTGAAGATCTGAAGGCTCTTCTTGGGTCTGAATTTGAAATGAAGGACTTAGGAGAAGCTAAGAAGATTTTGGGAATGGAAATTGAGAGAGACAGATCGAAAGGTACTCTCTCTATTTCACAGGAAGGATATTTACTAAAACTTCTAGGAAATTTTAGTATGGATCAGTCTAAGCCTGTGGGGACGCCAATTGGTGTGCATTTTAAGTTGAGAGCTGCTACAGATGAAGAGGTCAGGGTTCAATATGAGTCCATGAGAAGTATACCTTACCAAAGTGCAGTGGGCAGCTTGATGTACTCAATGATAGGTACTAGGCCAGATTTAGCTCATTCAGTAAGTTTGGTCTGCAGATTCATGAGTAAACCGCTTAAGCAGCATTGGCAAGCAGTTAAGTGGATACTTAGGTATATCAAAGGTTCTCTGAAAAGGAAACTTTGTTATAGCAGTGAAGGGGATTTTGTGATCCAGGGTTATTGCGATTCAGACTATGGAGCAGATAAAGACAGGAGGAGGTCAACATCAGGAGTAGTGTTCACTGTAGGAGGCAATGTTGTCAGTTGGAAATCAAGTCTACAGAAAGTGGTAGCTTTGTCTTCAACAGAAGCTGAATACATGGCGTTGACTGATGCATCTAAAGAAGTTGTCTGGTTGTTAGGTCTTATGAATGAACTTGGTTTCAAGCAGAAGACAGTGGATATCTATAGTGACTCGCAGAGTGCTATTGCGTTGGCTAAGAATGATGTTTTCCATGAAAGGACAAAGCATATAGAGGTGAAGTATCATTTTATCAGGGATTTGATCAGTGATGGTGTGATTCAGGTAAAGAAGATCGCTACTAGTTACAATCCCGCCGATATTTTCACTAAGGTTGTACCAGTGGGTAAACTTCAGGAAGCTCTGGAGTTTCTCAGGGTTACAGAGAATTGAAGACAAGAGAGAGAGCTTGTGCTCTCATATGAAGCTGGGTGGGTTTACTCAGGAGATATGAAGCTGGATGGGTTTATTCAGGAGATATGAAGCTGGTTGGAATGAACCAGGTCCGGAGGTGGAGTCCAAGTACAAGCTAAGTCATGGCATTGGGGTCAAGGTGGAGATTTGTGGATTATGACCCAAATGCATATTTTCCTAAGTGTTGGAAAGACTCGGGTTAAGCAAGAGGGTCTTCTGTTGGGGTTGTTACGAGACACGTGTGGTTTGCACGTGTGAAGTGAGAAGCTGAACAATCAGCTATAAACCTCGAGCTTCTTCTCTTTGTTCATTTTATCGATTCATTGTTGTAACAGAGAGAAAAGAGAGAGAGAGATCTTGTAACCGAGTAACAAACTTGTGACTTAGTGGATTCCGGAGAGATTCCTCCGGCGAGACGTAGGGTTCCGATCTGGGACCTGAACTCGTAAATTCGGCGTGTCTCTTTACTTTCTTGTAAACACACGAGTGACGTGAGTGGTTTGTGAGTTGATTCGAGTTGTGAATCAGGCTTGATTCGTACAGTATTCTAACGGATTGGTGCAAATGAAAGTCTTTATATGGTTCAATGCTAAAATTCAGTATATACTTAATTTAGTAAAAATCCAAATTGTGATTTGTAAAGAAACTTCTTTTGGCATATATCTTATTCTCATAATTGGTTACATGTTAGGATGGATAAGATAAGACCATAACAAAGACAAGCAAAATAGTTAACAGAAAATAAAAAAAGACAAGCAAGATATTTGGAAACTCAAATCTGAGGTAAAATTTAAAATTTTGATATGGATCGGAATCTATATAATTATGCTCGCATCTAGATTCAAATACACAGTTCCTTGAAACTTTAGAGTAATTCTTATACTATATGTCTATATGTATAGACTAAAAATAAAGAACGTCTATATTTTCGGTTGGTTGTTGAAGACTTGAAGAGGCCTTCATCAATTCTATCAAGTGACATTTTTCAATTTCTGATCATAAATGATACTCTAATTTATCATAAAGTCTCTCTCTATATGATACAAACAAATTTGGGTATATCAGAAGATTTTTTTTTAAAACTAACAATTAAAAGCTTCAATAATTTTAGAAAACAACACTTTAACAACAAAATGTGTCATCCTTTTATTTTCGAAGTTAAAATATAAGTATTGAAATATCGAAGTTAAAATGTACTGTCTAGTAAAAATAACTAATTGTTTTTCTGGAAACAATTAGTTCATACTTCATATGCTATATTCTAACGTTATATCATTTGAAAATATGGATAACTGCCACATTTATGATATGACGATCACATTAATCACATGACGTGTAAAAATCAAATGATTTTTCGTATCAACTTTAGAAAATAATCTTTTACGGATAAGAACTGATTTATCCATATTGTATTTAGGGGAAATGCATACAAATCATTTAGGGAATATTTTAAATATTTCTTAAATACTACATATAATTGCAATTATTTTAGGAAGTATATCTATCAAAATTAACACTTCACATAAAATTTACAGCAATGACAGATTCATGATTTCATTTCATTTTATTCGAATTGTAGATTAAATATTTAAGATAAAATCGATGATGATACTTTTAGATATTGGATTAAAAACTATATTCCCTTCTAATTAAAATAAATAATACTAAAAATTGTATTTCAAAAATTCTATATTTTGTCCCAGAATTCTGTGTTATAAAAGTAAAAACAGATTATATATATGTAGATTTTTCTTAATAAAGCAAAGCAATGGTCAAATATACCATGTGAAATCGTTTCCAAAATACATCATCGTTTTTTTTTAATTAATAAAATGGTCAAATTAAAAAATCGTCAAAGAAATCCAATCCTCTCTCTCTTTCGATTTGCCAATAAATGGGAGATAATCGGCTACCAAACTCATTCACACAAGTCATAACAGTCTTTTAAAGTTTGATATCTTTTTCTTCTTCTTTAGTTTCTGAAAAGAGAAAAAAAAAAAAAAAAAAACAGTTATGGCGGAGATCTCGGGGAACGGCCATGGTGGCGATGCTAGAGACGGAGCTGTGGTGGTGAATCTCAAGGAAGAAGACGAACACCAACAACAGAAAGAAGCTATTCATAATCCTAAACCCATGAAGAAACAAGACTCTCTCCTCTCAATCTCTGTCCCTTTCTTGCAAAAGGTTTTTACTTTATGTAACTCTCAATCTCCAAAACCTTTTTAGTTTTGAAGAAAAAAAACTCTCACCGATCTTTATAATTAACATAATCCATAAATCTATCTGTTTTTTTGGGTGTTATAGAAGAAATTCGTCTTAAAAATTGATTTTTAAATAATGAAACACTCTGTTTTGTCTTAATTGCTCTGTTTTCAGTTGATGGCGGAGGTTTTGGGAACGTACTTCTTGATATTTGCCGGTTGTGCAGCGGTGGCCGTGAACACACAACATGACAAAGCCGTGACTCTTCCAGGGATCGCCATCGTTTGGGGACTTACCGTCATGGTTCTTGTTTACTCTCTTGGTCATATCTCCGGTGCTCATTTCAATCCGGCCGTCACAATCGCATTCGCTTCGTGCGGTCGTTTCCCTCTTAAACAGGTATTTAATCTATACATATATAAATATAAATTATAATGGCTGATCAAGTTTGTATTTAAGTATGATTTTTGAGTTTGATGAACAACATTTAGACATTAGTGTTTTTGTGTTTGATAGGTTTAGTTTAACTGTCGTTTGATTCTTTTGCACGAAACTATAGGTTATATAAAAGATTATATTCGTGAGAAGTTGCATTTTTCTTAAGTTTTTTATGCGTCAACTTGGGTTGTATTAACCTTTAAAACAATACTCCCTCCGTTTCGTTTTACTTGTCGTTTTAGAGTTAAAATTTTGTTTCATAATAGTTGTCGTTTTAGGTTTTCGATGCAAATGTTTGGTGAAAATTCCAGTTTTATCCCTACTGTTTTAATGTTTCGGCCAATAAACTTTTTTATAAAATATATTAATAAAGGGTAAAACAGAAAATTTAGGAGGGGGTATTGGACCGATGAGTTTGATGGAATTTAATAGAATCTTTAATTCTAGTGTTATTCAAGTAGACGTTTTAAAAATTCTTTCAAATTCTTGTGTTATTTAACTTCCTTATTTCTTAATTCTATTAATTGCAAGTGTTATTCATTTTTTAAAAGTTCTGTATGACCTCGTTACTTGACAGGAATTTAATAGAAAAATTAGTGTAAAATGTGAACAACAAATTCTGAGGTTTTGAGTTGAGATTTGGATAGAATATTAACACATCGAGATTCCTTCATCTAATAATCTATCATTTTTCTCCTTCATCTATTTGCTTACAAAAGCTCAAATCTGAGAGAGACTGTTTATTCATCTAATCTAGAATCTGTGATTTCACGATCCGGCTAATTCCTCGTCGTCGGATCATCATCTATTACATTATATCTGAGGGGAGAGTGTGTGAATCGAGAGAGATACATAAAGGAAATAGAGTGAGACAGAGAGGAAATGAACGGTGGTGATGACGTCGTCGTTGTTCTGGGTAGAGACAGGGAGGGTGAAAGAGAAAGGTAGAGTTTTTAGGGTTTGGGCATGGTGGCTGATGGAAAGAGGGAAAAAAAATTCTGGTAAAATTCTATTAAAATACTGTAAAATAAATTGCTAGAATTGGAAAGAAAGATTTGAAAATCATTTACAATATTTGAAAATCTATAATATTATCTTCATTTCTATTCTGTTAAATTCTCTCACCCAATACCCCCCCCTTAATGTTTTTCTTAATTTGTGTGAGAAAACCTTAAACGACAACTAAAACGAAACGGAGAGAGTATTATATCTTTTTTTTTTTTTTTTTGACAGCAATATTATATCTTTCAGAATTATTATTTTTGTTATAATTCTTTCACTAATGAATTCATACTGATAGACGTATTTATGAGTATTTTGTCCCAAAAAAAAAAAAAAAAAAAAAAAGGACGTATTTATGAGTATAGAGATGAGTCATGAGTGATTGAGTGTAGATTATTTCAAATGTACGCGTCTACGGTATATGATGAGTATAGCCGGATAACTAGGGATAAATTGATTTTTCATACCAATTTGTTTTAATTTTTTTGTTAGTTTCCAAATTGAACTTTTAAAAAGTGTTAGTTTACCATGTAATATTTGTCCGTATATAATTTCTCCATACAAAACAAAGTCAAACAAAATTGTGTTATATAAACGTCAAAAATCTTCACAATCTTCCAAAATTGTGTCCCTACTCCCTAGTTAATATGATATCACAAAATAAATATATTTTTTTTGGTAAAACACAAAATAAATATTTGGTTACTAAATTTTATTTCTTTGATTTTTTAGGTTCCGGCTTATGTGATATCACAAGTGATCGGATCGACGCTTGCCGCGGCGACTTTACGTCTCTTGTTCGGACTTGATCAAGACGTTTGTAGTGGGAAACACGATGTGTTCGTCGGAACATTACCATCTGGGTCGGATTTGCAGTCGTTTGTGATTGAGTTTATCATTACTTTCTACCTAATGTTCGTCATTTCTGGCGTTGCCACCGATAATAGAGCGGTTAGTATTTCGAAATCTTCTTATGTTGGACGCAAATTAATCAATTATATATATTGTCAAATTCGATGGCTATATGTTGGGGACTCTTAACTATTTTAAGCATGTTCTTTTTAACTTCAGCTAATATGTTTTCCTTTTTTATATAATTTAGTTTTTGAACATTCTAGTTACAGAATTAATGTGTTTTTAAGGTTGTTTATGAAATATGGACAAAGTCTTCTAATAGTTTTATATTTTTATTTGTGTTATCACCCCTAAATCAGCAATTTCACATGTTTTATTTGGTCCTTGAATTTATGAGAAACTTAACATTGGATTCAAATGTTTCAATAATCAGATCGGAGAACTTGCCGGACTAGCAGTAGGATCAACGGTGCTACTTAACGTGATAATTGCCGGGTAATTTATTTATTATTTATCATTTCTATTTATTACTATAATTGTTCTTCATATATTTTTCTTTGTCGACTGAAAATTTAAAATGAGATATGTATGTTTATCTTTTTTTTATCAGACCGGTATCGGGAGCATCGATGAATCCAGGACGAAGTTTAGGACCTGCAATGGTTTATAGTTGCTACAGAGGACTTTGGATCTACATAGTCTCTCCAATTGTTGGTGCAGTTTCGGGTGCGTGGGTTTATAACATGGTTCGATATACCGATAAACCATTACGAGAAATAACTAAGAGCGGTTCGTTTTTAAAGACCGTGCGAAACGGTAGCTCTCGTTAAGCAAATAACAAAAACATGGCTATGTTGTACTAGTCATCGGAGGTTAAGTTGTATCACTAAGAAGTAATTGGAGTATTTTGGTATTAAGTGTTTTTAAGTTTGAATTACCACAAATGGATTAACATGTGTGGTATGTGACGAATATTATAAGGGAACTGATCATCTATAACGAGTTTGACCAGAACTAAATTACGTACTACGTATATGGTTGTATTAACTGCTATATTTATTTCTTTCTCTTGTTATGCGAAAGATTCTATCTTCACATTTATGGTGCAACTGTATCGACGTTACCTTTGAAATATTTATAACGCAATTTTGGATATAAAGACCCTTAAGTTTAAGCAAAATTGTCAAAAGTTGATATTTCGAACTCGTCAAACAAAGCACAAAAGCCGGGGTCGCAAACATTGCCAAGTGTTCAATACTTTGTCCAAGAGCTTAAAAACCGGCCACGTGTCATTTTGTCGCCAATCAGCCACGTCAACACACCTGAATGACGTGTCACGCATCGAATCATTCACGTCATACTTTCCTCATGCAAACATCACTTCTCTCTTATAAGATCAAAACCAAAACACAAGAACCAAACTAAAGAACAAGAAAAAAAGGCTGTCGTTACGATGGCATCGAGTGATAAGGTTCCGGTGGCGTGTCCGGCAAGCAGCGGAGATGGAAAGGAGCCAATGGGAGATCCGACGAAGACCACTACGGCGATGCTCGATAAAGGAACGGCTATGATGCAATCGATGAAACCGATCAGGCAAATGAGCCTTCACGTGTGTTCATTTGCTTGCTATAGCCACGATCCTGGCCGTCAGATCGAAGTTCATATCTACGGCCATCGTGTAAACCAGGACTTCCTCCAATGTGCTGTCTACGATTCCAATTCCTCTAAGGCTCATCTCATAGGTACACATGCTTCGACTTCGATAATTTGTTTACATTTCTTTGTGTTAAGTTTTATTGGATTCCAATTCAAACCCAATGAAATATATGGCGTGGTCCACGTCTCTTATATACTATTTTAGGTCTTCTAATGTGTGTTTCTCGTGTGGGATTCTATGAGGTTGCGTTGTGTTGTTTATAATTATACATTTCACAATTATATTGGCTCTCTCTTGTGCATATAGACTATAGAGGCTTATACATATTCACCATTTTATTTGGGAAAAAAAATCTTTGTATGCACTGTTTATTTTGTTTTCCTTCCGTATGTGCAATATTTTTTTTTTATATTCATTTGAACCGTATATACACTATTTTTTTTTTTTATATGCATTTGAACCGTATATACACTATTTGTACGTTAATTAATGGTCCTTCATACTTTTATGCGTATTGACATTGATTATACCGTTGTATAAATGTTTTCTACGTTGAGCATTGAAGCTTTTGCTAGAGACCAATGACTTAGGAATTTTGTTTTTCATTGTATTGAATCTGTAGGGATCGAATATATTGTGTCGGAAAAGTTATTCGAGAGTCTCCCACCGGAGGAACAAAAGCTTTGGCACTCGCATGATTACGAGGTTCATGATTTTCGATACATTCTGCGATATGTTTTATTATCTACCTGAAAATCGAAAATGATCGAATGATTGTTGTTTGTAGATCCAAATGGCTCTTCTAGTAACTCCAAGGGTCCCGGAGCTTGTTGCGAAGCCCGAGCTTAAAAATCTTGCCAAATCTTACGGAAAATTTTGGTGTACATGGCAGATAGACCGAGGTAATTAATTAATCTTTTAAATATATGTAGAACAAACCATATTTATTATATTTTGAGATATGAGTTTAGAAACTTAAGTTTTTATTTTCTTTTGTTTTAGGGGATAGATTGCCACTAGGTGTACCATCACTAATGGTGTCGCCACAAGACGTGAATCTAGGGAGAATCAAACCGGAGCTGGTGAAAAAGAGAGATGAAGAACATGGAATCTCGACGGAATCGTTGAAGCCGTCAAGAGATGGGATCTGTGGACCGGAGAAGAAGAATCTGGTTGCTGATTATTGGGTTAGGTTTAGGAAAGGCTTTGCGCTTGATGTCGTTGAGACAGATATGAAGAGAACAGCTCCCTTCCCGTGACTTTATGTGTCTGTTTTTCTTTTCTCATACATTTAGATAAGTTCGTAAGCTTACACACCAATATGATAATGTCATAAATATGAGATTTTTTTTTTTCTTTTTTTTCGTCATGTCATAAATATGAGATTCAGGTTTTATTGTTTGTTGATCATGTGATTAATCAACTTTTAGCATGTTAATCAAAAAGAAAGGGAAAATCCCACAAAAAACCACCAAGTTGAAACATTTCCCAAGTAAAACTTCTAATTTTTTTCGTTCCCATATAAAACCTCTAAATTGAAAAAAATTTCCAATTAAAACCTTCGACCTTTTTCGTTCCCAATTAAAACCTCTAAATTGAAATTTTTTTCCAATTAAAACTTTAACCTTTCTCGTTCCCAATTAAAACCTCCAATTAATTAATTTTTTCTAAAGAAACTTTCAAGTCGTCAAACTTGAACCCGATCAATGGTTGACCAATGATCGCTGGTAATTTCATTTGGAATAGTTAATAGTCGTTGACAACATCTATTTTTCGTTTATTTAATTTCCAAAATTTTATATGAACCTTAAAAATTAGAAAAAAGTATTATAGGGTTCGTAATTAAGATTTTCATCTTTTTTATTGTAACTAACACATGTGAATTTTGAAAACTAAATAAACAAAAAATATGTCGTAAAAGCCGTTTACCGTTAGTTAATCATTGATCAGACACAAATTTGATGACTTAAAGATTTTTTTTAGAAAAAATTAATTAGTTGGAGGTTTTATCTGGGAACGAAAAAAGTTGGAGGTTTTAATTGGGAAAAAAATTCAATTTTGAGGTTTTATACGGAAACGAAAAAAGTTTGAGGTTTTAGTTGGAAAAATGTTTTAATTTAGAGGTTTTTTCTGGGATTTTCCCAAAAAGAAAAGCAAGATTATTAACAAATACTTGGATTCGATTACCTTTTTTCATACAGATTTCTAAAAGGCCTTGTTGTTAATATAGAGGCCCATTGGACTTTAGTTTCTTGTAATTTCCTCCATCTTTATTTCGTTGTCTAATGACTAAATTAATATGATTTATTAACGTTTTCCCTGATTTCAATTTACCAATAATAATATAAATGTTAAATCTTCTAATCATATTTTTGAATCAAAATTAGCATTGACCGATCCATGGAGGAGGTGAAGAAGGACGTATACTCCGTGTGGGCATTACCGGATGAAGAAACAGAGCCGAGATTCAGAAAGCTAATGGAAGCTCTGAGATCTGAATTTACTGGCCCAAGATTCGATCCTCACGTCACCGTCGTCGGAGCCACTAATCTGACGGCAGACGAAGCCAAGAAGATGTTCGAATCAGCTTGCCATGATCTTAAAGCTTACACCGCCACCGTCGATCGCGTCTCCACCGGAACTTTCTTCTTTCAATGCGTTTTCTTGCTTCTCCAATCCACCCCTGAGGTATATAAAAAAAAAAGTCAGGGCTTTTCATTTCAAGATTCGATATTTCTCATAGAATTGTTAAAGAAACCATAATTAAGATTAAGGTTGGTCTTGGGTTTTGTATCTAAATAATGATATGTGGCTGGTTTCAGTAATGAGTGTTGAATCTAATGTTGTTATCTGTGATGTTTGTTCTGTTTATTACAGGTAATGAAAGTTGGTGAACACTGTAAGAACCATTTCAACTGCTCTACCACCACACGTAAGCTTTTTTTACTTTAAATTTTGTTTCTGTTTTAGTTAATGTTTTTAGTTTGACAACTCTGAGCTAAGTCCCTTTAAAAAGGTTTCTTTGAACTTGGATTCTTAGGGTAGTTTGACGTGTTGTACATTAATTAGCCTGCCAAGACCTTTGCGTAAATCAACATTTGGAGATTGTATCGGCTTGGTTAAGTCCGAAAATTAGTAACCAAAAACCGAAATCGATATCTAGGTACACACTGTTATAGGGTCTGATGTTTGTTGCTTTTGGGAAGCCTTGATGGTAATCTTGAGGATAATCTCTTATTTTAGATTCATGATTCCATATTTCCATATGTATGTGAAAGAATTTTTCTCTTGTCTACAAAATGATCGCAGCTTACATGCCGCATTTGAGCCTGCTTTACGCTGAGTTAACAGAAGAAGAGAAGAAGAAAGCGCAGGAGAAAGCATACACGCTCGATAGCAGCCTCGATGGCCTGAGTTTCCGGTTAAACCGACTCGCTCTATGCAAAACTGATACTGAAGACAAGACTCTAGAATCATGGGAGAGAGTGGCTGTTTGCAATCTCAATCCTTAAGAAAGCAACATGTTTGGTTCTTGGTTCTGAGTCTGTAATAAAGAGGTCTCAATAAATTTGGTTTAGAACTATGTATCATCTCTAAGATCAAATAATCGTACAATACTACTCCGATACATATTACACCAAACTTGCCAACAATTTTTCACATGACGATTGCATATTTAGCGAAAAGAAACAACTCACAAGCTTTTGTAAGTCTTTTAAAACTTAAAAAGTGTTTAACCAATGCTTCGATCAATTAGTCGAAAAGACATTTTGTTAACACCAGTCGGCTATAATAATGATTATATATTTTTATTTTTGTACAATCCTATTTTAAATAAAATTATTAACACATTTGGGTTCAAACTTGTTTAACATTTCGGTTTGGTTTACTTTGGCTTTTTCAATAACGAAATTTTTATTCACCCTTAATCGTGACAACTATTCCTTATATAATCACATCAACATTGAGACGAGTCTTGGGGGAAAGGGACAATGACGGAAGAAAACGCAACGCCACTGCAACCGCCACAAACGCAGGAGGATGAAGAGGAGGAAACGGCCATGTATGCGGTCTGGGCGGTTCCGGAGGATGACGTGGAGGATCGGCTTCAGAGGTTAATGAAAGGGCTTAGGTCAGAGTTCGGTGGTCCACCGTTTGATCCTCACTTGACCCTCGTTGGACCTTTTAAACTTACGGCCAGCGAGGCTAAACAGATGTTCAAGGCGGCGTGTGAAGGTTTTAAGGCGTATCCGGCTACCGTTGACCAAGTCTCCGCCGGAACTTCTTACTTTCAGTGTGTCTATGTGTCTCTCCGACACACCGTAGAGGTAAAGTCACTGCTAGATAGTTATCATTTTCACATACGAAAATTATGAATAGTTTAGGAAGGCGACGTGTATATTTTACATGCATAAACAGGAACAAATTTGTAACCGAAATTGAAACTTAAAATATACTAAATACATCAAATTTATAATTTTCTAAAAATACTACGGTAGCTACTACATATAAACATTGTTTGTGTTATGTTTACAGGTAATGAATGCTGCCGGACATTTTATGGCCCACTTCAAACCCTTCACCGGAAAATGTATGACCTAATCTCTAATTTATCGGATTATAATAGTTTATTGGGAAGTAATTGAGCTGTTAATATTGTGAACAACATTAACAATCATTTTTTTGGTGTGTATGTGTGAAATGTTGAGATGTTGCAGTTTACGTGCCACATATGAGCATACTCTACGGCGATGTAACGGAGGGAGAGAAGAAGAAAGCGTTAGAGAAAGCTTACACGCTAGATTCGAGTCTTGATGGATTGAATTTTCAGATAAATCGAGTTGCATTATGGATAACCGATGCAGACGTTGGATCTTGGGTGAAAATTGATGAACATAATCTAATTTCTTAAATGAGATAAAATTAATAAATGTTATGGACTTGGGCCTAATCTCCAATCTTCCTCTTGTCTTGTGCTTTGTGTGTTGTGTATCTTGTCTTGTGTCCCCTTATTCAGTTTATATCGACTGGATTGGTTTAGTGTGGGTATGGTGATGTTCAATGGTTCGGCTCATATTTGTTTTCGGTTTGGTCTAAATATATGTTTGCGGTTGCCTCTGGCTTTGTGATAAGGTCTTGTGACAAAATCAAATTTATTGTTACTGTGAGGATAATATATGCATCTTGTGGGAATATTCCTTTTGTTTCTAGTTAAGTGGTTTGGTTTATATCTTGAAAAAGGGTGAACAAGTCAAGGATTTGAATTATTGGACTCTTATCAAACTGATAATATCATAATAAGATGACCCAAGAAATAATAATAAAAAGCACATAATCATGAACCAATTTGGAGTCTAGTTGACATTTGTTACTAAATTACTTAGAAAAGGTTCAAAAAGTTTGAATTGACATTAAAGATAAAATTATTAATAAGGTTCCAGGAGGAGGAAAAAGCTATAATTAAACAACTTGTCATTAGTTGAAACTAAACTATGATAGCTATGTGCATATGCTTTAACATAGATTTAAGAAATGATTCTACTATTTTGTTATCTCTTATACCCTTATATCAAATAGTTTTAGTTTAACTTTGTTTTTCATTTTTCCTTGTCCATTATCTTTCTTATTATGGAACAGTTTTTTTTGTTAACCAAACAAAGACATTGTGAAAATATTTTTTTAATAATGGGAAGTGAAAATAAAATTTTAGAAAATAGAAACTTGATTTTTTTTAAATGTTCTTTTACATAAAAATATACATTCCGATTTTTTTTATCCTTGTCAAATATATTATTTTATTGAAGTTATTATCTAACTAACTTCGAAATTCACGTGACGTGTATGTATCCAATTTTAGTTAATACAATGCTATGAAATCTAATTAGTATATCCTAATTCAACAAATATATGTATCATGGGAATATTCTTGTTTCATATTAAGTAATCAAATGAGTTATACTAAATATCTCTATAGAGTAGCTAGGAACCAATTTGGAATGTATAGTTGACATTTGTTACTAAATCACTTAGAAAAAATAAAAACTCCAAAAAGTTGGATTGAAATCAATGGATCAGAAATATTAAAATGTTTTCAGCAGGAACATATGAGCTATAATTAGACAACTTGTCATTTAAGACAACAAATTGATTATCGCATGTCTTAAGATACGAATGTCAAAATCTTGACCTTGCATGTTAGTTGTTACTCCCTCTGTATTTGAAAAAATGTCGTTTCTAACTGTTTTTGGGTGAATTAAGAAAGGGCACAGAATTACAAAACTAACCTTATGAGAAACGATTATTTACAATTATATTTTATGAAAATCAATTTAGACTGATTAATTATGATCAATTAATTGGGGGTAATTTAGGAAATTTTATGCAAAAGTTGTTAAAATGACAACTAATTAAAAACACAGAAAAAAGGCTAGAACGACATTTATTCAAATACGGAGGGAGTACATAACTATTTGAAAAGATAGTTAAGTTTAAAAGTTGACAAATGATGAAATAAAAATTAGAAAAAATGCTAAAACCATACAAATTCACATGTTGTGAAGTTGAATAAGTAAGTTAAACGAGTTTTGGTTCTAAATTGAAAATTTGACCCCGAAAAAAAAGGATGAGGATGAAGATGTCAATCTTTACCTATTCAAAGTACACCACAATAAATTGAATCACATACTTAGCATGAAACCTTATCCAATTTGTTTGTTTTTTTTTTTCCTTGGCCAACTAAAGTGGCTATTATCAAGAAACAACTAAAGTAGCCTGTAAATTGATAAAGAAAACAAGTGGAAAATATGTAAATCATTTTAGAATTCAAACAAAAATAGAACTGATGTATATTAAATCTTATGATTCTTATCTTTTTCGAAAGTCTTTGTCCCCAAATACATGACTTTAATTCACGAGCCAGGTTGGTTACAAACTTGCAAGAAAATGCGTCGAAGCAAGTAAAACGCGGTCGTTTTAGCCGAATCGAATCCAAACACGTGCGGGTTCATCCACACCGTTAGTTTTCATCTGACGCTGTTTAAATCAACGGCTAATATCTGTTTTCCTCGCGTTTCGTCAACGCATTGTTACCGTGGCGCCAGAGATGACGTCTTTTAAACCATTATTACGCGCTTTAAACCACGTGACAAACACGCGCTCAACAAAAGCTGGTTCTTCTCCTTTTCGTCTCCGATGACTTTCTTACCGACCAGCTTAGCTTAGTCTTCTCCATTACGGCATCATTCACCTATAAATTTCGACACTGGGTTTAATTCATATCTTCGCTGTAAACAAAAAAAAAATAAGCTTTCTTTGAATCTCTTGCGATCTCTTTGTTCAATTTCTTCTCAGATTGTGTGAATCTGGTTTAATCAAGGTTTTAGGGTCTGTGTTTTCAAAAGGGTACCAAAAAGTTTGAAGCTTTTCTATTGAAAATTTTGATTTTTCGTTGACCAACTCCGAGAATTTCGGATACAAATCAAGGTTTTAGGGTTTTTGTTGGGATGGAAGAGGATTATATACAGCCGAGGTTTACGATTGGTAGGCAATCGTCAATGGCGCCGGAGAAGATTCCGGAGCCGTCGATTCACTCAGAAGAAGAGGTGTTTGAGGATGGAGAAGAGATCGATGGTGGTGTGAGACTTATGTATTTGGCTAATGAAGGTGACATTGAAGGGATTAAGGAGCTTCTTGATTCAGGGATTGATGCTAATTACAGAGACATTGATGATCGGACTGCTCTACACGTGGCCGCTTGTCAAGGATTGAAAGATGTTGTTGAGCTTCTTCTTGATCGGAAAGCTGAGGTCGATCCTAAAGATCGTTGGGGAAGCACTGTAAGAAGAAACTAAACCAATCACTTTTTTTTTTGTTGTTAATTTGTCTCTCTTTGGTCATGTTGAGTAATGATGGATTATATAGATTGATGATGATGATGATGATGATGTTTGTTAGTAATCTAATACGTTTTAGAAAACAGCCATTTGCAGATGCGATATTTTACAAGAACATTGATGTTATCAAGATTCTTGAGCTACATGGTGCTAAACATCCGGTAAGAATCTAGCTGAATATTGAATGTTTGTTTTGGTGTTTGATTGTATCTCTTCCTGTAATAGCCATTGGAAGATTGGGTGTTTTTTACCTCATTATTGTTGACACATTTGTATGTTTCAGATGGCTCCAATGCATGTCAAGACTGCTCGTGAAGTCCCTGAATATGAAATCGGTCCTAGTGAGCTTGATTTCACTCAAAGCAAAGAGATATCAAAGGTAAAAACATGTCTCTGTCTCCAATGGATCTTTTATCGATAATTTCGAGTCTTTTTGTCTAACAGTGTGAAGATTCTTGATTCAGGGAACTTACTGTATGGCAATGTGGCGTGGTATTCAAGTTGCGGTGAAAAAGCTCGATGATGAAGTTTTGAGCGATGAAGATCAAGTGTAAGTAAATATCTTGTAGACGGTTCTAAGGTTTTGGATTCCTGTTCCTTACCATAATCTCTGTGTATGTTTGCGCAGGAGGAAATTCCACGATGAGCTTGCATTGCTCCAAAGGCTTAGGCATCCAAACATTGTGCAGTTTCTTGGTGCTGTAACTCAAAGTAATCCAATGATGATTGTGACTGAATATTTGCCCAGGGTACTGACTTTCTCTGATAAATTTGAAATCATTCTTTCTTTTAGTTTCACGAAACCAAGATCTGATTTAATATATTCTTCAGGGGGATTTGCGTGAATTGCTCAAACGAAAAGGACAATTGAAACCAGCTACTGCTGTTAGATATGCCCTTGATATTGCAAGGTATGCGATTTGACGCTATATATGCTTCTTCTTCATTGTTTATAAATGTTCCATTAGAATCTCTTGTAAATCTTACCTTTTTCGAATTTTTTGTAGGGGAATGAGCTATCTTCATGAGATCAAAGGAGACCCTATAATCCACCGCGACCTTGAACCTTCGTGAGTCACCCTGTCTATATTAGTGGTTTTCTGTCTCTTATATGTGCAGTTACCGTCAACAAACTCTGTTTTGTTCTGAAAATGGTTAAACTATATTTGCAGAAACATTTTGCGGGATGATTCAGGGCATCTGAAAGTTGCAGACTTTGGAGTAAGCAAGCTTGTTACGGTTAAAGAAGACAAGCCTTTCACATGTCAAGACATTTCTTGTAAGTACTTTTTTAGTTACTGTAAATTTTGGGTGCTTTAATCTTTGATCTGCTTGGTCAAGAGTCTTGATTACTGGATATGTTGTGATAAAAGTTCATCGGTGTTATCCACATTATAGGTCGATATATAGCTCCCGAGGTTTTCACTAGTGAAGAGTACGATACAAAAGCTGATGTTTTCTCATTTGCATTAATCGTTCAAGAGGTGAGTAAAAACTAAAAACTTGTGACTCTCTCATTATTTTTTTTTCATGTCAATGATTCCAATTTCGGATTCTTTAGATGATCGAAGGCCGAATGCCGTTTTCTGAAAAGGAAGACAGTGAAGCTTCTGAAGCTTATGCTGGCAAACACCGGCCATTATTTAAAGCTCCATCAAAGCATTACCCACATGGTCTTAAAACGTGAGTCTTTCTTCTCTCTTTCACCAAGAAACTAAATACTAATGAACAGTTTTGCATCATTGATTGGTTTGGTTCATGTCATTAACCCAATTGGGCTCGATCCGATCTTTGAATCCCATAGGTTGATAGAAGAATGCTGGCATGAGAAACCTGCAAAGCGACCAACTTTCAGAGAGATCATTAAACGACTTGAGTCCATTCTTCACCACATGGGTCACAAGCGACAATGGAGGGTCTGTTTCTAGCTCTCTCTCTCTCGAACACACATATCATTGAGTTTGTTCCTTTTTGGCTTCTGAGTTTTGTTTGTTTGTCTCTCTGATGTGTTTCTACTTCTACATGTTGTCTTTTTCTTTTATCAGATGAGGCCATTGACATGCTTTCAGAACTTCGAGCACAAGAAGAAACATAACTGGGATTTGAGCAGCCATGACGGCTCATCATCCGGTTCACATTTGTGATTCTTTAAACGGTTAAGAAACCATTCTTTTGTATTTATTCCTTCCGGTTTAGTTTGGTTTTCCCCAGAGCAACCGAATTTGACTTTGTAATTTGTATTTTAATATTTTTTGTTGTACACTGCAGAACTCAAGAAAGTCTTCGTGTATACAAAAACTGCATTTTTTTATATTCTAGTATAAAATTGTTGTAAGCTCTACGATTTTAACCTCAATATATATTTGGTGTTGTAATCTAAAATTGGTGTAAGATTTATGATTATTATATAATCTATTATGATCCCTAACTTCTAAAGGTCGAACAAATTTAACGGTAGCTTCTTGTTACCGACCATACTAGTCCCAAATAATTGTTGTTCAAGTTGCAAGCATATTTTCTCAACATTTTGGATATAATTGCACTTTCAAAATCTGAAAGTTGGATATGTTTTTGCAATGTTTCTTTAACTGGAGCACTTGAAACTTCAACTTGCTTCAAAACCACTCCCGGTACTCATTTTTCTTACCATTTTTTTTGTATAGCAAATTTCTTTAATATAAGAAATATGTCATAACATCAGAAAAAAAAGAAAAAGTAAAGTATTTCATAACATAATGTATCCGATTTTATTTTTGTTGCTAAAAATAATTAATAATGTATCGATCTAAAAAAGCATAGATAAAGAATCACCAGACTAAAAGAAAGGCTGTGGTTCTTGTCGTTGGATCTCATGTGAGTGTTACTTTTATCAAAGGCTTACCCTAAAATGTGAATTTTGTAAAACCACATGAAATTTCATGTCTATCACAAAAGAATACATACATCAAGATTCAAGAATATGAAACGCACGTATAATATAGACATTTCTAAGAGGGTCCCAAAAACAGGCTCTTGATCTGGAAACTGAATTAATTCATATTCAATTATAGCCTCATGGGCCACTTTTCCGTGGCTACGCACATTACCATAGGTTATAGTGTTATTCGATTAAATTTGTGATGGACGAATTTGATTTAGTAAAGTTAACTTCCAAAGATTTTGCGACAATTTGTTTTCTTTTTCTTGATATCTAAAATTTATTGATTAAACAACGATTGACAAGCAACTAAAAAGAAAAAAATTGTGAAAAATAAAAGAATAAGGAGAATATGTCTTTGATTGAGGATGTTTCTGGCTTGAAACCAACATTGGAGAAGACATTCATACTTGCGGGAGTCTTGAAACTGAAGGGATTCAATTGCGGATAGATTTCTCAATTATATGTGTGATGTCAAAGATATGGTGGTTTTGATGGTGGCGGCCACGACCATTTCTTTCCTCCCATGAGTGGTATATTGTAACTTGGAATGTTATGTCGATCAAAGCCCAAAGGTTTAATAGGAGTTAACTCAGATACTTTTATGCGAAGTTTTAATTTTTTACGACTTACTCGAAACAAATACTAGTACATATATGATCCTTTCATGCAAACAAAAAACTTGGCTCAATCTTGTCCAATAATTTGAGTGGCACAATCACAAGCAAGCCTAAACCAGTACTATTTTCTCTAAGAAAATAAGTTAATTAGCCTTAGTTCGGTAACAACAAAACACGCAAAACATTTTTGAAATAATTTCGGAACCCGACCAAACAATTTTTAAATTCCCACTATATACAACATATAGAAATATAATTATATCTAGGTTTGAATGCCAATTCCACATTTTTACGGGATTTGTAAAATTACTCGGAATCTAATTTTTGACAGTTTTCGGAATTTTTCTGAATTTTCGAAAAATCTCAAAATGGTCCCAAAGTAATATATTGATCTACTAACCACGTCATACTAATTTTGAGATGAAATGCACCATAATACTATATATATATATATATATAACTTCAAAACAGAGAGTATTGTTTTGTTCTAAGCTTTTTTTTTTTTTTTCTTTCTGTCAACTGCTTTTGTGTTATCTTTAATGTAGTACATTTTTCTTTTTTAATGACCAGGAAGAAAAATTAGGGAACAAAAGAATATGCATTAAATATTATTAGGTAGTTTTCATTTAAGTGATCCCTTCTCCAGCACAAAATGTATGCTTCGACGTCAAATGTTTTGAATATTTATTGTTTTTTGTTGATATATAATTAATTTTTTTAATCATTATTACGTGGGAACTTATCTAGTAGACTATAGTACACATTATGTTTCATTGTGAATTTAGTACATATCAGTAGGTTTTCTTTTTTCTTAAGATACACAAAAAAACTGCATGTGGATGAAATAAATCTAAGTGTATTGTCTTCGAATTTGAAAAAAAATACGAGTAAATCTGTATAATACGTTTAGTTGAGCAAAACACCACTGAACCCTATCAAAACAGTGGTGACCTAGTAATAGTATAAGGAGGTTGGTTTCTTTATGCCTCGGATTCAATCTCTCTTTATAACGGAAAGACATTCTTTAAATCATAATAGATTAAAGGCTAGCTTCATATAGCAAGAGAGATTATAGAACAAATGTCTGAAACTCCCACTGTTTAACAAAAAATATATGGTTAATCATTTATTGGGTTATAAGTAATTCAAGGAGTAGATTTTTGTTAAAAATAAACGTTAAAGTAATCAAAATATGGCATTGTCAAAAAAAAAAAGTAATCAAAATATGGTAGAAAGCAACCTTCGATTGTGGTCCATCATGTAAGATACGAGAAGATTTTATGGTTTTTAAAACCCACTTCGACCATGAAAGCTTGACCCAAAGCAATTGAGTTGTTTCTTTTATAAATGACCTAATCAATTTCCCTACATACAAGCATATATACATGTGACGTAAAGAAAATCTAATTATGTAATAATTTGTCAATTTTACTAGCTAGCGTTCAATTAAATAATATCTTACTAACTTTTACTCTTGCTAATAAAAATACATTATCAGAGAAGGTAAATCATAGTTATGATGGACTAATTAATTTTTCTAATGGCAAGAAAGAAAAAAAAAAGTACAAAAGAAAAAAAAGCACATTGCAAGTGGGGGTGTATATAGTTATAGGCAAATAAATATGAATATGGATTGTATATACATATAGGTTTCTCTTATCTCTATCAAATTACCTTAAATGGGTTCATAAAGATGGAGATCAAAGACTACACATCACATGCTACTCTCCCTCTTCTTTTGGCATAACCTTACTCCATTTATACATTGTGCTCCTCAATTATTCAACATATTTTTCAAATAACTTATCAAACAAAAATGTAAAATATCTACACAATTTTTTTTCTTCCACATACACTATCGATCATATCATTAACATTTTGGTATAAACCAAGAACTTTTTATTGAAGAGGGGCAACAAAAGTCAAAAAGAAAATGAAGAAAAGAGAGAGAGATTAAAGTAGTTGGAGATGAGAAAAAAGTCTGGTTACCTTCTAATTGAGTCAGAAGCATTACACTTAAATAACTTTCCAAATTAAGCCCTACGTCTTGTCCAGCCCCTTAAAAGTACGCTTCATCTCCCTATTTCCCCTATAAACCCTAAAACCCTATTTATATTATTAATTTATCATTTTTTATATATGTCAATATCACAACAAGTAAACATCAACAACTCCAAATCTCACTAACACACATAAATAGTATGCTAATTTTCTTCACTATCTGAGTAATTTTCTCCTTTTTTACGTCTTAGATTCTATATTTTCCATACATATAAGGAGATAAGTATATTGGTTCTCACTAATAATCATTTTAGCCAAATTTAGATTATCCACAATTTTATTTATTTTATCTGTTACCACCATCAGTTACTATATGAAAAAATTACACCTCATCATGTAATTACAAATTTTTTATATCAAGAATTGAAAGTTTATTCTTTATAACTATTTTTCTTATCCAGAATCAATTTTCTTATATTTATTCTGGCAAAATTAAATAAAAGATATATAATATTTACAACAACATTTGTTTATAAATAAATATATATATAGCTTCCTTAATTAGTGAAACAAATTTTCCTGCAGAATGTCACTTAAATCTTTAAATCAATTCACAAAAGAAAAGGGAATAGAGCTGAAATTTTCCTCTTTAAAAAGATCAAGATTTAGTAAAAACTAGAAACAAAGAAGAAGATCGATATTTGTTGTAACAAAAATATGTACTGATCAGATTTACCCAAAGATTTTAGTGCCTCAAAAACTTTCACATGAAAAGCAAAGACAAGTAATGGTAAGTAGAGTCTGCATCTCATGAGTGATTGCCCAACTTGAACCCTCTTTTCATTTAGACCTTTGTGAAAGACCACACAAGAACTATCCACCAATAACTCTCCTTTTTCTCCATTTCCAAAAAAATATATTCATTTCTACAGTTTCTCAATTTGGGGGTGTCCTTAATAAGTATTGTATTTATGAAAAGTCTTGATGTATGGTGGGTGTTATTTATGGTAATTATATTAACCCTCTATTTATTAATAATATTTTTCATGTGATTTCAAAAAAGCTGATATACTCATGCTTTGTGAACCTTTAGATTGCTCTATGTCAATCTTTTTTTTTTCAACCTAACATATATGTCTAAATGTACTGAAAAGAACAACAGTTTAATTAATTATACTTCCCTCATATAACTATCAAACCAAGTACAAAACTTTTGTCAATTATTCTCAAAATATATATCAACTTTCACCACATAATTATATAACATGTGTATGTTCCAAAACCAGTTTAAATAGAATTACTTTTTAGAAAATACATGTAAATTATCTCTATCTAATAAAGAAGAAACACATACTTATCTCATAGATTCCATTCATAAAACTATGCTTTAGTGAGTAAGAAAACCAGTAATCAACACAAATTGACAAGACACTATATGGATGTAAAAAGTGGGGGAAAATGATGATATATATTTTAGAGAAAATTAAAAAGAAAAAAAATTATTATTCCTTTATAAATGTATATACCCATCTCTTCACCAGCACAACCTTACCTTCCATTTTCTGCAACTTCTCCAAATCTCATACTTTCCAGAAAATCATTTTCCCAAGAAAAATAAAACTTTCCCCTTTGTTCTTCTCCCCCCCAACAGGTCAGTCTAATATTTTGTTGTTCCCCAATCCTTTCAAACATTATCTTCTTCATAATATTACTTTGCTTCACTTCTTTTGGTCCTCAAACCAAATCTATGTTCTTCTTTAGTTTCTTTTTTTCCCGTTTTGATTTGATTCTTTTTATGTTATTTAGAGAGAAACAAGATTTAAAAATTCTCTGATCTTCTTTAAGTACTCTTTAAAACTTTTCTTTTTCACTGTCTAGATTTAAATTATCTTCAGAATTCCTTTGTTCTTAAGTTCTTTAACTTGTTTTACCATCCTTTCTTTGCCTTCAAAAAATCAGCAACAGAATCCATGGTTAACTCTTTCTATGAGAAAATGAATGTAAGATCAAAAAAGTTGTGTCGGCAACAGATTAAAATTAGATCTTTATAGTTTAAAAGAATAGAAAAACATGAAGAATCTTGAGTCTTTTCAAGAAAATCTTGATTGGTTTTTGTTTGGATTCTTGTAATTCTGGATTAATCAATTTTGCCCTAAACGTTTTTGGGTTTGGAGCAGCAATCACGGCGTACCAATCGGAGCTAGGAGGAGATTCCTCTCCCTTGAGGAAATCTGGGAGAGGAAAGATCGAAATCAAACGGATCGAGAACACAACGAATCGTCAAGTCACTTTTTGCAAACGTAGAAATGGTTTGCTCAAGAAAGCTTACGAGCTCTCTGTTCTTTGTGATGCTGAAGTCGCACTCATCGTCTTCTCTAGCCGTGGTCGTCTCTATGAGTACTCTAACAACAGGTTTCTTCTTCTTCTTCTTCTTTGTGCTCTGTTCTTAGTTTATTAATCATTTAATTATTTTATAGTTCAATTTAGGGTTTTCTGTTTAAAGCATAAATCTTTAATTTACTAGGGTTTTCGATCTTCGATCTAAGCTAGATTTGATTCTGTTCTTCTTGAATCCTCTTGTGGGTAGGATTATTTTTCACTTTTTTCCTTGATATTCCACACATATATAAATATAAACACACAAACACACTAACATTTGTGGGAATATTTGTTTGTAATATATGTTTATTTTAATTTCTTTGGAGGTTCTTATATATAAATTTGTACTAATTTTCTAGATCTAGCTAGTTTCTTACATGAGTCTTTTATCTCTTAGACTGAAATGTTTTTTATAGAGAATTTGTTATATATGAAGTGAGGAAAATGGTACAAAGTTAAAAGGAGATCTGAGTGAGAGTTAGATAATAAATGAAAAGAAATAAGAAACTATCAGGTTTTTTTTTCTAATGTGGAGTTTTAGATTCAGTTTTGGAGAACTAAGATTCACTTTGTTGGGTTTTCTTTCTTCACTCATTTCTGTTATATAATAATAAAAAAATCTTATAACTTTCTATTTTCCTTACTAACAAGTACTTGAAGATTTAGATATATTTATAGATCTGGTGTTGTAATAGGTAAAATCTTGATTTTTATGACTATAAAAGTAAGTTTTTGGGAAACAAATTGGGAGAGAGTAAAGGAAGGACTATGAGGTCATATCTTCTGTTTTGTGATCATCCATCCTCCATTGTTGTTAATGTCTGTGTCTCTCTTTTTCTTCTCTTCTTTCTCTTACTTTCCTTTCTTATCTCTAGCTCACTTTCTCTCTCATGAATTATCATATCATATATTTGATACAACACATGTGATGGTAAGTGATAGTGAATATGGTGAAACTAGCTAGATTTCTGAATTTTCATGCTTATGAGTGATAGAAAATAATGGAACTACGTACATGTAGGACAATATGGTTATAAGTTTTTTTTTTCTCTTGCGAAAATGTTAACTGTTAGGGTTATTAATTTTGTAGTTTTGGAAAAGTATATATATATATATATGAGCTAAGATTAGTTTGAAGTGGTTATACCCAAAAGAAAGCATTGAAAGTAGATTTTCAACTTCAACTATAAAAGATTTGAAATTCAAGATTTGAAATAGTCAATTAAACAAGGAGGTAATTAAGACAAATTAGCTTATGGGGTCTCTATTTTGTTATTCCTTAAAATTACTCTTTTTAAAATTAAAAATAATTAAACTCATTTCGAGTTACATTACTCAAACTAGTAATCTCTAATTCCACACGCAATTTCCAAATATTTATTATTAGAGAGTCCCACGTGATTACTTTCTTCTCCACCAAAACATAAAACATGTCAAAATTAAATGGTGTTGAAATTAAAAGATCTATTTTCTTAATCGTTTACAGTTGTCAACTCATGTCCTGAAATATATAATTCTCATGTCCAAAACAAGAAAAGCTAACAACGACTAATTCAAATCAGCCAATCAATATTAGTCTTTATTTACCTAATATTTTTTTTATATATCCAGTGGGTACTTCAAAAGAAAATCAGAGTTTCGTTTCTTATTTTTTTTTTTTTCTTTTATAAGATTTTTGAATTGTTTTTTTAGAGGTTGGAAGTGAGCGCAAGATTAGGTTTTGGTGTCTGTAAGATTTGTTGTCTTTGTTAAAGAATCTTTGATCACGTCATCACTCAGATATTATGTCTTTTATTTTTCACTTGTATTTTTACTAGTATAAAGTTTTGTTAGTTTCAGTTCTTGACTTCTGACAAGAAGGTTTTATGTCATAATGAATTAATTTGGAACCTATTTATAAATTCAAAAATGTCATCATATTACTACTTTTGACCATTTAATATTAGATTTCTCACTTGGTCAATACCCAATGTTCATATTATGTGTGTACATACATATATAGAGACAAAAATTATAAGGATACTAAAAAGATTAATGATCACTGAATAAATAGATTTGGTATAGAAGTAGAGCATTGGAATTGCTTCAACATCTTTGGTGTAGATAGATTTATGCAATTTCTCTTTCTTTTGAAGTATCTTTTTTTTTTTCTAGAGAGAGAATAATGTTAGGGATTTTTCATATTTTCTCTCTCATTATGGGCACAGAGAGGAAAGTGAGATTTTGGTACGGATCCAATAGATTAAGAGTTTGGTCTGCCTTCTACGATCCAAAAATTCGACGGTCATGATCTCTCCATCGATGGTTGAGAGTTCAGACATCAAAGTCTATAATAATATGTCATCGTAGACTCGTAGTACGTATATGTATACATATATGTATGCGTATAAACTCAGAAAAAAGAATAAATGGTTTAGAATAGTGATTTTAATTATATTCCAAATAAGGAAAGTATGGAACGTTGTGATGTTACTCGGACAAGTCATTTAGTTCCATCCATCACGTTTAAATTAATCCAATGGTTACAATATTAATACCATCAAATGTCTATTGGATTTACCCAATGTGTTAATGGGTTGTTGACACATGTCACATGTCTGAAACCCTAGACATGTTCAGACCAATCATGTCACTCTAATTTTGCCAGCATGGCAGCTGCAGCCAATCACCAGCTCGATAGATTTAAGGTTTCAGAGGAATTTTAATTATTTAGGGTTCTTATTGTTTCATAAAATGATTCTTTATTTGTTACAACTTTAAGGAAATATTTTATTAACAGTTTAATTGTTTTCTTATATTTACTTTTGTTTTTTTCTTCACATCATGTGTCACATTAAGTTGCATTTGTTCTGACTCAAAAAGAACCGATGTTTGCTTTTAAGGTTTCGTATTAGAATCACTTAACTGTGCAAGTGGTCGATTTGACCCTTTTCATTTTTTTTTTCAAAACGTAGATTTAAGTGTAAAATTACGTTTTACTGGTAATTAATACGTCTAATTACCCTCTTAATTTTAAAAAATCATTGCAGTGTAAAAGGGACAATTGAGAGGTACAAGAAGGCAATCTCAGATAATTCAAACACCGGATCGGTGGCAGAAATTAATGCACAGGTAACTTAATATTACACGAATGAATATATGAAAATAATATGACAACATTGTTCATACTTTTACTCTTTTTTTGAAGTATTATCAACAAGAATCGGCCAAATTGCGTCAACAAATTATCAGCATACAAAACTCCAACAGGTTTATATTCTTAACTGACTTGCAATATTTTATTGATTAGTTTTTATGAACTGTATTTGATATATTAATATATTTTGATAAATTGATTAGGCAATTGATGGGTGAGACGATAGGGTCAATGTCTCCCAAAGAGCTCAGGAATTTGGAAGGCAGATTAGAGAGAAGTATTACCCGAATCCGATCCAAGAAGGTAATTATACTTTTATACATGGCTCAATATCAAATTGTCCTATGAAACTATCTATATCTATATACATTGTTGCTAAATTTATAAATTATTTTTTCATTTGTTAATTTTGCAGAATGAGCTCATATTTTCTGAAATCGACTACATGCAGAAAAGAGTAAGAAATAAATCTACATTAATCTCTATTCTTAATGTTTTTCTAATAATTTTGCTCATTTGTATTGAAACCTTTAAGCAGGAAGTTGATTTGCATAACGATAACCAGCTTCTTCGTGCAAAGGTAAATTATACATTAGAAAAATCTATTTCTATAATTTTATCCATCAATTTGTTTCAATAAATATAACCAAATATAACATAAAAAGGTAAAGTATGACATATAACATAAAAAGGTAAAGTATGACATATTTGTGTAATGCATTTAGATAGCTGAAAATGAAAGGAACAATCCGAGTATAAGTCTGATGCCAGGAGGATCTAACTACGAGCAGATTATGCCACCGCCTCAAACGCAATCTCAACCGTTTGATTCACGGAATTATTTCCAAGTCGCGGCATTGCAACCTAACAACCACCATTACTCATCCGCGGGTCGCCAAGACCAAACTGCTCTTCAGTTAGTGTAAGGAAACAAAATCTTGCTCCGATCAATCATTCTAGTCTTATATATTGGTCCATTTTATAAATTTTTGAATTTGGTATTATATGTTGTTTTGTAGGTAATATTGGCTGAAGGAAATGGGGAGTGAATAAAAAACCAGAATTGGGTTGAGCAAGCAATATAAAGCTAATGCATGTTATATATTTATCCCATGAACGTTGTATCAGTGATTTCTATACTTATTTAAATTGCTTATGTTGATGTGAAATTAATATCTGAAAGACATGTCATTAATGTCCTTAATTTGCTTAAAAACATATATGTGTATAAGTTTATTATTAGTTCAATTGTTGTATTTAATTACCAATTCCTGCTCTATTAATGGTTTTCTATTAGAAAAATCTCAAAATATTATGTTTATAATCAGTTACATAAGGTTTCTCATCAACTAGAAATGTGCTGGGCTCCATCCTCCTCCACCTCTCCACGTATGTCGATAACATTCGACATACAACACCTCTATGCAAGAGTATTGACCATATCTTCTTTAAATGACATACAACACCTCTATGTAGCTTCATTTCGTTAACCAAAACTAGTAAATCTTGGTCATAGTCAAGCTCATGTTTGGAGCCTTCGTTTACTAGATTTGTAGGAAACCAACATCCATTTCCATCCAGGCCCGGTCCAACAAAAAAATATTTCAAGGGAAAAGTTATAGTTGCTTATGTTCAAGAACCTGACTCTTATGCACAAGCTTCCTCTTATCAGAATTTTCCATTTAAATCAACTTCAGTTTCTTCTTAGATCTACTTACTAGAATAGTGTTTGAACAATTTAAAGATTGATACATTGTAATAAGAGAATCAGAGATCCAAATGAGTTTAATCATCTATAAGAAAGCAGCAATTTCATGTCATTATATAGAAATAGAACCATGATACATCAACTCCACAAAACAAACAATTCTTCTGCAGCAAAAAGAAACAATTATCAAACACTTCAATAAGAAAAAGGATTAAATCTTTCTCCCTCTCCTTTTCTCTCTGTGTTGTGTGAAGGATATTTCATCAACTAGAGCCGAGCAAGCTGCTGGATATCATAAGGATGAGCATCAGAAGCAGATTCTCTCTGAAAAGATCGACTACCGATGACAACATTCGCAGCTTCTCCTGGATGAAACGCGTCCCAGAACACAAACTCGTCCCTGTTCAGACATGGAGCTTGACCCGGGAGACATGTTATCTGTCCATTGTTCCTCCCAACTCCACAACATCCCGCGTTTGTAACCCTAAACCCTGAACCATTTACAAGACGTCGATGAAACTATCAAAAAAGTTTTCAGGTAACATTTGATAGAGTTTGTTTAAGAGTTGACTCTTACCATAGCGAGAAGGATTAGCTACCATGTCTTGGAAGATACCATAAGCATTAATGTAAGTGAACTTGGCGCCTGGTGTGTTTTGATTGAAATGATCAACCAGAGACACGAGCTTACTGTTGAAGATTCTGTTTGCGGAATTGATCCTTTCGTCACAAGTTACCCCGTCTCTACTGTTTTGAGCCAGCTCATTTGGACTGCATCCTATTGCGCCGATACCAACTAGCGCAAACTTCCTCGCTCCATTGTTATACATTATCTACTCCATACAGAAAAAACAGAAGTTCATATCAAACACAGAGAAAACAGAGAAAATATAAACAGCGGACAGAGGATACAGAGTTTAAAGAAACAGAGAATATAGCAAAGAAATGAACGGACCCGGAGTTGCTCGGTGTAGCGGTTTATGAGGTCGTTGGCATAGGAATCCGGGGAGTACTGGCTCCCGGTGGAGTAATAAACAGGCATAAAATAGTTATTGAGATAGTCGTTACTGCCTAACCCGATTGAGTAGATGCATTTACTTAGGTAATTAGCAGCTTCATTCTCGTCTCCGAGTATGTTCACAACTTGTGACACAGTGTTTACATGATTAGCTACTTGCCCTGCAAATGTTATTCTAGCTCCCTGAACCAAAGAATGGAAAGAGATTTATGTTTCCTAGTTAAAAAACTTAAGTCTAAATGATATGTCATGACATCAAACCAAAATTGTGTATTCTGTTCAAGGAACAAATTACCAATTGACGGCCAGTTTCTTCTCGAATTCCGGCAGCTGCAGAAGCGTAGTTTACTCCTCTCAGGATATCTTCTCCCCTTGCTTCGGAATACGGTGTAATGTAGTCATCGAAACCAAGAAGCTCGGCTTTTTAGATTTCCCGCAAACAAAAATCAAAACAGATAAAAGTTAGTTAGTTGTGTTTGTTCAGTTACACATTTTGGACAAAATAACAGAAACGTAAAACAAAAGAAGGGTGTTGTTATAAGATTACTGATGACATCGACGGTGGTTTTTCCGTTGGAGAACCGGCCAGTTGGACCGAACTGGAAGTCGATACCATAAGGGAAGTAATTAGCTCTTGCTAAAGAGGTAAGCCGATTGTTGTTTCCACTATCAACCAAAGAGTCACCGAATATGAAGTAACATGGTGCTATTGGGTCACCCATAGCAATGTTCATAGCCATAGCCATAGCTAATAGCATCATCATTACACAAACTCTAGCCATCTCTACCCTTATCTGAAAAGAGAGAGAACGTGAAGAAGAAGAAGAGAGAGATTGGTCTGATAACGTGAAGAATGTAAATGGATGTATATAATAAAGGTCAGAAGAATATGGAGGGAATGACAAAAGAACCAAAAAAAAAGTTTTGTGCTTTAAACAGTTGAAGAAGCATTAAATGTTACGCGGTGATAATGTTTGTGTAGATATCTAAAAAGTAACTGTATAAGTATGGATCTAAAGACAATTAATAATACTCTGTTTCTTACAGTATTGGGACCAACTTGCGTGTCTAATCTGATCATTCTGTTATTATAGTTTACCAGAAAAAGTTGTCTTCAGAGGGAACCATATGTTTGGACATTTAAAGGATTAGAGATTTGAGATTTGAAACAAAGATTGAGATGGAGACAACGACTAAGTTCACCCTTTAGCTTATTTTGCTACTGTGCCAAGGGATGAGACAGTTGGGTTTTGTGATTGATGGCAAAATGTAAACAAATGATGAAATGTTAGGGCCACTTGCATAATCTTTATCATGTGTCCTGTGTCCTGGGAAGCAATTGAACAGCTCAGATTGATTCTGGTTGGGTTCAAATCGACGATGAAGAATGATGTTGAGGTATGGATGTATGTATTAATGGAGGTAGATGGAAGAAAACATTAAATGGCGAGAGGAGGAAATACTATGTCATGATGATGATCATCATGATTGACATAATGTGGTAGTTGGGATTCATAAATTCTGTGTCTTTTTGTTCATGCTTCTTCTTCTTCTTCAGTGATAAAGTAAGAAAATAATAACTCTGGGAACAAATGGTGAAGTGTTTGTCCACAAAGATTCAACCTTTCTGTACTAATTAGCCACCAAAAGCATAAATAAGACGAATTGAGAATAGATTTGGTAAGTAATGAGTAGAGTGGACCAATAAAAAAAAAACTTATAAATGAAATTGTTGTTATAATGTGACTTTGAGGTTTGGAGTCAGTGACTCATAAATTTGAAGCATGACCTTGTGGGGTTTTGTGACAGAGCAAATAAGTTAAAGCAGCCATGCTGGATTCGTTTTCAAAATAAAGAAACATTTCAAAATATAAAGAACAGAGAAAATGATCATATCTACTACACTACCAACCACATGCAAGGAAGTATGAGCACTATAAAGCATGAGTGTCATTGAACACTGACAATTCATCGGTTTTACTAATGGGAGATTCTTTTTACCATTTTCTTGATGAATTTACAGTTTAAAGATTACAATCAAAAGAAAAAACTTGGGGGTAACTTCTACATATACATGTGTGTAGGTGTGTGTTAATGAAACTGAAATCAACTATCTTCAGAGGAATATCTTTTGACTCTAGCCCTTTCACCATTGAAGTAGATGTATTTGAATTCAGAGAGGTACCTCCTAAGGATCAGTTTCCGATTTTCTTCTTGGCCGAGTTCCCTGAAGGCTCGAGCCACTCTCCTCGCAGTATCTTCATCTGGCCTCACCTTCAGCTCCTCCATGTCTGCAAACACCTAAAAGAGAAAAACCGAAAGAAAGTCTATGTAAAAACCAAGTCATACTACTTGCAAAGAGACGTATAGTATCTTCAGGAGTATCTAAAAAAGTAAAAAGTAACATTAAGATCAATTCTCGAGGAAAGAAAGAACCTTGTTTTACCTCGATAACCTTATCGTGAAGGTCATAGTGAGCATACAAAGCTATCATCCTAGCAAACAAGCGTCTTGGGATGGATCGTGTATGTGTGTGCAGAATCATGTTCCATAACGATTCTGCCTCGTCAGCTCTTTGGTCCATATCAAATGCCAATAAGAGGGTATCATATGTTCCCATTGTAGCCCCTTGCCCTTTGCTTAACATCCACTTAGCCAACTGAGTTTTTCATCAAACCAATCAACTTAGGGTACCATATTTAGCAAAAATTTACACTTGACATAAGAAGTTGTGTTACTTACTTGAATCACACGATGCCACTGACTTCTCTTCCTTAAGATTTGCAAAGCCTTAGCTGCAGCAATAATGGGAAATTCAACCTCCCAAGCTACCCATTTGTTCAAAGCTCCATAAACAGCCTCTTTTTCATTTGGGAGTCCAGAGAGCTGGCAGTTTAGAGTTATAATTCAACATGGACTACTTTATAATCGTCTAGTAACATTCGAGAGATAACGAAAAACATGTTTTCACAGGATTTTTTCTCACTTACCATTCGGACAAGATTAAGCGCTTTCTGCCCGGACCCAGCAGGGTCATTCTTCTTCCACAAGTGATGCTCTTTCTTCCCCACTTTCTTTATTTCATTGCTACAATATCAACATTCAACACAAAAAAACTTACTGATGAATCAATAAGAACAAACAATGTCAAAGATACTTAAGAAAGATATGCAACCAAACATAAGATAAAATTACATATATCACTTGTAATGTAACAAACAACAAACCTGTTCACAGTGGCTACATCCAATTTCCCGGCTTGCTTCTCTGAGAACTTGAAAACAATATCACCATTATGACATGTTGTGATTCATTTCACAAGAATCATATGAAACATATAATAGATAGATTATAGCCATTAAAAAGAAAGTAACTACAAAAACATATTTTTACCTTTGCCCTGATGCAAAAACCAAACCTTTTCGTCTTCAACGTGGAGTAACGTCCAAATTCTTGAGATTTCTGCAATTAGAAGAATTCACATCTGAAAACATAAATACAATCTGAAACAAAATTTGTCTTGAAACTGAAATATTTGATGGAGAAAACAAAAAGAAACTCACTGATAATCCTTGAAACGTGAATCCTCCGAGAGTTGGATTGAAGTTAGAGAGCATCATTACTGTACACTTCTTCTAGACTTCTAGTAAGTAGTAATGCAATTTGGGCAACGAAGAACTGAAATTGAAATTTACGAGAAAGCAGCCATTGTGAAAATGGGAAACTTTTGAAATTGTAGTTGTTGATGACAAGGAAAAAAGGTGAAACCTTTACTTAAACCAGAGAAATGTAAACCTGATACGATGCAGCAAGAACAATGGAGTTTGAAGAGTGAAAAAGCGATTTAGGGATTTCTTTAGTCAACCAAGGCAAATTGGTTTAAGAATTAAGCAATTACAGAACCGATTAATAACCGAACCGATCAACCTGGTTAGTGGTCACTAGAACGTGAATATATAACGGGCCCTATTTAGATAAATCCAGATCCAGCCCAACAGAGACAAACGAGTTATTGAAATTCGGCCCTATTTCCATGTCGGTAAGTTTAGGAAAAAAAAAGGTTGAATAAGATAATTTTACAATAATTAGTACGACCAAGAAAAAAACTCTAAGCAAATCAACGTCGATGTAATTAAGAAGGTCCCATATAAATTGATATTGAACTAATCAAGAAAAGGAACACCTTATCTCTATTTCCACCTCTCACCCAATCAAATGTCTGTCTTAATATCATCTAAACTCATTTGGAGTTAATCAAGTTGCCTTAAATATAGCTATGACTCATGCATGTTATGATTAGAAATAGTATTATTCAAGTACATAGTTATCTAAGTATGTATCAAGACCTCATTACAGGATACACAAAATTCTCCAAAATAAGATTTTCCTCATTGTAATATGTATATAGAGAAGGTTTTAAGATTTTGACTAATTGAGTAGAAAATATAAGAAACATAGACCAAGACATTATTCTCTGGAAATGATCAGTAAATTTTCATAGGAACAACATGCATATGATCAGTAAATTCTCCATTTGTACATAGAAGTAAATTTACTGAACAACATGCATATGAAAACCATTTGTACATAGAAGTAAATTTTCTCTGGAAATGATCAAATGGACCACTAAGAATAGGAACCACACTTGTCCAAAGGTACCCAAAAATTTGGCTAAGTCATTGTCTTTAGCACAAATCTATGCATCTATTATTACCCCAATTCGTCCTATGTCCAATTCATTCGACTCTATCTGTCTACCTCTTTGTCCATTTTTCATTGTCTCTCTTCAATTAAATATGTCTAGCTATATGCACGAATTTCAGTTTCACCGAATTGTTCCAACACTGAACTAGATCTTATTTAAGGCCGAACTGTTTCAACATTGAGCTATATTAATTAAATGTATGAGCGATGATGTATTTATAGTAGTATTTGTTTTGCTCTGATCACATAAAAACACAACACATCATATTAATACAAAATTTTCGTGTCATTAACATACATTGTTAGAAACGAAAATGGTCACGACGGGCTTAATTATTAAATATGTTTCTCCAATTTGGGAAATTTTATCTCAAAACAAGTTGTTAAGTCATCTAAAATGTAAAAATTAAACTATTTATAGTTTGATAATTAATACACTCTTTTAAATTACCATTTATGTTACCATTATACTTGCTTCACGTTAATCATATTGTTTAGCTTATTATATCCATTTTTGCACACCAAATTATTTATTTTTTGTTTCTACAAATATAAAATTCTCGTTAATCCTTTTGGAAAATTCAACATCTTAATTGAGAATTCTAACTATATGATAGGTGGATCACTCGATCACTTTCAATAACCCTTTTTTTTGTTAAATGTACTCCTCAAGGCATGTCTTTCTCGCTACTAATTTTCTTTCAATCTATCCAAAAAAAAAGCGCTTGCTTTTTCGACAAATTCACGGATAAACTTCTTTGTCAACAAGATGTAATTAAAATGGCATTAACAACAAATCATAATTTCGTGAAATCACTCAGCCAAGAAAAAACCATTATAAGTATCAATGGTTCTTTCATAATTCAAGGAAATTTTCGATATATTTCACATTTGACTTTATAATACCTACTGATATATTTTTAATTTTTTGAAAGATAATCGTCATTTCTTTCTTTGGTTATTATTTGTACATCACGATCGTACATTATAAATTTGTTTCCTTGAGCATCCATCAATTTCAATATGCAATTAAAAAATATCAAGATTAAAAAGAAAAAGAGTGTTTTGGACAAAAGAAACTCCGGAAGAAGTGAGACATTAGAAAGCTAATAATGAACGCAATGGAGAAACCAATCTTTTAAGGGTTTAAGTGTTTAACCATGGGAACTCAATCGTTGATTTATCCCTTTTTTTCTTCTCCGAAAGCAACAAATCAATGATCAGCCGTTCATTAACGCCTCCACGTAATCGCGTGAAGGAGAACGACGGCAGTTCTGGATAAACCGACACGTGGCACCGCCGGCACACGCTAGACGGAAGCTTTGTGACGTTAACTTCGGCTGACGTTAAGCTTGTTATCATCACGACACGTGTTAGCGCACACGTGTGGGTTCTCATGTTTTTTTCTGTGATTATACGATTTTCATTTACCTATTAAGTCTTAGAGTTTGCAATCATTGAAGAAATTTCGTTTTAACTTAATCACATCCTTAATGATTAATTAATAATGAGATCGAATCCCTTGACTTCACTCAAACACCTTCACGATGACATCATGTGATGTAACAAAAGATATTAGTTAATACTTACACGTTTACATACACATATACTTGTATGTGTATATATACGTGCAAAACATGAGATTCTCTTTGTGATGTCTTGGTCTATGTATAAATTCCATTTTTTCCTTTAGTTGTTTCTTATTTTTCTACCACACTCTTCTATCAAATCATATATATCCAATTTTTTCCCTTACTTTCTTGGCAAAAACTTTACGATCTTTCAATGTCAGAAGAATTTCAAGAATCCGAGGTTATTTTTTCCGATGAGTACTCTTTCACAAGGAAAGATAACAAGAGTCACAACAACGAAAACTACAAAAGAAAGTCGACGGAGAAGGATAAATATTCATCTCCGGTGAGAATTCCGTCAAGAACTATTTTCCGGTGTACGGAAGATGTGGAGGAGGAGGGAGAAATGACACCGCCACATGTCATAATCGAAAAACGAAGAAAGGAGGCACAAATGGCGTTTTCTTTTTGTACCCTTAAAGGAAGAGACTTGAGTCGACACCGTAACACCGTTCTTAGGATGACCGGTTTTTTGGAAGTTTAGTTGATCCCAAAACAAAATGAGAACCGGTCAAGTTTAATTTGATCTATTTTGGTTCGGTTTACGTCATCTTTCTTCATTTGGATGTAAGATTTAGCTTTGAAACGAACCAATTAATGTATCATGTTTTACACGTATAACATAGCTTTGAAACGAACCAATATGTATCATGGTTCTTATTATTTGGTGAAGAAAAGATTTAATATTGGGGAACCTTTCCCATATTTTATCAGGTAAGTAAGATGTTGAATTTCCGGTTAACTTGATTATTAAATTTGTTTAAAATTATTTCTTGGTTTCTTGAGAAGAGGAAAACCCATAAGAATCAAATCTTATGATAAATTGAGTTATGGGTTTGCTTGAGAAGTAATTGATTTCTTCGCTTGTAAATTTTGTGTTTGGTCCACATTCATGGGAGGAATCTGCAATTTGCCAATTTGTTTGCTAACGTGAGCTGTAAAAAGCTTTATTTGCTATTGTGAACTGAACCGAGGGAGAGATAATTTTAAGTATTTGCTTAAAAAAAACAAATTGATACCTTAAAAAATTAGTTTGACTTCGGATAAATATGGAACTTCGGATATTATGGAATGTTACATGTTGATACCTTATTTATCTAATCAACATGTAACCTTATTTTATATTATGGAATGTTACATGTCATATAAAATAAGTTACATGTCATATAAAATTTTATATTATGGAATGTTACATGTCATATAAAATGTAACCTTATTTTATATTATGGTATCAAATTGATACCTTATTTATCTAATCAACATGTAACCTTATTTTATATTATGGAATGTTACATGTCATATATTGAGACTTGCCTTAATATTAGATGAAATTTCAAAGTTTGCTGACAATTTATTTACTCAGATTAGTTCCACTAATCCTAGTATATAATAATTTGTATATCGAACAGTACTCAATATTACTTTATATTTATTTTATTTTACGTCATTTTTTTTGTCAACAGGTTATAATACGTTAGATTTCATTTTGTATGGAGACATATACATACCAAAAAAGTTCATAGCCATCTCAGCTTTACCAAGATAGTAGGATTGCTGAGCTGTGTTTTCTAGTTACGTTTACACTACGCTGTTTTTGTTTTCTTGTTTTTAAATAGAAAATACCCAATTTGCTACCACATTCTGATTTTAAAGTTTGAATAGTTTAGTTCATTACAAACTTGTTAGAGAACAAAAAAAGAAAACTTAAATAAAACGTATCTGACAATTGACCACCAATTTTTTTTTTTTTAACTGTATCTGACAAAGTGACAATCGTCACAATCCTTTTAGCTATGACTTTGCCAAACAAAATCAAATTATAACTTTGACAAACTTTGCTAATTAAATATTCTCACCATTTGACCACCAAAAAAAAAAAACACTCTCACCACCATCCTTTAAAAAATAAATGGAGGAGTGATTTTCTTCAAACTGTCATTATATTCTTAAAAAACATTTTCAGATACTACAAAGTTTAATAAGTTACAAGAGAAACATCATTTTTTGACCAAAAAAAAAGAAGAGAAACATCATTTTATATTTTCTTTATATACGATATAGATGTATGAATAGAACAGAAAATTAGAAGGAAAAAAAAAAACAATTATAAAATCTATAAGAAAAAACTATATAATGAAAAAAAAAAACACTATTTTTACAAACTTGGTAATAAATTCAACTAACTTAATGCTATAGATCAGCCGATACAACCGGCGTGGACCGATTCCGTCGCCGTCTCTTCCGTGCTTTATGCACTTTAGGATGACTACCACCAAACTTTAACCGTCCAGTATCCCTAAACCGGTTCTTTTCAGCCGTCACAATAACACACTCCGGCGGAGGCACCGAATATCGAATGGTGTCGTAACAATACGAATAATACATATAACGTTCTCGGAACCGTCGCATAGCCGCTGCTTGTTTAGGAGTAATGGTTGAGTAGTCGTTGGTCATGAGAAATTGGTCGGAGAGAGAGCAATTGATGTTATTATAATTACCGATGTTGTTGTTGTTGTTGTTTTCTCCGGGGACTGAGTCAGAGACATTACAACCGTCGAGGGCTATATCTTTGAATTCGGAGACAAAAGGTGAAAAAGTGTAGTCGACGCCGAATTTTCCACCGGAAGTAGCCCAACTTGAGGCGTCCCAAATGGTTGCATATAGAGACATTGGTTTTTGTGGATAGTCTCCTTTCATTTCTTCTTTTCTTATGATTTCTCTTATTGGTACATCATCTACCCAAAATCTGCAAATAACAAATTAACCAACATTTTGTAATGTTTTAAGAGATTTTATTTTGTAATTATACTCACATTGTGATATTATTGTTCATAATTTTCTTGGCTAAGCTAAAGCTAGTTATATGCATGAGTCTCTTTCTTTCTTTTGTTTACAATGCATGAGTCTTCTTCAATCTTAACGAAACTAGGTTCGTTTTTCTTTTCTTTCTATTGTTAATTTGTTATCTTATTAAAATTCAAACTGAAGCTTTCTAAATATAATGTGAATGATAGATTTGATTACAATAAGATAGTTTTTTTTTTTTTTGAAAAATTGAATCGAATATATGTACCATATTTGGTTATTATATCATTTTCCTACACTTAAATCCAAATTGTACATCGTTAAATGCGTGTAAATGAGACCAAACCAATAGTGAAATGAAATCTGTGTTTGCCGTGTCAATTTTTGCGTTGACTAAACTATATGTGTACTATCAAATCAATTCATAAACCCATACATCATCTTTCTCATAATCGGAAAGTCCTTAGCGATCACCTAACTAATTATGTTTCTTTTTTTTTCTTCTTTTCTTAACAATCCAAACAATACCATTTTTATTCTCATCTGATATATTTTTTGAAATATTAAATGATCATAAATAAAGAGAGAAAGAGGATTTGATCAAAAAAAAAAAAAAAAAAAAAGAGAGAAAGAGGGAACTAACATAATTTTGGTAGGGGTCCAAAGGATGCTATAACGGTGAAACTCCTTGGAAGGATCAAACCAAAGACGGTAGCGTTCTTCGCGGCCGCGGTTTGTGCTACCGTTTCCATACATATTCGTTTGAAATCGCCATGGCTTTCCTTCTAGGTTCCCTAAAAACTCTATGTCTAGTTCGTCATGGTTCTTCACAAACACATCGCCATTTGATGTCTGCATAATCTCATTTACAAATTCCACACGTTAATTCAATTCACTTTTTCAATATATGATTATAAAAATTTTGATAATCAAATTCAGAAAATTAGTTATTTACATAGAAAGCGACAACGATACCAGCCGTGTAAGCTCCTGGCAACTTTATCAACGAACTGAAAAACCCATGTTGATACATGCTTGAAGAGATAAATCCCGACCCTAATCAAATTCATTTTATAATTTATCAGTGATTTGATCAGTGATCACTACAAGATAGTAGAACCATAGAAGAAACTTTGCACAATTGAAAAACGGTGGCATGAAGAAATTTCATATATTCTATCATCCAGCTTACATAAAAAATCTAATGATTGAATATATATCAAGATATGGCAAAGTTTAATGTTTAATGAAAGACTGTATATAATGGCATATAATCATATTACCATTCTCCCCCGATCTCGTTACTAAACCTATCCATTTTTCATGTTCATGCAATTTACAAAATTATATACACAAAAATAATACTATAGAGAATCATGATTTAAAGAGAAGAAAGTTACCAGTATATTTGTCGAGGAGTAATCGAACGCTGCGATCATCAGGAGATCGGATGAGATTACCTTCACCAAACAAATGAGAAAGACCTTCATCGAAGAATATCGGATTTATGTTCTCCAATCCTAAAACACATCTACATGATATGATCATCACCATCATAATTATTACCATTAATCGATTATTAATCCATAAAAAATAGATTGAATCTCTCATAACTTTGTTCTATTTTTGTTTCAAATCCAGAAAAAGAAGAAGAAGAGAATATTGGTTAGCTTTCTCTTTCTTTGTATGGTCTAAGATCTTTGTTGTTGTTTATGTTTTCTTACCAATGCGTCAAAGTGGGAAAGAGAAGACCATGGAATGGTCTAAAGTTTTGCTTCTCTCCTTCTTTAAATTTGTTAAAAAGCCATTTGTTTTCTTAGTTATCTACGGAATTGCCACTGATTTTTTAGATTTTAGTAGATAATAATAGTAAACTAGAGCATACCAGATTATATATAATAATTGAACAAAAATTTGACATGATAAGTTTTTAAGATGTATAAATTCTAGATTTGATCCATATTTATCTTTATACAGTAGATAATTTGAGTATAGGTCAGCTCTGATGTAAACAAACAAATTCAGATACAATTTCTTATATGATAATTTTTCCTTATAATGTATTTAGTTATTATTTTCATCAATTTTACTAGGATGGAGATAAAAATATTAATTAGTGAAATAATCCAAAAGAAAATGTAAAATTTCTTAAATTTAAAATTTATTGGTTTTAAAATAAGTAATTATTAATTAAACTTCAAAACAAGTTAATAATAATAAAAAAGACTAATTTTTTTTTTTTATATATATAACTTGCTATCATTCTCTATTCTAAACATTGTTACTATTGATTCTTTAGCATCAATAGTATAATAAATATAACTATTACTTGTTTAATAGCAGTAAAGAAGTTAAAGAATCAATAGTTACATTTACTACTAGTAGCTACTCGATTAAAATAATTTTTGTTTTGATAAAATCTTTATTGGAGTGAAAGAATGGATTATGGAAAATTTCCATTTATCCTTTATTTCATTTTTTTCAAAATAAGTTTATCTCTCCGCAATTTTTGCTGACAGAAAAAAACTCACAATCGGATAGCTTGGACTACACGAAGCTAATTTGTTATATATATAAAAACGGTGGCCACTCTTCTATGGAAAACTTGTTCTGATCAAACATTCTACCAAGTGCGAATTTAACAACACAGCGAGCGAAAGAAAATATGAGTCACGAAGAGAATATGTAATGCTTTCTTCTTCTTCTTCTTCCTTTGTTTCTATGAAATATAGGGTTTATGCATAGAACTAGGGTTTCCAAGTTTCGTTTCTTGTGATTCTGTAGACTTCGTCTCTGTATGTGCGAGTACAATACTGAGATTTAGGGTTTTTGATCATCAATACTTCATTCGATCCATAGAAACATAGCTACTACTAAGTTTGATGAACACGATACATCGAAAAGTTGGTCTTCGCAATATCTAGGGTTTTTAACTTTTTCCTTGTTCTTTCTATCTATCCGCAGGATGCAAGAGTTAGATGATTCTAACGATGAATGGGTGAAAGAACTTGAAGAAGTTCTCGAGGATAACGAGGAATCGAAATCCACAGGGAGGAGATTAGTTAAAAAGTCGATTTCTGTTCCTGAATTGGTAGACGAAGTTGAAGAAGATCTTAACGATTTTATGGAGCCTGAGGATGACTTTAGTGACAAAGTAGGGAAGAAGAGACAGAGGAAGAAAAATGAGTCTGTTCTTGAGAAGACGAAGAAGAAGCAAAATTCCGCAGAGATTCAAGAGATGTGGGATTCAATTACGAACGACAAGAACTCCAAGGTTTTGTTTGTTTGTTGTTTGAATCATTGCTCATTGTTCTGTTATCTTGCGATCATAAGTTTGATTTTCTCTGTCTTTTTTGTTAACAGGATGGTGATAAAGTCGTAGTAAAACGTCCTAAGAAAAAAGATGAGGATGCTGAGGAGATAGCCAAATTGTTCAGTCTTAGGAAAAAGAAGAGCAAGGGGGAGAAAAACGCAATGGAGATTGCGATGCAAGTAGAACAAGTGATGGCGAATCTTGAAATCGCTGTAGAAGACGACGTAATTCTAAACAGAGAAGGAAAACCCGCCATTAATAAGCTCATGAAGTTACCTCTTCTCAATGAAACTCTCTCCAAGTAAACAAGATTCATCAAACTCTTTTAATCTTTAAGTGATTAGAATTCTCTATCTTTAACTGAAGTTTTGATCGCTCTGGAATTTTTTGGTTTAACAGGAAACCTCTTCAAGCTGAGTTCTTAGATCATGGAGTACTTAACCTTCTCAAGAATTGGCTCGAGCCGCTTCCTGATGGTAGCTTACCGAATATAAACATCCGCACTGCCGTTTTGATGATTCTCAACGATGTATGAACCTTTCTCTCAATCCGTAATCATAAGCTCTAAATAATATGATTTACTAAAAAAGATCTCACCTTTGTTTTGTTCTGTGTTGCAGTTTCGTATCGACCTAGATCAAGACTGTAGAAAAGAACAGTTGATCAAGAGCGGTCTCGGGAAGGTAAAATAGCAAATCGAAATCCTGCAAAAGATCAGACCATAAAGAAATTTTGCTTGTTGAGTTAACGCTTCTTTTTCTTGTTCCTGCAGGTCATAATGTTCTTATCAAAATCAGATGAAGAAACCACAGCTAATAGGAGACTCGCTAATGATTTAATCAACAAATGGGTATGTATAAGCAGTTTTTGAGGTTTCATTCTGTCATTACTCGTTACTCACCTCTGTTCTTGATTTGCAGGGCCGTATCATTTATAATAAGAGCACAAGATATGATAAGATGTTTAGTCAGGAGGAACTTGAAGAGCAACGGCAAATCCTATTAAGAAGACAGACCAAAACAGCTCCTAAGGTGTCTGAAACAAAAGCTCGAAACTTTGATACAGATCTTGACCTTTATGTGTAAGTTTCTCTTTGTGTTTAACTTGGCTGTGTACCATCATCTCAGCTTAAAAAAATTTTGTTTTTGGTAATCTGATAAATCTATGGGGAAAAAAACATGCAGGAAACCAATATCCAAGCTAGGACCTTGGACAGGAAGAGCAAGAGCGAAAATACCAACAGCATTATCGATGGACTTTAAGATCCGTCCTCCACCGAAGGTTGACAAAGACCCTGAAGCTTGTTCCAAGTGGCAAATGGACAAAAGACATAAAAACGTAAGTGACCTGCATTAACAGATAGATGATCACTACTTGCATTGCATCATGATGGTTTTCTGCATCCATGAGACCATGACTATTTTTGATTTGAAAACTAACAGAAAATATGATACCTTTGTGACAGCTAACCAAAAAACAGAAGCAGCGAAAGATCATCAGGAAAGAGGGCATGCAAGCATTCAAGCTTAGTGTAGACGGACGCACTATGCTCAAGTACTTGTAGAGATCATTACCAGAGATGTTTTGGACAGATCAAATGCAAAATCCATGGGGAATTTCCTCACCCATTGTGTTTAGTGTTTATGTGAAGAGATTATTCTAATTTTATAGAACTCAAAAGTGTGATTATAGAATTGAGTGTTATCAAAAACACAGAGTTATTTATCCATTTGGTTGGTAAGATTTTTCCAACAGAAATTATTACCAAAAGTTTACACAGAGTAGCATCAGACAGAGAACTTGACGCCTTCATCATCTGCTGATGTTCCCTTGAACAATGCAAGCTTGCCCTTGTTCTCTAGAAGCTTTAAAGCCCTCATTAGAATCGTCCGATCGATCCCTTGAAGTTCTGAAACATCAAAGATAATATTTGGATCGGATTTCGCATTGAGTGACACAAACAAAATCATATTAGAAAAACTAGAATTGAGTTAAATACCTGTTCCAAGTGATTCTGTCCCTGAACGTATTTCTTCAACAGTCATAACACTGTCCTCTAATCCATTATCTCTCACCTGATAGATGACATCGATTAGAGAAGATTGCGAAAAAACTAAAACCTATTTTTGAAAGTTTCTTAGATTAATTCACATGTGACTCACAAACTGAAGAATAATGTCTGCCCAATCTTGAATCCGGTGCCACAGAACCAGACATTTCCTATGCCCTTTATCTAACCACTCCGCACGCCCTGTCAATAGATAATGAATGACACATTCAAATGAAACCATGAGACTAAAAAAACCTCATTCTATCACCGGAACATGAATTCATAAAACCAAAAAAAACACAAGCCGCTTGAATGTCTCGGAATCTAACCTTCTCCAACAATGGCAGAGAGAAATGTTTCCCTTGCTTCATGACTAAGAGATCCTACAAACCAAATGAAACTAACGCTCTAAAGCACTTCCCTTGAAATCATAGAAAGCCACAAGATTAACAGCGAAACCTCGAGACTGGAGGATCTAAAGTTACAACAGCTTTCCTTGCTAAGATTTTAGTCACCCAAAGGTAAAATATCAACACATAATTGAATGTAATCAGGTGAAGAGGCACTATGGATCACATACTATCAATGGCAGAGTTTGAGAAGAGAGGGAAATCTTCTTCAACACCAATCAAGAAAATCTTTTGAGATTTGCAGTAATCCAAAATAAGTTCTTTCCAGAGCTGTATTTGCTTCTCACGCGTGTCCCTCACAGGCTGCAAACTTGAAAAAAAAGAGACAGACTTTTCTTCAATCCCACAATCTTTTAAGACATATATAAGGAGGAAAAAAAAAGAGAAACTTTGAAGAAGAGATTAATACGTGAAGTATGGAGGATAATTGAAGAATTGAGGAAGCTTGAAATCAGCCACTTTCTGCATCTTTGGACCTCAAAATCTATTCACAAATCCGTAAAACATACTTACATGAAAAGCTTATAATCAAAAACAGAGCCCAGAGATTAACTAACGCAAAGAGCCATAAGGTAATCCCAAAATAGCTTTAACCGATTCAAGCATTATTTAGAAATGGAATCACCAAAAACCCAACACTAGAAATCTAAAACCCAGAAATAACAATCAAAATCTGTTGAATTTTGTTCCCAGGGAAGAGAGCTATGTTTTTGTAGAAGAAATCAGATCTGGGTTATCTCAATTCATCAACACATAACAAATAACGACGATTCCCTAAAATCTATCTCCCAGAAGACAAAACCTTTAGAGAGCGAGCAGCTTACGAGGCAGACAGATGTGAAGTTTGTGTCTTTGAGAGACTTGGGTGCTCTGTTTCAAAATCTCAAAATCGGAAATTTGATTGAAACGAACGATGATGATAATTGTGGTCAATATGTTTGACTATTTTAGCCTTAGCTTTTAAGGAGTTTGACAATTTGGATTCATTCCACTTATTGAGATTATGAGTTTTTGACATGTCAAATGCAACAATAAAGATGAAACTCAACTTAATAGGATAGATTCATGTGACTGTGGATAACAAAGTTCAAAAGTAACTTGCATTTAATCCTCAGAGAATGTTACAATCTGTAGCTTAAACGGACAATGAAGAAGAAAAAAGAGGAAATAAGGGTTTAAGCTGCAATAAGATCAGGTGTCTCGGCCTCAACAGATAACAATGTAGTGTGAACCTTATCGACCCAACTGTCTAGCTGATCCCTCAATAACTTGATCTGCGGAATCCCTAACACCCTCGGTTGCGCCCATGAGACGTACACTGTTCCATTCACCTGATCTAATATTCCCTCTATCAAGTGCACCTGCATCAACCAATACAGAATCCCATATCATATTCACAGCGACAAAATCTTCAAGAAAGGTCTTCTGTCTTTCCAATCTTCTTTAGATTTCATGCATCATCGATAGAATGGGACATAGAGAGAGGAAAGAAAAGGTACTCACGGATAAGCTCTTCATGAGAAGGTGCTCAACATCTTCGATTGAAAGTTTAGTACGCTCGGCAATGACACTCAAAGGTATGGTCCTATCTTCAGCAGGTCGGCTGTGGCAAAGATGTTTATAAACAAGTTAAGTACTAATTTTGTTTTCCATCTGTATATGCGTATCAGATGTTTCCTAAAGAGAATGAATACCTGAAAATGATCTCAATAAGGCAGAGAATGTTGATCTTCTCTAATAGTTTCTTCTCATTCTCAACCAGTGCTGGTTGAGCACTCAATGATGCGTTGTGCACACGACAGAGTTCTTGATACTGAACTAAATCACCGTGGTTGAATGCTTGTAGAATGTGGTAAAGCCATTCCACATTTGTTCCAAGCAGACTTTTCAACTGCCATGACAGAAGATAACATGTCAGTGTTCTTCTTTTATCTATAATGGTGAACAAATCTGTGGTTTGCTAATTTGGAGGATCAAGGCAAACTTACAATTGGATGGGCTAACAGTTCCCCAAAGTTATAGATATTATCTCCAAGTAGAGCTGAAAGCGACAAATCAAAAGCCAAATCCTGAAAGAGACGAAAGTATATGATATTAACATTTTGATCGGTGAACACAAAGCAAGTTACAGAGATAAAGCATTTTTCACTGCAATTTTCCTTCCATAGAGTGCTAATACTTATCCAAAATTTCTAAAAGGCCATTTGGTAACGGAAAGACCACATATAATCATATATGAAACATTAGAACAGGACATACCAGCTTAAATGATTCAGAGAGTGACTCCACAGACGTATAAGCAAGGTAAAGAAGAGCATTTTTATAGAACTCAGAGAACTCTTGACGGAATTTATGGTACTGAGAAGACACCCAAAAGAAGTTGGCATAGACTGATGGATCAATGTCAGTCATACTATCAAGCAAGCTTTTTCCATCATCCAAGATTTTCTTGCACTCCTTCTGGTCACCTTGCTCAAGCTTGAACAAAGCTATCTGTGTTTCTATATAGCTAATTGGCTCATTTATCCTTGACTCTTTAGTAGCTTTAAGCTTTTCAATCACTCCTTCAAGATAACTAACAGCAGCTTCTTTCTCAGGGTACTGCCGGGAGACTACAACCGCGAAATGCGCAAGCTTCAGAAGATTGATCCTCGTCTCAAAGTCAGTGATGAAATTGTTGTAAAGCTGTATTAAAGCATCTCCAGCCTGAAAAGATTATGAACATAAAAATGGGGAACACGTTAACAAATTTATAAACCCTTACCTAAGAGCCAAACCAAAACATAGCTACACAAAAGGCCCTTAAACCTTGTAAAGCTGAGTTTTTCGGTATCTCTAGGCTAAAATATTCAAAAGCTTTGGTCACAGAAGTGCGACAATTCACCAATACAAAGCTTTTCAATGAATCTGAAAATCACCTAAGAGTCGGAACGAATCCTTTAGATCTCTCTATAGACCCAAGTCTAACATGCCGACTCCTATTAACTTTCTCCAGATCTATGAGCCCTAATTTCCCAGAACAGCTACGAAACGATGAAAATTCAAGAGATTGACCTGAAAGACAGAGAGAGCAATGAACTGCTCGAGCTTAAGAGTGAGCTGATGCCAGAGCTTCTTCTGGTACAGATCTGCGAGCGAATTGTACCACTCGCCAAGCTCTGGGTGCGCATTTTTCTGCGATTCAAGGTACTGTAGAGCAGCCATGGCAGATTCTCGAAGAAACAGAAGGAAAAGCTTCGATCTTGTATCGGTTTGGGAAGTAAGAAAATCTGGAAAAACCCAGCCTTTTAGTAAACTATATTTCTTGAGCTCAAAGACAAGTATTGGGCGATAAATGCAAAGCCAAAGATTGAAAGGACTTTTATGTAAATAAAAAATACTATGGCTAAATTACAATTTAGGGCTCAGAAAGAATTTTTGTTTCCGGGTTTGGGCTACAATGCTTATTCACTGAGAATCAAAGAATGTCTCTGCTTATTAGTTTCTTTTGAAGCTACAAAACCAATGAATAATTGAATTAAAAGCTATATTAGTGGGATCTCTCTGTGTGCTACTTATTACCAAAAAAATGAAGAAAGAGTTAGGAAGAATCATAGTCTTGAAGAAACAGATTTGGTCAGAATTCTCTTTAGTTCCTTTCTCAATATCTTCCCAGTTGGAGATTTTGGTATAGAGCTAACCATCACCACTTTCCTCACCTTCCTGTACGGTGCAACCTAGAACATGTAATGTATAATGTATTACATTGATGATCTGTACATGTATTAAATATGTTCTGTTTTGAAATGGGAAAAGCCTCGTTGAATTTGTGGAATCTAACCTGAGCAGCTACATAGCTTATTACATCTTGTTCTGAAAGTGTTGCTTCTTGTCTACGGACAACGAATGCTACCGGAATCTCTCCACATTCTTCGTTTGGGGCACTGAAATTTAAAGTCTTTTGTTAGAACACAAATCACAATTTTGGATACTTTTTACTAGGGTAACAGACTCTGTCAGATTGTTTAAGACCAGATTTGCAGTATCTTTCATTTATTATAGGAGTTGAGTAAATGATTCAGGCGCAGATCAAAAAAAAAAAATCCTTCGAACTTACGCTGTTACTGCAGCGTCGATAATCAAAGGATGTGAAACAAGAACAGCCTCCAAATCTGCTGGGGCGATCTGCAAAAACCATAATTGCAAAGACTTCTCATTTCCTAATTTAGAGTTGGCTGAAAGAGAAAGGATTGTGGATGGTTTTGAATTTTGAACAAAAAACTGCTTTTTCTTTACCTGAAACCCTTTGTACTTAATAATCTCCTTAATACGGTCAACAATAAACAAGTAACCATCTTCATCAAAATAAGCAATATCCCCAGTACGTAGCCAACTATCTTCAACTATACTCATCTGAGTTGCTTTTGGGTTATTCAAGTACCCTGATAGACAAATGAACGGTGTTTAGATTCTCTCCAAGTAAAATTAAAACTGTTAGATGAAAACATCTAACACACATGCAAGGACAAGTTAATAAGCCTAATCTATCAACACAATCACCAAATAAGCCACATGAAAGTTGGAATATCCGATCTATATTTACATTTATGCAGATGCAAGTTTTTCTTAATGATTCGAACCATTGACAAAAGGACTTATTTATGAACTGAGAAGAAAAATCTCAACTATTTTGGCAAGAAAAAGTAGTAGAATAGGAAGAATCTATCTACCTTTCATGACACCGGGACCTTGTATCCAGAGCTCTCCTCGGTTTCCTGGTGGTAGGAAAAAACCAGAGCTCCAATCTACTACCTTGGCTTGCATATTAGGAGCAAGTAGTCCCACCGAAGAATACCTACCAAGCTTTTCTGAGTTGAAGCCCCGTGTTCCAACTGCGGTTGATTCAGTCATTCCATATCCCTGCACCGAAATGTGATCCCGTTTGTACACACTTTTAGCTAAATGAAAACAAAATTAATAGTGAGACTCAAAAGTCATGGCCTCATTAATTCAATTTTAGTTGTTTCTTTTGGGAAGACATGTCAAAAAATTTCAAATAATGTAGATTCTACTTCCTATTGAGTTTATGGACGAATAACATTTAATTCAGTTTCCTAATAAAACTTTTCAATATAAAGTGCTCCTAAAACGACTTCTAACAGTAAAGTTCAGAGACCTGAATCAAATCGACATGAGGAAGAGTCTGAAGGAAATCTTCAATGAACTTCCTACTTAAAGGAGCTGCTCCAGAAGAAACTTGCTTCAAGCTTTTAAGCACTTCCCCAGATACTCCTTTTGCCTTCTTTGTCAATGCCATCAACATAGGAGGAACAACCGGGAAATGAGTGATCTTAAACTTTTCGATTACATTGATAACATCAGAAGCATCGAACCTCCTCATAACAACAATGGTTGATCCCAGAGACAACAATCCCATCACAAAGAGTGATAACCCGTAGATATGGCACAAAGGCAAAGCTGCCAGATAAACATTACTCGATCCCGGATATTCGTATTGCGTAGCTTCAAACCTCACAAAAAGCTCCATTGATGCAATCAAATTCCTATGAGTTAACAAAACTCCTTTAGTAGCTCCAGTTGTCCCAGATGAATACATAATTGCAGCTACATCGTCCTGCTTAATCGACGGTTTTGGTACAAATCCGAAACTTTCTTTCATAACCGCGTAAAACTTCGGGTTTTCGATTCGAATCAAATCAAAATCGTAACTTTCAGGTACTATAATCACCCTAACCTCCAAAGAACTCAACTTGTCAACGTTTTCAGCAGAAGTAAACGCTAAACCAACATTACACTCACTCACTTGCTTCTTAATCTCTCCCAAACTACTCGAAGGATTCATGGTAGTAACAATGGCACCAAGCGAAATCAACGAGAGGAAAATCATCGGAAAATAGACGGAATTAGGCAACACGAGTGATACAACGTCACCTTGACGAACACCCAAAACGTGATAAATCCCAGCCGCCATTGATTGAACCATAATCTGTAGCTCAGTGTGAGATATTGAAAACCCGGTTAAGGAATCGACGAGCGCGGCATCGCCGTGATGTCTGTGAGAGAAAAGGGCGGAGACGGCGTCGAGATTTGGGTCGACGGGGAGGTGTATGGAGGGAAATTTGCTGGAGTAGATTCCTGTTATAGGAGAGAACCAAAAGGGAGGGTTTTGGTGAGACGTTTGGGTTTTATCATTTGGTGATATGTGAAGATGCGTCGCCGCCATTAGAGAAGCAGAAGCAGAGTTTAAGATTCTGCAGCGATCAATGTTTTAGTTCTGATCGGGAAATAAATAAACAAACGACGGATTAGTGATTGAAAAAGTATTAAAAAAAAATATAGCTGTAAATTTATTATTTATTATTTATTATCACATAAGACACATTTCATTTTGAATTTAGTACTAGATATCCGAATTTTATAAATATCAAATATAAGTTGTTACATATTCAAGAGATTATATAATTATTCCTTTCACCAAGTTGAATTATTTACTAGGAAACATCATTTTTATAAAATGCCAAGAGTTAGTAAAACTATACACTTGTTTACGAGCTATGGCCTATGGCGGGAGCGGAACATGCGTTATCAGTCTCTATGAAATCTCCCAAATGGCCAAATCTATATTTCGTTTTATCATGAGTATATTATCACTGGCTTATGTTAGTGTACAGCTTATGTTAATAATGTGAGATAAGTGTATGTTAGCATAAGTTTAGACTTGTATATAAACAGAATTATACTGTAAAGTTAATTAATGAGAAATTCTGATTTCATCGTTGACTCTTCTCTCTCTCTTTAGCTAGAGCATTGTTATTTCAATCCAACATACCATTGATTTACTGGAGTGATTGCATTCTTACTGCTGTTTTCTTAATCAATAGAATACCTTCACCTTTATTGAAAGATGTCTCACCATATGAAAAATTGTTAGGAAAGAAACCGGATTATCATCTTAAGTCATTTGGATGCTTGTGCTATGTTAGTTCTTTACAGAAAGATAGAAATAAATTTAGTGCTAGAGCTTATTCTTGTGTATTTTTAGGGTATCCATCCGGATACAAGGGATATAAGGTTCTTCATCTAGATTCTAATTCAATTTCCATAACTAGAAACATTGTGTTTCATGAGGATATTTTCCCATTCGCTGATAAAAAGAACTTGAATCCGGATTTCTTTTCACATGTTATTTTACCTCTTTCAATGTCATATCATCCTGAATCAATTGATATTGCATCATCATCGAATTCCCCTGCATCATCTGAAACTATTTCTCACCCTGCAATGCATACACCTGTTAGTCCTTCTCATGATTCTCCTATGAATATACCTGAATCATCATCTCAAGATGTAGACACTGAGAATCATTCATCATCATCATCTGTTGCATTGACTGGGAAGTCTAGAGATAAACAACATGTAGTTTCAGATACTGCTTTGATTTCTTTGCCTAGTGAGAGACCAAAACGACAGACTAAGGCACCTGGTTACCTATCTGAGTATCACTGTGCTCTTGCTCAATCTTTCACTTCTTTACCACCTAAACATACTACTCCTTATCCCTTATCTTCAGTATTATCTTATCATCGTTTTCAACCCACCTATTGTTCCTATATCTTATCCTATTCTATGGAAACTGAACCAAAGACGTTTAAGCAAGCTATGGGATCTGATGTATGGAAAAATGCTCTTGGAGAAGAGCTTCAGGCTATGGAGGCAAACTGAACATGGAGTATTACTTCATTACCACCAGGGAAGAATGTGGTAGGCTGCAAATGGGTTTTTACAATAAAGTATAACTCAGATGGCACCATTGAAAGGTATAAGGCACGTTTGGTTGCTAAGGGCTTTACTCAACAGGAGGGTATTGATTTTAATGAAACTTTCTCACCAGTAGCTAAACTAACAAGTGTTAAATTGATGTTGAGTTTAGCTGCTAAGAAAGGATGGGAGTTAACACAAATGGACGTCTCTAATGCTTTTCTACACAGTGAATTGGATGAAGAAATATATATGAGTCTTCCTCAAGGGTATACTCCAGGTACCAATGATCCTCTTCCTCCAAATCCTGTCTGTAGATTGCATAAATCCATATATGGTCTTAAGCAGGCCTCAAAACAATGGAATCGTCTATTCACCTCTGTTCTTCTGAAAGATGGTTTTATTCAGTCTCAATCTGATACAACCTTATTCCTAAAGTTCACTCCTACTGGTTTCATTGCCCTGCTAGTCTATGTTGATGATATAGCTATAGCTAGTAATAATGCAGAAGATTTAGCTGCTTTAAAGAGAGTGTTAGCCACTGCTTTCAAGATTAAGGACTTAGGCCCTCTGAGATTTTTCCTTGGATTAGAGATTGCTAGATCAGCTAAGGGAATTTCAGTGTGTCAGAGAAAGTATACTTTGGATTTATTGGAAAACACAGGATTGTTGGCCTGCAAACCAAGCTCTGTTCCTATGGATCCTTATGTGAATCTTACTAAAGATACTGGTACTCCTTTGGTAGTGGCGACACCGTATAGAGAACTTATTGGCAGGCTTCTCTACTTAACTATAACAAGACCAGACATTACCTTCGCAGTTCACAAGTTGAGCCAGTTTCTGCAGTTTCCCACGGATGTTCACCTGCAGGCTGCTCACAAGATCCTGAAATATCTTAAGGGTAATCCTGGTTTAGGGATTTTCTACTCTGTTGATCCTGCTGTATGTCTCAATGCATTTGCAGATGCCAATTGGGGTACTTGTTTGGATACTAGACGATCTACAACAGGCTATTGTGTGTTTTTGGGAACATCACTTATCTGCTGGAAGTCAAGAAAGCAACAGGTAGTAAGCCGCAGTAGCACTGAGGCTGAATACAGGAGTATGGGTGATGTTACTCGTGAACTTTTATGGATTCAACAATTACTGGCTGATTTTAGGATCACTGTTGACCATACTGCAAAACTGTTTTGTGATAACAAATCAGCTATTCACATTGCTCAGAATCCAGTTTTTCATGAACGTGTCAAACATGTGGAGATTGATGCTCATACAGTGAGAGATCAGATAAAGCTTGGAAATCTGAAGGCTTTACATGTTTCAAGTGAGGATCAACTAGCGGACATTTTGACAAAACCTTTGCATTTTGGACCGTTTCATTCACTTCTCCGTCGTATGTCATTGTCAAGCCTTTATACAGCTTCACCAGATTCAGCTTCTAAGGCTTGCGGGGGCGTATCATGAGTATATTATCACTGGCTTATGTTAGTGTACAGCTTATGTTAATAATGTGAGATAAGTGTATGTTAGCATAAGTTTAGACTTGTATATAAACAGAATTATACTGTAAAGTTAATTAATGAGAAATTCTGATTTCATCGTTGACTCTTCTCTCTCTCTTTAGCTTGAGTTTGTTAACAATGGAGAAGAGTTTGTTACGTTTATTGAAATGAGGTATTATTTATGTAATTTATATGGAGATAACATTAGATACCAATCTATTGATTTCTTATGTATTCTTTTCAAATTACACTCAATTGAAAAAGAACCTAATTAATTATAAGTTTAGAATGAATTAATTTCCATAAATTAGTTGCCATATACTTCCCATGATTTCTTGATTTCCATATTTAGGGCAGAATTAATAATGGGTTTGATTCTTGCTTTCCATATTTAGGGCACAATTAATAATAAGAATAATGAGCTGTTATCTTACTTTCCATATTAGGGTAAGAGTTAATAATTTTAATATTGTGATCAGATCTGATTAACTAAAACTCTGACGTTGGTATAAATAAGCACTCGGTCCACTCCCATGAAATTAACACAGTCTGTTTCATCTCATCTTATTATATTTTACTTTTGGTCAATTAGATATGGATCCTTCTTCTGTTACGGCAAGCCAAGCCTTAGAATTGTTGAAGAAGACATACGAGGTTGTGGATCATCCTTCAACGAATTCAATAATCTCGTGGGGACCTGACAGCAAGAGTTTCATAATTTGGGATCCCCAAGGATTTGAAAAGTTTCTTCTTCCCATTATCTTACCTCCCCGCAACCTGGCCGTTTATGCCTCGTATCTCAACTGTTATGTAAGTCTTTCACTTAATTCTTGGTCGTCTCTCAAATAATTCAATGATAAACAACAACTCTTGTGTGATATATATGTTGTTTTAATTCCTTGTAAACGTACGTAGGGAGTTTTAAAAGTTGAGTCTGAACAAGAATGGGAATTTGCAAACGATGATTTTGTGAGAGGCCATCCTGAGCTTTTGGAGAAGATTACTGATCGCTACAAGATATACTGCCAAGCTTTTCGTGTTTGTAAGACGAGGGAGCAGAGGTTGTTATTGAACAAGAAGCGTAATGAAGAATGGGAAAGGGAGAGATTGGAAAAAGCTTTAGCAACAGATCTCGAAAATCCATGCAACATTTAATTTAAAAGATCATATTATCGATTATGTTTTTTCGCTCGTTCAAATTTCCCATGAAAACCGGGCCTTATGGCCTAGTGGTAAAGGGGTCACAGCTGTGACTTCCGCCACCAGGGTTCGAGGCACGGCCACTGGCAGGTTTACATAGGGGAATTGCCAACCTCGTGGGATTAGTCCTTGGGCCTAGGAAGCCTTTGGGAGACCGCAGTTATTCAAAAAAAAATTTCCCATGAAATATTCTTGTTTTTCTTATATATTTATTTTCGAATTTTTCAAGCAATTGTTAGAAATACATTAATTTCAAAGAACAGAGTGACACCTGGCATTCTGTTAGCAAAAAAGCAGTCAAAAAAGTCACTCTCACTTGATTTCTTCCCTAATCAGTTTTATTTCCATTGGCTAATTTTGGATTCTTTATATTCTCCGATGTTATCGCCGGCGAAATGTGAGTCAGAAGAAGCTCAAGCTCCATTAGATCTTCATTCTTCTTCTGGATCTGAACCGGAATGCCTCTCTCTCGTCCTCTGGTTACCCAATCCCGAAGAAGCTGCTCCGTCGTCTAGTAGAGAACTCACGAAGCTCCCCGACGACGGAGAGATGAGTTTGAGGAGATCTGCGAGGCTTAATTGTAATTCGCCTGAAGATAATGGAGGAGAAGGTGGAGTTTCGCAGAGGAAGTCCTCTCGTGGCAAGCCGCAGCCGCTGCTTATGTTGACGAACGGTTGTCAGCTTCGGAGGTCGCTGAGATTTAGGCCGGTCGATGGAAATTTCGACAGTGTATGCTCGGTTCCGGTCACCGGAAAGTTTGGGTCGAGGAAGAGAAAGAGTAATAGTGCTCTCGATAAGGTTAGTCGCCGATTTTTGTTTGTTCTTGTTAGTAGTCAAGCAATGCAATGCAGCTTAGTTAGAGAGTAGAGAGTATAATCTTCGTCCTCATTTCATTGACTGGTACGAAAGAAGAACTAAAATCGTCATTCTTTTTATGGGTTGATGCAGAAGGAAAGCTCAGATTCTGAGGGATTGACATTCAAGTAAGTAAGAGTTTCTGAGCATTTGTTATCTATTAGACAAAGATTTTAAGAGAGAATTAGAGAAAAGACCAGTTTGAATGAATAAGTTGAATTGGATATCTTCAGATAAACATCATTAAGCCCTAAAAGCATCCTTGAATTGGGGATTTTAGTTCTCAGATATTGTTTTTTGTGAAATTGATGCAGAGACATAGCTGTAATTGCCAAGAGCCTGGAGATGGAAATCATTTCCGAGTGCCAATATAAGAACAACGTTGCTGAGGGTAGATCAAGATTGCAAGATCCAGCCAAGAGGAAAGTTGACAGTGATACATTATTATCTTCAAGCATCAATAGTTCTAAACAGAGTCTCGGCAGCAATAAACGAATGAGGAGATCTCAAAGATTCATGAAGGGAACGGAGAATGAGGGAGAAGAAAATCTAGGCAATTCTAAAAAACAAGGGAAGTCTCTGGCATCTGGGAGCCCATTCAGAAGATCTCCAAGGCTATCTGGAATTGTTGAAAATGGCCACACAGAAACTTTGAACTCAATAAAAGATTGTAGCCCAGCATTATGTGGTGCGGAACAGGTGAGCGGAACTGAGAAGCTGGTGCAAATTAGTGAGAATGATAACTGTTGTGAGGCTATAAAGAAATGTGAAGGTGAAGGCCTAGTTTCATCCAAGCAAGAGCTATTAGTTTTTTCTTCGGGTTGCTTCAAGAAAACTCTAAATGGTTGTAGGGACAGAACGTTAGGAAAACCCAGATCTTCTGACCTAAATGCGGATGATATTCACACTAGCTCTTTGAAAATTAGCAAAAATGTTACTAGTAATGGATTAACTATGACGACCGGGTTAGTGGAGCAAGAAGCAATGGAGTCTATACTTCAGGGTGAGACTAGTGCTTGTGATGCTGCTGATAAGGGAACAACTAGGGAGATGCATGTAAATTCTACTGTGATCTATCTCTCTGACACCGATGAACCCTCTTCTATTGAATATGTGTATATGAAAAGTTCAAATGGAGATAATTTGACACAAGTCGAAAGTGGACGTACCCTCTCCTCTGGGGGGAATGAGGGAATCGTTTCATTAGATCTGAATAGTCCAACGAAATCAACCAAGAGAAAGGGTAAAAGGGTAACCCGGACTGCTGTCCAAGAGCAGAACAAACGTAGTATCTGTTTTTTCATTGGAGAGCCAATTTCTTGCGAGGAGGCTCAAGAAAGATGGCGCTGGAGATATGATCTCAAGGTAGTTGATTAATTGCTTTGCACTTGACTGCTTTAGCTTAAAAACTGTTTCCGGAAGTTACAAAGCTAATTTGAGCAATAGAGATTGCATAGTCTAGTATATGTTTGTAATCCAACATAAAACGACCTCATATCTTTCTTTTCTCTTTCAAAATATCCGCTTCATTTCTGATTATGAATTTCATTAATTTTCAGGAACGCAAATCTAAGAGTAGAGGCCAACAATCAGAGTAAGTACTGGATGTTTTATCAACTCACTGTTTTTCCTACAATATTCTCTTCCTTCATATATAGTTTGTTCTACTATATATTCATTATCCTGAGTGATGTTTTTGAAGGGATGACGAAGACAAGATTGTTGCAAATGTGGAATGCCATTATTTGCAAGCAAAAGTCGACGGTCACACCTTTAGCCTTGGAGACTTTGCCTGCATAAAGGTAAACCATGCTTATCATGAATATGGTATTTTTTAGCTCAGTATCCTTGGGCTCCTTTTCACTTTTTCATTGGACCAAACAACATTTTCATTCAAGAGCCTTGGATTTTCTAGAATGTAATGCGTTTGTGAAAAGAAAATATTTAGCTAATTATTGGTACAGGGTGAAGAAGAAGAGACCCATGTTGGCAAGATACTAGAGTTTTTCAAGACAACAGATGAAGAAAGCTACTTCCGAGTTCAGTGGTTTTACAGAGCAACGGATACAGTGTGTATACAAGTTCTTCTCTTTCGTTTATTTAATTCTTTGCGCTGCAACAACTAGTTACTCATTTGTCTAATGTTTGTAGGTGATGAAACAGCAGGCTACTAATCATGACAAAAGGCGTCTCTTCTATTCTACCGTAATGAATGACAATCCAGTAGATTGTCTTATTTCTAAAGTTACTGTTTTACAAGTTTCACCTAGGGTATGCTGAGTCAAGCTCATTCTCTTTCTCTCTCCCTCTGTCTCTTTTTTTTTTTTTCGTTTACAATCTTAACCAGATTTGATCAATTTGTTACACTCTGCATTTTAATTTTTTAGTTTCATGACTTTGCAGGCCGGATTGAAGCCCAATTCTATAAAATCTGACTACTATTTTGATATGGAGTATTGCGTGGAGTATTCAACATTTCAAACCTTGAAAAATCGTGAGTGCTCATGTAATATGTACATATCAGCTTATGAGTTATCGATTGAAAACGGATATAGCTGTTTTCTCTTTATTTCTTTAAGCAAAAGTGCAAAACAGATGCCACTGTTTATGAGCAGTTCTACACAGTCTTTATATAAGATTCTTGGTACAGAAGCTTGAACATTCCTTTTTCTTCTTTTTTTGGTCTCAGCTAAATCGTCCGAAAACAAGCTTGAGTGTTGCGCCGATGTGGTACCTACAGAATCCACTGAGTCTATTTTGAAAAAGAAAACTTTTAGCAGAGAGCTTCCTGTGCTTGATCTTTACAGTGGTTGTGGTGGAATGTCAACTGGGTTAAGTCTTGGAGCCAAAATATCTGGTGTTGATGTCGTGACGGTACTTGCTTTAAGTAATTAATCTTTATCTCTTTTAACTTAGGATGGAAAGCTCTTTTTGCACTCAGTTTCATTTAATATCTGGATTCCTTTTTCTTTTTCTCTTTCAGAAATGGGCTGTTGACCAGAATATGGCTGCCTGTGAGAGCTTGAAATTGAACCATCCAAATACACAGGTCATAATACTTTCGGCGACAACTGCTAGATCATTTTTGGAGAATTATACCAAATATAATGATGCTGCCGTTGTTTACAGGTTAGGAATGATGCTGCTGGAGACTTCCTTCAACTTTTGAAGGAGTGGGATAAATTATGCAAGCGCTATGTGTTTAATAATGATCAGAGAACTGATACATTAAGATCCGTAAATTCTATAAAAGAAACCAGTGAAAGTAGCTCTTCTAGAGACGATGATTCAGATTCTGAGGAGTACGAAGTGGAAAAGCTGGTTGATATATGCTTTGGTGATCCTGACAAGACAGGAAAAAATGGCCTGAAGTTTAAGGTATGCCCTGTCGATGTTGTTGATCGAACCTTGCTTCTTAGGGTTTTAAGAGTGTTCTTTTCAACTTTTAGAACTTCCAAGACAGATATTCTGCAATTCTTTGCTAGCTTTATGACATTATAGTTTTCTGAAGATGAATTATACCCATAACTTTTTCATTAGGTGCACTGGAAAGGATACAGAAGCGACGAGGATACATGGGAACTAGCAGAGGAATTGAGGTATATGCTTCAAAACAATGTTAAAAAGGGGTTCTGTTGTTATCTGGATCTAATTAATTTTGTTTTAAATTTTAGTAACTGTCAAGATGCCATTCGGGAGTTTGTAACTAGTGGATTTAAGTCCAAGATCTTGCCACTTCCTGTAAGAACTTGCTTCTGAATTGAATTCTTGATCTTTGAAAGTCGTATGATTGTACCATCAACATCTATTTGCCATCAACTTCTATTTGGACTGAAAATCAGAAATCTTGTAAATGATTGTAACCAGGGTCGTGTTGGTGTGATATGTGGGGGACCTCCATGCCAAGGAATTAGTGGCTATAACCGCTATAGGAATGTTGATTCTCCGTTGAATGATGAAAGGAATCAGCAAATTATAGTTTTCATGGACATAGTGGAGTATCTGAAACCCTCGTATGTGTTGATGGAAAATGTTGTTGATATTCTGCGTTTGGACAAAGGTTCTCTTGGGCGATACGCTTTGAGCCGTCTTGTGAACATGAGATACCAAGCAAGGTTAGGTATCATGACAGCTGGTTGCTATGGTCTTTCCCAATTTCGATCCAGAGTTTTCATGTGGGGAGCTGTTCCAAACAAGGTGAAGTTATAGGCCTATTAACTTCCTCGAGCTGACTGTTTCATACTTACATTATTTGGTATTTCATTTCAGAACCTACCTCCGTTTCCGCTTCCAACCCATGATGTTATTGTCAGATATGGGCTTCCACTTGAGTTCGAGGTAATAAAATTGTAAATTGGTACTTACCTTATACTCCTTTCCTTAAGCCTGTCGTTCTTCCAACGTAACCCATCTTGGCTTTCATGTTTCAGCGGAATGTAGTTGCTTATGTTGAAGGCCAACCCAGGAAACTTGAGAAAGCTCTTGTTCTAAAAGATGCGATATCAGATCTTCCTCATGTATGTTTCATTCCCACTAGATCCATATGCAATTCAGGGTTAAATAAATATAAATTTAGAAATTCTTTTCTTTTGACATCTCTAGGTATCAAACGACGAAGATCGGGAGAAATTGCCTTATGAAAGTCCCCCCGAGACAGATTTTCAGAGATACATTAGATCAACCAAACGCGGTAAGTTGGATCTGGATTTCTGTAGTTACGGTCTCTTTCACAACATTTGTCTGATAAGCCATGACCACTTACTTGCATATTACATATGTTACTCATGCGTTAGTGTTTTGCTTTGTCAGATTTGACAGGCTCTGCAACTGATAACTCTAACAAAAGGAAAATGCTACTGCATGATCACAGGCCGTTCCATATAAATGAAGATGATTATGCCCGAGTTTGCCAAATCCCAAAGAGAAAGGTACACATTTCTTTATACTAATAAACAATCCAGATCCTCTAGCCGAAAGATTCTCATGTAGAGAGAAGTGTTTGCAGGGAGCTAATTTCAGGGATCTTCCAGGGTTAATCGTCAGAAACAATACAGTCTGTCGTGACCCATCAATGGAACCGGTTATTCTGCCATCAGGAAAGCCTTTGGTAAAGAATCCTTTTATATGAACTTAGCCATACAAAATTACATGAGTTATTGATGAAAATACACATTATTAGTGCTGAAATTCTGAAGCTAATGTCATTCTACTTGTTAAGTCTCCTGATTCAACAGTTCTCATAATTTCAAAAATGAAGAATATATGTGTACTGAATCAGCTCACTTGTGGCCCTCTTTAGGTACCAGGATACGTCTTTAATTTTCAGCAAGGGAAATCTAAAAGGTATACTCTTACACTACTCCACCTGAAACTATTTGTTGAAACTTTCATGTTCTTAAGTCTCGCTGGATTTATAAAATTCGCAGACCGTTTGCCCGTCTTTGGTGGGACGAAACAGTTCCAACTGTTCTAACAGTCCCAAACTGCCACAGTCAGGTACCCTCAAAGCCATTCCAGGTTTTAACATGAATCCATCTTTTATATTCCTAAACATTCTCTAAGAGGTTTGGTATTTGCAGGCGTTATTGCATCCCGAGCAAGATCGAATGCTAACCATAAGAGAATCTGCACGGCTTCAAGGTTTCCCTGATTACTTCCAGTTTTGTGGAACCATTAAAGAAAGGTACTTGCTTTGTGTTATTTTGGACAAAAACCTAAAAACCAGAGAAAATAGTTTCAGATTACTAAGCAAATGCAAATCTCATTCACTTCATTTCAATATATACAGGTATTGTCAGATTGGAAATGCAGTGGCAGTCTCGGTTTCTCGTGCTTTAGGGTATTCTCTTGGTATGGCATTTCGTGGTCTAGGCAGCGACGAGCATCTGATAAAACTTCCCCAAAACTTTTCCCATTCAACTTACCCTCAGCTTGGACAAGTGTATAATTAGTTCTTCTCAATTTAAACGCCGACATGACCTCAAAATGATCAAATTTTGTTCATTAGATATTCCTTTTATGTCAGTGAATTGTGGTGACTGGATAGATTATTTTGATTTGTTCGCATTGGTTAACATTGCACTGCACCTGGTATAACAAACCGATTTTTGGGGTTTGGGTCCGACGGTCCGTCTCCGTCCCTCTATAAATGAATAAAATTTTAAAACCCTCTCTCCCTATTTTTAAGGGTTTTAGGGATTTTAGCATCGTCGTTCAATGGCTACCAGATTCCTCATTTCACGACCTGTAACAGTATATTCCTCTCGGTTTATGCTCTCTAATCGTCTCTCTAGTTTCCTCGATAGCTTCACTTCCCGAGAATCAAATTCCTCCAAGCCTTTCCTCAAATCGTTTTCCTCAGTACCGAGCTCAGGGATTGAGCAAGATGTCGCAGCTTCTCTTAACCAAGATACTCGCATTCCCGCTACAGTTATCACAGGATTCCTCGGTTCTGGAAAGGTATGGGATCGAATTCGTGTTTAAAATCGCGAAATTTGTTCTCCTCCAGCGATTTCTGATAAATTTGTTCGTATGTATCTGCAGACAACTCTGTTAAATCATATTTTGACTTCAAATCATGGGAAGCGTATAGCAGTCATAGAAAATGAGGTGTGAAATTCAATTTCTTTCTCCACTACTGTGTTTTAGCTTTATGTTGTTGATGAAATGATTAACATTCATATTTGGTGGATATAATAACTACAGTTTGGGGAAGTTGATATCGATGGATCTCTGGTTGCGAGCCACTCTTCTTCCTCTGATGATATAATCATGGTGAACAATGGTTGCTTATGCTGTACTGTTCGTGGCGATTTAGTCAAAATGCTTCTTGACTTGGTTAAGAATAAAAGAGACAAATTTGACCATATTGTCATCGAAACTACAGGTATCTATCTATCTATCTGAAGTTGGCATTGTTAATTTTGTTGTTTGTTAGTGAGATTGTGTTTTCTTTTGTGACGCTTACCAGGGCTTGCGAAACCTGGTCCCGTTATTGAAACGTTCTGTAGTGATGAATTGTTACCGAGATATATCAAATTAGATGGTGTTGTTACACTTGTTGACTCTAAACACGCGATGCGGCATTTGAATGAAGTGAAACCGAGATTTGTTGTCAACGAGGCAGTTGAACAAATTGCTTATGCAGATCGTATAGTTTTGAATAAGGTTTGTTGTCGTCTACCTTTTAAGCTTCCAGTTTGTGATGTATTTCTTCTCTATCATAATCCATTTGAGCTGTTAATTTATGAGGAAGTGTTCCTCCAACAATATGACATCCACGATTATGAGGAATCAACTTGTAGGTCGTTAACTACTTTCTCATATTTTCTGGCAGATTGATTTGGTATCCAAGCCGTCCAAGTTGGAGCACTTAACTAAAAGAATCAAGGTAAGAGACTTCTTAGCTCATGAGCTTACTTTTCCCTAGTGGATGAAGATGTATTTAAAATTGACACTTCTTCTTTAATCTTTAATTGGTTTTAAAATCATTAGCAAATTAACTGTATGGCACCCATCAAACACACCAAATTCGGAGATGTTGATATGGATTTTGTCTTAGGGGTTGGAGGTTACGATCTTGAGAGGTAGCTTCTGCTCTGTCTTTTGTCTCTGTTTATATTCTCTTTCCTTCTTTTGGTGTCCTGAAACACACATATCTTTTCAGAATTGATTCAGAAGTCAATGGAGATGGCTTGAGTTGTGCAGAGGATCATGATCATCATCACCATCAATGCAGTCATGGTAATCAATCTTTAAATAGAAACGGGTTTCATAACCTATCTAATTTCAAAGTTAAATCATTCCACGAGCATCTTCTGTTTTCGCATTTGTCATTATAGATGGGTGATAAACTAATACTAATACAGGAAAGCACAAAGAACATCAACATGATCATGTTCATGACTCTGCTGTCACAAGTGTTAGCATAGTTTCAGAAGGAAAACTTGATCTTGATGAGGTAAAAAGCTACTTTTCTCCATCTTTACTTTAGCTGATTATTGATTCCAACGACCATGGACTTGTAGGTTGACGATTGGTTAGAAAGATTAATCGAAGAAAAAGGCGATGATTTATACAGAATGAAAGGTGTTCTCTCGATCGATAGCTCTGATCAACGGTACATTTTTCAGGTCTCGAAAATACTTCTTCAACCGTTACTTACACCATTAATCTTTAACACAGTTTATTAAAAATATGTGAATTGACAATGGAGACTTGGGAATCCATTGCAGGGAGTCCATTCGATGTTAGACGGATGTCCAGGAAAATCATGGGGACCCGGAGAGAAGCGGATAAACAAACTTGTGTTTATTGGAAGAAACTTAGATGAGACCATTCTAAAGAAAGGCTTCAAAGGTTATCTAATATAAAAGGTAAGAACTCGGAAACAGGCCGGTCATGTTTGTGTGTGTATATTTGGGTCTTGTAAGAAAGGAGTGATGTTGCATGAGAAAAATATGACGTGAATGATTTGGGATGTGTGCCATTAGTTAGAGATTGGTGATGTGGTGGATAATGTTAATTTGGATCTTTCAGGTCAAAAGCTAACATGTGCCCGGCTTTTAAGTTCCATGGACAAAAGTATTATTGCCCCACTAGGCAAATGATTGTGACGCCGGATTTTGTGCTTCCTTTGACAAGTTCCACATTCTACTTTCAACAATTTTGCTTTAAGCTCAAAACTTTGATCTTTCCAGAATTGAATTTTATTATTTAAAAATATACGATACAGTTACACATTAATAGCAAGATAGAGAATCTTGGCATTAAAATGAAAGAGATAAACGTAGCAATTAATACAAGCCATATACGTAAAGGTGTGGTGAAAGTTGTTACATTCATTTGAAAATACTCCATCACTTCTTTAATATACCCCATGTTTTCTTTTCTCTTATCAAGAGCTACCGATTCGCACGGTCTTTAAAAACGAACCACTTTTAGTTATTTCTCGCAATGGTTTATCGGTATATCTAACCGTGTTATAAACCCATGCACCCGCAATGGCACCAAGAGTTGGAGCAACTATGTAGATCCAAATTCCTTTGTAGCAACCGTACACCATTGCAGGTCCTAAACTTCTTCCTGGATTCATCGACGCACTCGATACCGGTCTGATAAAAATGATAAACATAACCATATATCATTTTTTGAAATTTTAGTCTAAAATGAAAAGTATATGCACAATAATAGAATAACTTACGCAGCAATTAGCACGTTAAGTAGCACTGTTGATCCTATTGCTAATCCAGCAAGTTCTCCGATCTGAATTTTGTAGCATTTGGTCACAATGTTAAGTTTCTCGTAAATTCAAAGACCAAAGAAAACAAATGTAATTTCTGAGAGGGAGCAGTAATTAATAACACTAGTTAATAGAATAACGATTAAACCCCATAAAAAGACTTTGGTCACGAAAAATATATTGATATTTTAGGTCCCTAGTAGTCAAAATTGGAAATCAAAGAGTAAACTATAAAGCAGAGTATAATTTTCATGCAACATAAGAAGATATGAAATACTAACCGCTCTATTATCGGTAGCAACGCCAGAAATGATGAACATTAGATAGAAAGTGACGATAAACTCCATCACAAACGCCTGCAGATCCGATCCCACCGGTGATGATCCGATAAACACATCATGTTTCCCGCTACAAACGTCGTGATCAAGCCCGAACAACAACCGTAAAGTCGCAGCCGCGAGCGTTGATCCGATCACTTGTGATATCACATATGCCGGAACCTAAAAAATATCAAAGAGAAATATAAAATAAATTTATTCACCAGTTCACATTAATTAGGGACCCAATCTTGGAAGATTGAGACGTTTACATAACAAAATATGGACGTGGAAAAACTATATGCATACAATAGTTACTTTTAAAGAAGTTTAATTTGGATAAAAAGTAGATTTATATATCCTTAGGTATCTTCACTCATCTATAGTAAACGTCGCATTAATAACGCTACGTAGTATTTTAATAACCTAAAGTCTCGTGCAATACAACCAAACGATAGCTAAACTAGACCTATCAAACACAAAACACTAATGTTATTTAGTTTGTTCATGAAACTCAAAAACACACATAAAATACAAAACTTTATAGGCTATACGTAATTGTGTATGTGTAGGACCTGTTTGAGAGGAAAACGGCCGCACGAGGCGAAGGCGATTGTAACGGCCGGATTGATATGAGCACCGGAAATGTGACCAAGAGAGTAAATAAGGACCATGATGGTGAGTCCCCAAACGATGGCAATCCCTGGAAGAGTCACGACATTGTCGTTTTGCATGTTTACAACCACCGATGCACAACCGGTGAATACCAAAAAGTAGGTTCCAAGAAACTCCGCGATCAACTGAAAACAGAGCGTTAATAAAAAACCGAAGTAACGAATTAATCGGAAGTTGGAAACAGAGTCTTTTTAAAACCTTTTGTAAGAAAGGGACAGAGACTGAGAGCAGGGAGTCTTGTTTCTTCAAGGGTGTAGGGTTATCAAAAGCTTCTATTTGTTGTTGATGTTCGACTTCTTCCTTGAGATTCACCATTACTACTTCTTCTCTGGCGTTGCCATAGCCGTTTCCCGAGATATCTGCCATAACTGACTTTTCTCTTTTTAGAAACAAAGAAGAGGAAAAGGATTAAACTTTAAACGACTGTTATGACTTGTGAGAGTGAGAAGTTTGGTGGCGAATATCTCCTATTTATTGGCAAACCGGGGAGAGAGAGAGAGAGACTGGACTTCTTTGACGATTTTAGAATTACCATTTTTATTAATTAAAAAAATGAAGAATTATGATTTGTTTTATTTTCACAAAAAAATGAAGAATTGTCTGTTTTGATCTCGCGTGTTGTGAAGAGAACATATCAATTTTTTGGATGTTATACATGTACAACCATAAACCATCAACCGTAAATTCATGTGTTGCATACTTGCAGGGAGAGCTACGTATTGTTTTTTTTTAACTTTTAGTTTATATTTTTAAAATATTATTTTATAATCGTATATTTTATTTGTCATATGTTACATCGAGATATTTGGCTTATCATATGCATGATATAAATTAATTGAATTTAACTATATGCAACATATGTGATTATGATGATCAAGTTCATGGAATAATGATTCCACAAAACAGTTCTCTTTGCAATAATCAGATCCACGACAAACAGATATAAATGCAGCATTATGGACTCAATAAATTTTTGGATCGAAAACTCTAGATAACCTAATTGTTTTTGAACATATCATATCGAATTTTGGATTTCGGATTTTCAGTCCACCCTTACACCCAAATTTGTTCGTATCATATAAACCAAAAAAATAATGTCATGCAAACTATAGAATAAACTATATCATTTATGAGAAGTTGAAAAATGTCACTTGATGGAATTGATGAAGGCGTCTTTAAGTCTTCAACTACCAACCGGGTAATATGGACATACTTTATTTAGCTCATAGTTGTGCATGTGTGTATATACACAACATTATAAAAATTACTATAAGATTTTAAGATATTTATATCTTGATCATGCCAACGTACGTAAACTTTAGTCTATTGTTTGGATCCGATCATATCAACCTCAGGTTTGAATCCATCCTAACATGTAACTAATTATATATTATGATCAGGATAGTTTATTTTCGACAATACTCAAAATGTCATCGCTAGTTTAAGTTAAGTTCGAATCCTCTTTAATGGATGTTAAAATGTGGGGTTGTGGCCACGTACGGGCCACCACCACCAGAGACAAAATGAAGTTTCTTTATAATTTACGATTTGAATTTTCAGTAAATTGGCAATGTTAATTCCACATGTAAAACACGTATGCTGGTGAATGGTGTGATAAGAATCTTAAAGACTTTCAGTTACTTATTTGATCCAAATGTTTATGATATATGTCATAAAAAAAAAAGGAGAATTGAAAATTTGTATTGAATGTGAGAACATATATAAAAAAAGGAAGGTATATATATATATAAAGAATCATTCAGAAAGAAAAAAACATAGATGTAAGGAAAAACTACAAAATGTACCACATTTTGCCAGTTTCTTTCAAAATGTACAACATTCTTCTACATCTTTCAACTCATACCACATTTTGTAGTGGAAAGACAATTTTGCCCTCACAGTTGATGGCAGTTTTCCTGCCTACGCCTGGCAACGAGTTGACATTCGCACCTTTTCGTTTCCCTATTAATCTCTCATTTCTCGAGACCTGTGCACAATTAAACCCCACAAACTTCTCTCCCCTGCGAGAAGTGGAACCGATTTCGTCTCTCTCTCACTTTCCCTTTCTCTTTCTTCTCCTTCTGCTCTCATCGGAAGTTAGAACTGGTAAACCATTTTCGACAGAATCTTTGAATGTAAGTTACACACGATTTTTTCCCCCATATCTGATTAATCCCAAGTTTGTTTGTAGGCATCTAATTATTGGTTCGTCCTCACTTAATTTGATGTAATCGTTTCGTCCCCAATTTCTAGGGTTTCTGTCCATTTTTTGCATGCTCCTTTTTTACTGTTCGATTTTGTTCGTTTTTCTTAATTTTTCCTCTGTTTTCTCTCGTCCGCCGCAGATGAAGTCCTCCTCGTGTAAATCGAAACAAAAGTCTCCGCTTGGCAGTTCCAGGCGCACGGTTTCCTTTGAAGACGACGATGACCCTTTTGTCTCCGCCAAGTCAACCGCGACCCACTCAAATTCTCCATATCAGCCGCGACCGGAGATCCCGGTAGTAAACAGGGGCAAACTTCCGAAAAGGCTCTACGCCACTGACTGCTATCCGCCTCTCGGACGTATTAATGCTTATTCAAAGCCGGAGTATCTGCTCGATCTCGTCAAAATCCTAGAAGGGACGAAAGAGTTAAATTATCTCCGCGCCTCATGCTTTGGTCCGCTGTTTCAGCTTCCTGTCCGCAAATGTTCGTTTTCCGGCAAATTAGTGCATCAGATGTTGTGTAGAGGCGTCTACACAAGGAAAAAACACGAGCTTTGGTTTATTTTTGCCGGTCAGCCATTCCGTTTTTCGTTAAGAGAATTTGCCATTCTCACTGGTCTGGATTGTCGGCCGTATTCTTCACCGGCAGATGTATTGAAGTCGCAGAGAGAATGTACCAAAAAACATCCGTACTGGAATATTCTCATAGGCGAGGACCACCCGGGTGTCCTCATCAAGGACATTGTTGACTGGCTGAGGAAAGACAAGATGAAGCCCAAGAAAGAGAAGATGGATGACTGGAGAAGGCTTCGTCTCGCTCTTATCGTGATCGTTGAAGGGGTATTGCTTTGCAGTTCCCAACCTGTGAGAGCTTCTCTTCAAGTTGTCGAAATGGTTCAGCATTTGGAGTCGTTTGAAGCGTTTCCATGGGGACGAGAATCATTCCTTCTGACAATGCGAATGGTTAAGGTCAGTCAGAAGGTTAACAGTCTATCTGTCCTAATTGCGAAGTTCAACCAGTCTCACTCTTCAACCCATGGGTTCCCTCTTGTCTTCCAACTGCTGATGTTAAAGGCCATCCCAGTTTTAGAGAGATACCTTCTTCAACCTGATGATACGCAGACTATCATTGATGGGTCAATCACTAGTTTGCCTCCGTTGAAGACTTTTCACAATTCCAACATAATGAAAACAGAGCTAATTCCTGGGGTAATTATTATTTTTGTCATTCTCGTGAACATTATTTTTTTTTTTTCCCTAGTACCCAAGTGTTTACTAATTAATTATTGAATTCAATGTAGTTAAGTATTGCCCCGCTGTTGTCTAATGATGATCCCCCACAACCATCGATCAACTATTGGCCTGATGAAGTCTCTGACCTGGCGCTTGACTATATGGAAAGCCTTATTGGTGGCGGATACAAGTTCTGCCAAGCTGACTGGATTGGTGGGTGTCGCACCTGGCCAAAGATAGTCGTTGATGAGAACCCCAAAGAACCCAATGTTCGCAAGACCAAGAAGGTACCTGTGAGGCGTCCAAACAGAAACTCTGACATGCCAAAGTTTCCCCAGGCTGGTCCATCTGGTTCATCAAAAGGTAAAGGGAAGGTCGATGACGACTTCTGTCCCCCAGCAGCGACTGAAGGTAAAGATGTTCTCCATGCTCTGATCATGGAAGAAGTTAATGCGAAGTTCCGGAACGTGAAGGAGGAATTGAAGGTTGAATTGATGGGTGAAGTTTGTCGGATGTATGGAGTAGAGAAGTCTTTATTGAAAGACGAACTTTTAGACGAGATTATTAGCAATCTGCGCCATGGTGGGAAGTTTCCAACAACCCCCCCCCCCCTCCGAAAGCTGCTTCACCAGGTAAAAACAAGCCATCCGAGGGACAGACGTATGGTCCCCCAACTAAGGAGTCCGGGGGACACACAGATGTCCCATCAACCAACCCTGATTCTGAGGGACAAACGTATGGTCTCTCAGAAAATCTAAATATCAACAAGGAGTCCGGGGGACACACATCTGTCCCATCAACAAACGCTGATTCACCATGTCAGAGCAAGGTCCCCAGTGGACAGACCTCTGATTCCCCCCATGTCCAGATAGACCCTCCCGTCCCAAGTAATTCTCAACTTTTGGAGGAATTTCAGCGGCAAGCCTGGTCTGAGTACGGAGGAGTGTCTGATGTTTTAAAAAACCTCAACCAGTCTTATGCATCTCCCTCTGGTCCTGCTCAGTCTGGTCCGTTTGGACCTTCTTCTGGTCTATTTAATTCTGGTCCTTCTTCTGGTCTATTTGCTTCTGGTCCTTCTTCTGCTGATCCACATGCTTCTGGTCCTTCTTCCTCGAAGTTATCTATTGATCACAACGTAAGTTTCCATGTTTTGACGTTGATTACTTATCCTGAAACTTTATTTCTTGCTGAATAACCTCTCTGTTTCTTACATATCATTCAGCCAAAAGACTTCCAAACTCCATTGCCAACCATTAGTGAGGACAACGCAGAGGAATCCGAGGACGAAGAAGTTGCAGATGAGGTTTGTATATTCCTATTTTTTTCCCCCACTCTTTCTGGAAATGGTTCCTAATCAATTTTAAACAGGTCCTGGTTGGAAAGTCTGGTAAAGAGAATTTTCCAGAAGATCACAACGTAAGTTTAACTCAAGTCATTGTTTGTTTTCTTATGTGGTGGAGTTTTTTGTTCTTCCAATCCTTCTTTACTTTTAATTCTCTTTACTTTTAGCCCAACGACTTCCAAACGCCTAATCAAGATGTAGAGGAGATCAGTTCGCCTGATGAATCAGAGGACGATGAAGATACAGATCAGGTTTGTCTCTGTTTCAACGTGGATACTTGTGTCTTTCCATGGATATGATCCTCTCTTCTAATCAACTATAAATAGGTTGCTGGTGGAAATTCTGTTGGTGTGACTGAGGACGTGGAATTTGTTGGTGAGGATAGAAAGGCAGCTGTAGAGGCTAAGTCTGTTGGTGTGTCTGAGCACGTTGATGTTGTTGAGTGCGAGGACAGAAGAGAAGCAGTAATTGGAAAGTCTGTTGGTGTCCCCGGGGACGATGTTGAGACTGAGGTTGTAGAGAATAAGTCTGTTTCTGGGGACCATGAACCCAAAGAGGGTGACGAGAGTAGTGGTGAGAGTGAAGGAAGGTCTGAAGACGAGGATCACCAAGATGAAGCCATGGACGAGGTATAATACTTATTTCTGTAATAACTAAAACTCAAGTTCTAATATCTTGTCCCTAACCTGTCGTGCCCATTCATTTAGGCAAACAAAGAATGGCCGCCAGAGCTTTTTCAATCCTCAAGAGGGGCTGATGAACAACTGGTTGACGATCAAGAGGTATATCATAATTTTTCAGCATTTTACTTGTGGTTCTGTGGTGGACCTTTCCCTAAAATACCTTTTTTTCTAGGGAAATGCTTCTGGTGGTATGGCAATTTCAGAAAAAAGTCCCTCTGGGAAAAAGAGAAAATCTTCTTCTCTTGGCGACTGTGGTGACGGGGATTCTTCTAAGCCGATCCTTCCTCCCAAAAGGGCAAGGAATAAACCCCACCGTTTCCGTGATCCTATTCCTGTCCAGGGACAAGAATCCACAGGGACCAACAGTATTTCCCAATCAACTGATGATGTTTTGCACCCGTTTGTCCCTGTAAATGATGATCTTTGGAAACATTTCTTGTCCACTCTCAAATCTTATCGCCAGAGGTAATTCAGTTTCTTGTTGAATTCATTACTTAATTCTTTTTCCCCTACCTTTCCATTCTCTTTAAATTACTATTTTCCATTAAATGGTCAGGGAGTTCGTCCTCGATGCACATGTTGTCCCCAAATCCTTTTTTAAGGATATGCTTACTCCTCAGCATTCTGTCCACCAAGAGGTGCGTTGTTAACCAATGATATCTGCATTTTATAATATCATGTCCCTTAAGATTAATTATTGTTCTCTATACAATCCAGCACATCGATGCCATGCTAAGCCTGTTGGCGCGGAGGTTTGGGGATACTTTGGTCCAGAGTAGGTCTGCCATACTTGATTCATGGTTTTCGCTTACCCTTTGCGACCTCTATTCTCGTTTCAAGAAGTCCAAAAATAAATCTGAGTTTCCGTGGAACAGTAAGATACGGGACTACGTTAGGGGTATAGTCCCTGGCCGATTCACGAGACAGGCTTGGTTCTCTGATGTCGACACTCTGTACGCGCCTTTACATCTGTCTGGGGGCCACTGGGCTGCGCTTGTCATATATCTGAAAGAGGGTTCCATAGGTGTTCTTGACCCTAACGTGGCTGCCCAAACCGACAAACAGATGGGCGTGCTCATGAAACCTCTCGTTGTGTTGCTTCCTTTTATCATCAAATCACTCGTCCCCCAAGATGTTCTCCGCAATCATCAAGTCCCCCGTGAGTTCGCCTTTGATCGTCTCCCCGAAATCTTTCAAAGCGAACATGAAGACGACAGTGGCCCGCTTGCTGTGAAGTACATTGAGCTTCATTTCCAAAACATTAGCCACGACAGCATAACTGAAGAAGTCGTGGAGAATATCAGGATGAGATTTGTTGTCGACATTTTCGAGGAGTTTGTTCAGCCTCTCCGTCTGTGATGCCCCTTTCAATATTTCTGCTTAAGAACTTATGTCTTTTTGTAATAATTATTTACTCTACTTTGTTTTCTTCTTGGATGCTACTTGGATGCTACTTGGATGTTTAGGTTACTTTATATATCTCTCCTATTTATATAAGTCTTATTCTTCCTTTTTAATGTTAAGCCTAAGTAGATTTATACATTTCGTTGTCCTCCGCCAACAGAAGCTCCTGTCCCCCACGGCATTTTATATTATGTTGTCCCCGTCGCAAATTTAGGATAGCCAAGTTTTACAAACAAGTCAACGTTTAAATACCCAATAAAAACAGTAAAAGCCAGCTGCTCTCCACTATTCTCTCCCCTAATCCCTTACGCTTCCCCATGATTTTCCTTCTGTGTCATCACATCAGCGAAAAGGTAACTTTTTGCTTAATAAATTTATATTATATTCTTTCAAGATTTTTAGGCATCACACTCTATTTATCTCTCCACCTTAATGTTCTCTTCATCTACACAATTACCCCCCTTTCTCTCAAACTCCCCCCAGCCTACTCCATTATTTTGTACTATCTGCTTGTTTCCTACGGACCATGGGCCTCCATAGTTATAGCCAGCCATCAGATTCATCCCGAGAATCTCTTAGTTCTTATGGACCTGTTTATCCCGGGCCAATGTCCTTTGAAAATCTTGGTATTCCTCGTCACTGTTACTGCGGAGGGACGGTCATACTTGCTAATTTACTATCCGAGGACAACCCTGGCAGGCTGTTTTATCAGTGCGAGAAGAGAGATGTAAGTTTAAATCCCACTTTTACTATATTCAATAATTCAATCTACTATATTTACATTTGCTATCTTTGTATTCAGGACCGCCCTGGGCGCCATCTAGTTAAATGGTTCGACGAAGCATTTATGGACGAGATTTCAGCGGTTAAGTGCTCTATTAGGGAACAGGAAGAACACCTTAAGTTCCTACTTACCGCCCCTAACGGTGAGCACATGGATCTTGCGTTGATGTGCGATCGTCTGGACCTTTACCAGCAAGACATTAAATTGCTTCAGCAGAATTTATGTCTTTTGCAACGCTCCCCTCGTTCCATTGTCGACGTCGCTCGTTCGTGTCCTAAAATCATCGTTCTCGTCCTCGCGGTTATTGTCCCCGTAGCCGCGTTCGTGCTTGGCACTTATATGTAGTAGGTCAGAGCTTTAATAGCTCTTTTGTCATCCTTCGGCTCTTAAGTTTCCTTCTGCTATTATGTTCCTTTTTATATCATGTTGTTTATTGTAACCCGAATTCTACAAGTTATCTATATTTCGTGTCCTCCAAACGTCTTTTCTACAAGTTATCTATATTTTTAAAATATGAAGTATCAAGATATCTCGCCCCAGATCTATTTATTTCTATGCCGACAATCTAAAGTAAATTGTAAAATTCATGTCCCCCAATGCAATTCGAAACTACTAAACAGTTATCCCTTAGAATAGTTAGTGACCTAATAATGAGATAGGAGATAGGTCTTGTCACTTTAATTAGTACTTACTTTTCCACATTCATTGTCCCCAACTACTAATTCAAAACCTTGAACAACAGCATTCATTGTCCCCAACCATTAATTAGTAATCCCATCTATATATTGGTAACTAACTACATTCATTTGTTCCAAACCATTCCTACTTCCAATTCCTTGATATGTTTTTCTGGCAAAAGCTTCCCAAACATCTTAGAGTATCGATTGTCCTTCTTGTTGGTAAGTCATGTTACCGACACTTAGGACCCCTTATTCTCTCTGGGAACGCTGGCATGCGTCTCGCACTTGATCCTTCTGTTTTGCGGGAGACTTCTCTCGCTCTCCTTGAAGCGCATCCTCAAAATGTTTTCATTGGTTCACCCATTCACTTCTTTGTTTTACGATGTGTAAAGGCTGGGAATCCTGCTGCTTGTTACTTAGAGAGCATTAGGCTCGCTGCAGTTGAAGGTTTAATCAAAGAAGCAATGGACATGCTCGATCATATACCCGATCCATCCCACAAAATTCTTTTCACCAGGGGTCTCTACCTTGTCTCTGTTAATAGACCTAAGGATGCCATCATCGCCATGAATCTATTCAAACAAGAAGTTGTCTCTTCTCGCAACGCTGATCGTGTGGCCACGCTTGTCATAACCGATATTAAGAAGATCGCCCCAGCCCAACTTAGATTCAACTGGACTGGCTATACGTGCTACTTGATCCATCCCCCTCGTCGATATTCAAAATGTTCCAACTGTAATTTTTGGAACCCCTGTCCTCTCTGTGTTAATTGGTGGGTCTTATGATTTGTTTGTTTTTACTTTATATGGTCTCCCATCTATTTTTGTTTTCGCAGCCCATTTATATAATAAATATATATAGTTTTTGTACGATTAGTTGTGAGATGTTCTTGCCAAAAGATAACCATACATGTCATACTACATCCTATTACCAAAAGATAAATATATATTAGTTATACTTTCCGTGTTTCCAAATGGATGTTTCGCCATGGACTAAAAAAACTTCCCCCTGGACCAAAATCCGCCGATGTTTTACGCCCTACAACTTATATAGGGTTTTTGCATGTTGCTCTGTTGTGGCCATCCTTCCCACATGTGGTGCATTTGTTTGGTTTTTTTTTCTTCCCTCCTTTGCCCTACAACACATACATGGACACAATTTAATTTTGTTATATTGGGGGACCAAACTCATTTGACACTCTTAATTAGTTACCTGATACTCTCCCCGCGATGGTATGCGTACGGTCCTTGGTCTTCCGCCTGGTCTTCTTGTTTTTGGTGGATTCACAACCACTTCACTAACTACGTTTGGGACCTCCATGTCTTTTTCCTTAGGCGGAGGTAGAATATGGGCACGCCAGAGCTTACGCCACTCCGTCACGAATGCATAGTTCCCGATCAGGGAGTAAATGTCCACGTTCCTTATCCCCACTGCGGCTAAAGCGTGACAACACGGCACCATTAGCACATCAAATACTCTGCAAATACATGTTTTTTTCTCAAGATCCACAGTGAAAACGATACCAAAACCGTCGTTTACTTGATAAATCCATTCACTTGCTGCTATGACAGCACAATCTGTCGCTAATTTCAGGTGATCTATTAACATTTCCTCGATCTCTGGCGTACATCTTGTCCTCGTTTTGGTTGCAGCTTCTCTTCTCTCGCAAAACCAACGCATTAACATAGTCCTTATGAATTCCACCATCGTCACTATCGGGAAATCTATCGCCTTTTGCATTGCAGCATTTAGGGACTCCGAGATATTGCTGCTCATCACATTGTATCGCATGCCCGGGAAGTACGCAAGTGTCCAATGAGAAATTCCTAGATCTACCAAATAATTGGCACAATCGATGTCTCTTTTCTGAATTTCTTCAAACCAATATCGCAAATCTCCCACAGTGTAAGATCTAGCCGCATTGGACACCATTTTAGCAAGCCCCTCACACTTGAAATGGTGGACAACATTCCTAAATAAATGCACTGTGCAGCAAGCATGCTTTGCAAGTGGGTACACTGTCCTTAGTCCAGCATATATGGCCGCATGTCTGTCGGAGACGAAGACAAGATCTTCTTCATCAGGGACAAACTGTAACAGTTGTTTGAAAAACCACGTCCACCCAGCTATGTTCTCACTGTCAATGACTCCGAATGCCAATGGGAATATTTGATAATTTCCATCTTGTCCACTCGCAGCAACTAAACAGCTTTTGTATTTCCCTTTAGTCTGTGTTCCATCTATGACTATTACTTTGCGCAAATACTTATACCCAGCAACTGAAGCCCCAAACGCAAAAAATAAATATTTGAAACGGATTTCCCCCTCCTCAGTATAATCCGTATGGACTGTGGACAGCGTACCTGGATTAGTTGTCCTTAACAGATGGAGATATGTCTGCAAGAACTTATAGCTTTCTTCTTCACTGCCACGAGCTTTTTTCATTGCCATCTCTTTCGCGTTCCAAGCTTTCATGTATGATATGGTAACGTTTAGTTCAGCCAATACTATCTCTGGTAGTTCACAGGCTCTAGGTCCCTTCTTCCCATGCGCATATTTTGCTTTTAGTAACTCGCCTAGAATCGATCGTGTTGCTTTCATCCCGTACTTAGACCGCGATTTCACATCACAACTATGTCTTAGACTCGCTGTGCGAATTTCCACATTATCCGAGTTCTCGTGAAACGTTGCATATACCCTCCAATGACATTTTTGATCATGGCATACTGCAATTACCCGGGTCTTGTCGGAAGCTTTTATTCGGAAATTGAATAGCCTTTTTATAGAGTACACAGTTAATGCCTTATGCAACTCGCCTTTGTTCTGGAATATCCGCCCAATATATATTGAATCGCCAGCTTTCCTAAGATTCATGTTAGCCTTGTCCTGCGCAACTCCAACTGCGTTGTCCCTGAACGGTGCGGCGTCTCTAGACATCACAATATCGTCCCCCACAAGTTCAGTAAACATTGTCTCCCCCAATGTAAGTTGCGACCTTATCTGCCCCATTTCTGCACTTTCTTCTCCAACACTGCATCCCATTATCATCTCCAAATTTCCTTCTCCTTCTCCTTCTCCTTCCTCAAAAGCATTAAAGGTTGAGGTATCTTCTCTTCTTTCCAACGGTGTCACCGTAACGTCCCCCGTTCCTATCGCTGTCTGACTTCGTCCACATTCTGTTATCCCACATTCTGTCCTTCGGAAATTTGTCCCTCCTTGCCTCATTCTGGTCTGCTCCAGTTGGATTGACATGTCTCCACTTTCCTCTCCACCTTCAATAAATGCTGTCGCATCGTCTCTTCCATCCATCTGATTAACCTCAACTTCCACTAGCATTGGCTGGTTTTGTCCCTCTGGTGTACCCAACGCTTCTGTCACCAGTTGGATTGACATTTCTGCACTTTCCACTGCACCATTACAACCCATGTCCGTACTTACCTCCTCAACTTCCACTTGTCCTATCGTTGGCTCGCTTCGTCCCCATCCTTGTGAAGTTGTCCATGATTGCCTCATTCTTCTCTGCCCCAGTTGGATTGACATTTCTCCACATTCCTCTCTACCTTCATTAAATGCTGTGTCATCTTCCCTTCCGTCCATCTGACTAACCTCAACATCGACTAGTATTGGCTGATTTTGTCCCCCTCGTTCATCTTGTCCTCCTAACCTCTCGTCCCCCTCATATTGGTCCTCCGCACTTGTCAATGCTTTCTTCCTCGAATCCTTCCAAGGATCCCAATCCGGCGGGTACTCCCTCTCGATCAACTGCCTCATATTATCAAAATCATAGTCGCCTGAATCTTCTCCCTCACTTAACATGTTGTCTTCTGACTCCGATGCCCATCCTCCACTATCCGTGTCCAATGCTACCACCAGTTCCTCTTCTCGTCCCCGCTTAGCTTTTCCCTTTTCCAGTACAACATCCTTCCTATTAAAAGATTCTTCAAACGCATATATTTCCTCTAAAAAGTCCTCTTCCTCAAAAGTTACAGGAATTATCTGCGTGCTTTCACCATCACCTCTGTCTGGTCGCGCCATATCTTGTCCCCTACTATCGTCTTGTCCCCTACGATCGTCTTGTCCCCTACTATCGTCTTCTACCCAGAGATTTGACATATCTTCATCGTCTTCTTCTAAACATAGATACATGTTCATACCTCCTTTTTCTATCCTTATCTTTTTGAATTTCGACAATGAACTCTCGCTGTCAACAGAGACAGGCGGCATCTTTTGCTGCGTGTAGACAGTGTCTCCTCCTTCGAACCAAAAACTCAGCTCCATTTTTGTCCTTCGCCTGTCTACTCCAAACGCTGTGGCAATTTTCTGCTCAACATCAGCAATCGTATCTCCTGCGCTTACGTCTACACACTTTGCATATTTCTTTGCCGACATCTTGAATCGCCACTCTCCACTTTCTTTGCATTCCCAGCAACCGACCAATATCATTACTCCTTCGTCCATCAGTACCTGTCGTCCTCCAATAAATACCACCATCTTAGAATATGGGTGGTTGCATTTATCACAAACAAACAAACCTACCCTTTTCCGACTGTGGACAAAAATGTAGCAATAAATTTTACCTTCTTTAGCTTTAAATGCAACCTTCTTCAACCAGAACTCCAATTTCGTCCAGCATCAGCGTTTTCTTCCCAGATTTCCAGTTTTTTCAGATCTGCAAAGCTCTTTTGTCTGATATATTAAGAGAGCAATTAATGGCCTAACCCTACTCTATTATCATTTTTATTAATTAAAATCAATTATCTACCAAATGTAACCGTGCAGCATTAATTGCTGCCCTGCTCCTTATTAGGAAGCGCCGGACGAAGCTGTCCGAGTCTCTGACACAGGCTCTGCAACAAGCAAGGGCATTTTGGTCCATCGTCTCGCGCGTCCAATTGAGAAATGGTAGATTTTGAAAGGCTTTTGCGAAAGTGGTAGATCTTGAATGCCACATGTTGAAATGTGGTAGATTTTGCAAGATTCCCTAGATGTAAATGTAGGAGTGTCAAAGTCGATCAAAATTAATAGATCATTGACTTTATTCGACCAATGAAATCTAATGAGTCGAATATTATTTTATTTTATTTTAATAAGTTGATGAAATAAATGAGTCGAATCGTAATGGACTGATGAATTATGGGGGGCTACTCAATGGTTCCACCACGACACTCGGATTCAGTTCATCAATTTTTTTTTTTTTTACATCATCATAATTTTATTATCACCAATTATCATCGATGTTATCATACCCATCATGATATAATCACACACTATCATATTCATCATCATCATCCATATATTATCATACCATCATGATAAAAAAATCATCAACATCATTTCATCAGCATGCAATCATGATCACACTGAAATTTTATGTTAACAACGTAAATCCATAGTTTCTAGCCGAAACTGTGATTATGCTATTTTCTTCTTTTTTTTGGGGTCAAATTTTTGATCTGCTTGTTTTCTTTACCAAAAACACAACTCTGTAATTCACACCTAAAATGCAATTAGACAAATTTTCACCAAAAAAATTGGATATATCCCGCCAAATCTTAGTTTGCAAGTTTTTTAAATAAAAATGTAGTTCTGTAATTTTCTGCAAAAACAATTTCAAAAATTTCCACCAAAACTACAAAGACGTAACATTTTTGTTATGATGTATTTCCGCAATTTCTCGCTAAAATGCGCCGTGATTTGATATTCTTACTTTCAATATATCTGGTTTATGAACCAAAAATAAAAGAAAAGTAAATTTTATGTAGATATCATCTTGATGTAAAATGGTTTATCGATTTATGTACTGATGTTAAAATACATTATCAATTTCACCTGGTTTTAATAGTAATTCCAAAAAAATAAGATGTATCTAAATTTATCTTAGCTATAAATCTTAAGGGATTTCTTAAAATGCAGATACTGTAATTCCATTTTTTTTTTATTTTTTGGTAATCATTGAATGATATAAGATTTTGGTTGTACTGTATGTCAAAATTAGTTCAAAATCAATAAACCACATGTAACTAACTAGATTTTACCCCGCGGTACACCGCGGGTCGATTTTTTTATAACTAAAAAATTATTTAGTAAAATTTTAAGTTGTATTTGTTTTGTTAATATTGTTTATTTTGTTTAGTGTTTCTGATTTTATAATTAAATTTTGATTTTAAATTCTAGGATTTCATCCATAGTATATTGTTTAATATTAATATCGATCCAAACCCGTTGCACCATATAACCCCGTCCCGTAAAATTAAACATCATTTGTTATTTTTTTTTGAATAATATTTTTATCCACTACGGGTCGCAGGTTCATGCGGATAAGCCCGTAGAGAGTTGCGGGTTTATGGGTCGACCCGCCGACCCGCCAAAAGAGAAGCTATCTTTTGAAACCCTTTGTTTTATTTAGAGGTTTTGAGAAAATATCCCTAAAAAATAATTTTCATTATATGAAAAAAAGAAGTAGAAGAAATTGTAGTATCAACATTCCCGATTTTTACATCACTCGTTACTATTAATTTTTTTTTTTCCAGATAAAAATCAGAACTTAACTAAGTCGAGATTTTTAAAAAGATTGAGTAGAGATTTTTGTTAAATTGTTGAGAACATATTTGATTTCCAAATCTTTACTTAAATAGATAAGAAAAGATTTTGTAGAAACTTTTGCTAAATATATGAGAAATGAATTTCATTTAAAAATCTTTACTTAAATAAAACAAATCTAAATAATTAATGCTAATGGCATGCCATTGTAAATACTTCTCAACTTCAGGATTTATTTGCTAATTGTGATCCAAAAATGTATATATAGATAGAAGACAGAAAGGAATTGTTTTTTTTTTTAAACTTCAGAATGCATACTTGAAATATTTTAATAAGTTTGCTTTAAATTTTGAAGGTGCCACGGATCACGGGAAATCTTTTTTATTACTATTAAGTTTGAGTCAAATTTCAATCACATGGATATATTCGTATATATAGTAACTGAATCATTCAAGATAGCTAAATCTCTTTAATTCAAAACTTTTGTACAACTGTATTTCAAAATCATGAATTGGATTGACAATTTGACATGTAATTTTAATTTTTTATTTGGAAATCATTGGTCGAAGAATATGAGATTTTTAGTTATATATATTTCAAAATTAGTTCAAATCATCAATAAACAATATAGCTATTTAATATATAATATATATAATTTTCCCGGTACTTTGGAAATACATTGTAATAAAATCATAGTATATTTTGACATATTATGTTCCCATGAGAAGGGAAGGTTGTTAACTTCATAATGCATATTTGTAATATATTATTAAGTTTGATTTAAATTTGAAGGTGCCATGGATCACGGCATATCATTTTTATTACTATTAAGTTTGATTCAAATTTCAATCACATGTTTAGTAATCATTCTAAAATATGCTAAATATTTTACAACCAGCTTTTTCGACCATGGAAGCAAAATTAATTAGATAAGATTGCACGTCAAGGACAATAGTGTAAAATTGATGTTACGTTTTTTTTCATAACTTGAAATACATAATGCTATACCGTCTAAGATACATTTTGTTTGCTAAATAGAAGAAAATGAACCGCTTTTCTCTAGACTTGAAAATAAAATATTGTTGGGCGTATGAGTGTTTTTCTTTGCTTGAACTTTTTTTTTGTTTTTTGAAATGTTAAATTTGTTGACCAACAAAAAATGTACAAAGTTTTTAGTGAAAATTAAGAGATAAAAAATGTTAGTAGTCTCCCAATCTACTTTTTTTTTTTGGTAAAAAGATGAAATCATAGGTTAATTTATAAAACTTCAAAAAATAAACACTTGAAAGGTTGTCTAATATAAGTAAGAACACGGAATCAGGGTTATGTTTTAATTCTAATTTTTTGCAGATATGACTTCTTAGTTCTTTCCACACAAAAAAAAAAAGAAGACTTCTTAGTTAGTAGTAAAGATGTACTCTAATTAAATCCGTATAAAACCGACTTTATCGATTATGTTATATCAAAACGTACCGGGTTTCTAATTAAAACGCGTTGTGAAAACATAAACGGAGAATGCTAAAATGTCTAGCACACGATAAAGCAACGTTTTATTTGTTCTTATCATAAATATAAATATGATTTGAGGATTTTTATTGGTGAAATACAAATATTAAGAGCGTCAGCAAGTATAATAGCAGATGCAACCGGGGCGATTATCATCGTAGGCTCGAATGCAATCACCCTTGCCATGTCTCTTGAGTGTACATGAAAAGGCACAGTTGTTGGGTACACATTCTCCCCATTTTAGGATCTCATAACAATTTTCCATCTTCCCCAATGATTGGCCCTTTGTCATCCTTATCTCCCCTATTACAGTAATTAATAGTTCAAACATATAAAAATAGTTCAGTTTCTTCCATGAACAACTTTGATAACAGAAATGGTAGTATATGAAACATGAGAATTTTATACCAATTTAGAGAGGCATTAGGGGTACCAAATCATATAATTTCTCAAACATAAATCGTACCCAAAAAAAAACTGGTCCATAAGCAATTCTGTTAGCCGTTAATAGGAAGAAAAAAAATGATTACTTAGTTCCATTTTCTTATATTTCAACAAAGTGTAACTAAAATCAAATAGAACAAAAAGACAAAACATAACTCTATTTAAATACGAATATCTCAAAATACCACAACAAGTTTTCTTTTGTTATTTTCCAAACAGTAATTTGTCAATTACCTCAAATTCTCTAAACATGTTTCTGCATCGATATAGTTTGTATTGTCATCTTTAATTCATAAAATTGACATAAAAGAATTTCACTCGCTATTACTAAACTCTATAATAGAATATAGAATCTCGATATCTAATTATGACTCATAAACAAACTTAATTTTTATTGTAGAAAACTAACATGTTATTAACAACTATTTTATTTTCGATGATTATTATATTTATAGCAAAAAGAAAATATATAATAAATACAAACCTAGAACGAGGATGGTGAAGATGCATAGAACGGTGACAGAGAGTTGCAAGGATTTACTCATGTTGGGTACGTACTCCAAGCGAATTGATGATGTTTTACGAATAAAATAAATGCCGAACAACTTGTACGTATGTATATAAGAAGTTATATTGATACACATTATGATAACTTAGAAAGGCATGATCCTGTATCTAATTTAAGACATTGTCTTAAAACCACCAGATATTTTCCCTTCATTGCAAAGCATTCTTTTCCAATTAAACAAAGAAAAAACTGAAGAAGTTTCGTAAGATAGAAGATTATATATCTGGTTTAGGATAAATAGCAATTTAATAGAAAAAATTAAAAAGAATAAAGAAGAAATATATACATATATTCTTCTAAATATTACTACATTTTTGCTATGCAAATGGAAGCAAGATATTTAGAGGCATAGGTATTTATCGTAAATGGTAGGGCGGAACATTAACATTTTATTTTGTATTTAGTTCCATTGTGCTAACTAAATAGAAGAAAATAAACGCTTTTATCTGTAGTGATGAAAAGAAAACAATCAAACATATATTGTAGGGTGTATATATACGTGGTATTCAAAGATTGAACTAAATTTTTGTTGAAATGTTAAATTTATTGACTTATAAAAAAGAGTTCATGTGTACAAGGTTTTGAAAGAAAAGCGAAGACATGCAATCCAAAATATCCGACCGGTAAGTATGATTATGGTGCCTCTCATTTTGTTCCTCCAAATGTCATAGATGGTTATCTGGAAGGTCAGATGAATTAAGAGATAAGAGAGATGAAATCGCATGTGTTCGTACGTACGTAGTCTCCCAATCTGGTTAGGATCAGACGTTCCCAACAATGTATGTCCAAACCGTTAAACATACTAATTTTGATTCCAATTTCTGCAGATAACCGGGAATCCTGACTTTATTTATTATGTTATGTCATAAGTCATAACATACCAGGTTCCTAAAACGTGTTGTGAAAACATAAATGGAGAATGCTAAAATGTCTAGCACACAATAAAACAAAGTTTCATTAACAGATTATTCTTACCATAACACACACATATATATATACTAGAAAGCTGCCCACGCGATGCGTGGGTTATATATTTAATATTAATTCTGGATAAATATGAAATTTGTATTAAAGTAATACGTTCGATTATTAATATAGTTTTTTGAAAAGAATTTTTTAAAATATTAACTTTTATGTTCCTTTTCGAAGTACTTTTGTGAATTGCTAAAAAATAAATTATGTTCTTTTTTTATTCATAAATATATACCACTACTTTTTCTTCATTTACATAAAATATTTTATTGTGGAAATATATATGGCATACCTCATCGTAGAGTCTCTTGTTTGCTGTTTCATGATCTTTAGATCGGGAAAACGGCGAAAATCAACTCCAACTACTTCTATGCGGTTTTTTTCATCCCAAACTCTGACCCCCGGAACTATCTAACCGTTATCCAATTTCAACTCAGTTTTTTTTTGTATTTGTTAATGTCGATTAGAATTGTTAAGTCGTAATTATATGTTTTTTTGTATCTGAATCATTCCGTTTATTCAATTGGCTAAAGGTTAAATAATTCAGGTTTGTTACATTGTTTAATAACAGGTATATGTTAAAATTGGCTAACGATTACATAGTTCAGGTTTGTTATTTGACATTTATGTGGTTTCGAGTTGATTTAAATAATTTAAATAATTTTTGGTAATGATTAAATTTAATAAAATAGCAAGATGGTCCAAATGAGCAAAAACATATTTTATATACGTTAATCTGGGTTTTTCACATCTCTCTCGCGCTTCCGACTCAGCACAGCTAGTCAAAGCTTTAAAATCGGAGCTTCAACACAAGGAGCTTCATGGGATTCTCTTCGATATCCTGAATTTATCTTCTACCTTTGATGTTATTTCATTTAGTTTCATTCCCCGTTTGCAGAACTCAGATGCCGATTCATTGGCAAAACAGTCTCTGGTTTCTCTTGTAATGGGTCTAGCCCAAACCTAAGTTAAATTGAATCAGCCTTTGCGCAAAAAACAAATATATATGTTACACTTAATTATAATCATATTTAATTTAAGAAAATGACTTCAGATGATATAATAAAAATTTTATTTTTGAAAGTTTATATTTGAAAAATTTAGTTCAGTTTTAATATATATATATATATATATATATATATATATATTCAATTGTTTGAGAACAAAACAAATATGCCATTTTATCAAATTTGTATATATATATATAGGTCATAAGAGTACAAAAATTTAATAAATATAATGTAATGCTGTTTATCTAAATACTTTAATGGCATGTTAGGTTTTAACTGAATTAGTCAATTATGATATTCTATGCAAATGCCCTTAGAAAACATATATCTTTTCAAAAATCCTATGAGGATAGATTAAAAAAAAAACTTTTGGTGGAACTTTTTAAATTTTTTGGTTGAATTTCATTGGGTTAGTTTTATGGAAACTTTGATAAAAATAAATACAAATTTTATATTCTTTCATATGATCTTTATTTCTTACTTAATTTGTATCATAAACTAAAAAAAATTGAATTCAAAACATAATCAAGTCAAATGTTATACAATATTAAAAATAAAAAAACTATTTACTCGAGATATATGAAACTCAAACGTCGATCCCTCTCAAATGTTGAGTAATTATGTAAAAGAAATAAAGAATGGCATAAACAATCTGATTTTTTTTTTTGACTCATGATCCCATGAGTTTTACGTATTCAAGAACAAAATCATCTTGAAACAGCTTTACATATTCATAAATTTGAAAACAGACTCTTAACTTTTTGATAAGTGATGTTGAGAATAATTACATAAATGGTTTTTCAATTTATATCATAAAATTTTTAACAAACTTATGGTTTTCAAATTTATGAATACATATAGATCATAAGAGTAAAAAAATTTAATAAATATAATGTAATGTCATTTATCTAAATACTTAAATTTATAATTACACTTTAACTGACCATAATAATAGATATAAATTTTCTCAATGTATATATAAATCTTATTTGTGAGTTGGAAAAATAGAGAAACAATTAAAATAGAACTTAAAAAAAAATAGAACACTTTTATGTAGAACTAACGGTGTTGGTGAACCTAACTTGAACACCATATGAAATCACAAACCTAACTTGAACACCAAATGAGAAAACATTTGTAGATATTTTTACTATATAGACGATAGCCTGAAATAAAGAGAAAGCAACTAAAAGTGAATAAAAAATAAAAGAACGGACTGGAAAAAGCAAAAACTCTACAATGGTTTTTTTAGCTTCACATGTGGGTAATATATTTAAGTAGACTTAGCGTACATGTTTGTGAATTAATTGGATTTAATGTTTTGAATTAATTAGAGTTATTGTGGTTATCTATTAGCCTAATCACTAATGCATCAATTTAGAATTATTTGACGTTACATATGTTTTAATAAGTTCATTTGTGGGTTTTACTTTGGGTAATATATTTCGGTATTAGAAGCCACATGAGAAGCGTTACTGGAGAAGAAAACTCGTCGCAAACATTTATTTTGAGAGAAGGCGTAACACATGGAGCAATACATTAATATAATGCACGCTACTATATTTCTTCATTAAAATTACATTGACTGTTATATAAGTTAGAATTTCATTCACTGAGACATTTATAAAACAATATATGGGATGACATATTAAATTTAATAATTCCTGTAAATTATATTATACTATATAAATACATTAAATGTATTGTGTAATAAAAATTGTAAATAAATATTCCAACTTGGAGTTGTAACGTGTGAGAATAAATTGGTGTTATAAAATTGTTTTTTAAAAAAGTTAGATTGGAAAGAAGAAAAAAAAGAGAAATTTTTTTTAAAAAAAGTTAGATTGGAAAGAAGAAAAAAAAAGGAGACAAATTAGAAAAGATTAGAAGTGTATTTTATGGAGATATTAAAATATTATGTAAGATAGAAAAATTAGGAAAACAATTAAATTTAAAAATAGATGCCAAATGTACTAATATTATGAGAAGTTTAAAAAATGTACTAATATTTTGTGAAGTTAAAATTTTACTGATCCATAATTTTGAATCAGATGAATAAGCGGTGATTTTAAGTAGATAATAATTTTGGCAAAACAAATTAGATACAAATTTCAATTTAAATACATGTCAAATGTATCAATAGGATAAGAGAAATATCTTTTTTGGAATTAAATTGTAGGCACAAACTTTCAAAACTAAGGATTTTAAATAAATTAAAACAAACATTAATGAAATGAAGGAGGACACATGTCACCAAAAGAGAGTGCCAAATGTCGCAATGGTAGGAAAAGTTAGAAGAAAACCTTCTCATATTATATAAGATATATATATAAGGAGATATATATATAAGGGTTTTCATTAATATTGAAGTACAAATATTAAGAGCGTTAGCAAGTATAATTGCACACGCAATTGGGGCGAGGATCGTGGGCTTCTTCAATGCAACCACCCTTGCCATGTCTCTTGAGTGCACATGCAAAGGCACATTTGTCAAGTTCACATTCTCCCCGTGTTAGGATCTCATCACACCTTTTCTCCAGTGGCTGTCCCTTTGCCATCCCTATCTCCCCTATTACATAAAATCTCAGTTCTTATTATAAAATGGAAGAAAAAAAAAACTATTTTGATGATATATATTTTTTTTTTTACATCAAAAACACCATGTTTTACTAAGCTTGTTCAAATAAGATAACCTCGTGAGCCATCCAAACTCGATCTTGAGAGCTTACATGGGAAAGTGGATAATCTCGAACGATGATAGATGTTTTAAATTCAACGAATCTTGATATCTAATATAATATAGAATCTCGATATCTAATTTTGAATCAAAATTGACGTAATTAACAAACTTTTTTATTGTAGAAAACTAAAATGTTATTCACAATCAATTTATTTGGGATGATAAATACAAACCTAGAACGAGGATGGTGAAAATACATACGGTGACAATGAGTTGCAAGGATTTACTCATGTCCCGATATTGCAAGCAAATTGATGATGCTTTACGAATAAAGGATGATGAAGAACAACTTGTACATATGTTATATATGTATACAAGAAGCTATATTCTTGATACACATTATGATAACTTAGATAGGCATTTTGATCCTATATCTAATTTAAGACATTGTCTTAGAACCATTCGTTATTTTTCCTTTATTGCAAAGCATTCTTTTTCAATCAAACAAAAACAAAAATAGAAGATAATATATCTCGTTTAGAATAAAATAGTGCCGGGCAGACAGTTCTTAGAAAGCAAAGGATTTGTCTTCAATGTTTGGTTTCATTGACCACGAGTTTTCTGGCGTTTAAAGATTCATTGATGCAAGTTTGGTAACCAATGATTTTAATATAACGTGTTATATGATTTGGATATTTTGAGAATTTAGTTAAAGAAATATCAAACTCTGGAAAGTGAAAAGACATTCGGCTACTAATTTGTCATGTCGACTTTAATGACTCAAGTATCATGCATGATAAAAGCAACGCATTACAATATTGGCGCGAAGTAAATAGATACATAACAAACTATTTTTCACTATAATTTTGACATTACAAAAAAAGAAACAGATATATTGAAAACAAAGGCATAAGGAAAAAGAAAAGTAGACCCAAGATAAAGAATTGAAGCAGTGAATATTCCAAAGAACCACCAAACACTTAAATGTGACAGAACTTATATATGAAGTTTGATGGTAATTTATCAAGGGTTTATTCTGACTCCAGATTCGGAACTATAGCCGATGAGAGCTCGATATGCGAAACCCGAACTGCGCCGATAAGCCTCTCTGGCTGTTCTTCCGCTGTATTTGCCTGTAAAACCGAACATGAATTGTATGCATAACAGCAACCTCAGTTACACGAGCAAAACCAAATTTTATGGGTCAGTTTATCGATAAATTACCTGTACAAGGAAAGCCATTTCCACAACCAGAGACGTGATTACGCCAATGACGAGGCCAAGAACTCCATTTGCAACGGTTGACGAACCAATATCTACGTCAATCTACATCAACAAGAGAAAGTATTTTGAGTTATTTTTTGGTTCTATAGGCACTCATAAACTAGATCGACAGGTCTGCTCACTTCTAAGTATGTCGGGCCACGGATGTAGTTGCAGTCCACTGCTTTCCCAAGAAGACAAGGGGTGCTTCCCACGCTTTGCCGTACTATCCATGAGCCCTGGCATAGAATTTAGTTCTACGTGAAATCGACTTCCTATAGAATCTCCATTTACTTGTAGTAGTAATCACCAAGAGATAAACATACCTTAGGAACTAATGGTATAAGCTTTAGCCTACTATTTCGGAATTCATCATCACCATCCACAAACCGTTGCAAGAGGGACCCAGGTACGAGTTCTTTCATCACGAAATAAAACACCATACTGTAGTGAGTTGATCCTGGAACCTATATAAATACCGGTTTTAAATTTATATACATATGACTATGTGGTTTGTAAACAATATTCGGAACTTAATAATAGTTGATGGGTAAAGCTTACTTGAACATTTACGACCATCGAGAATAGACCTTTTTCTGCAGCAACCTGAGCATGTGTATCAAAAGGCTCAATAATCTTTCTAAGTGATTACGATTCATCCACAAGCTAATGAATAGCAGGAGAAGAATGTTGAAGCTTTGAGTGGAAAATTCTCTCCTTTAGGTAACTAAAATTAAGGTGCTTGTGTATCTTACTTGTGCTGCACAGCCTTTGCGTCTAGCAACATGATCTATTCTTTTACTGTCTTTGAACCAATCAACAGCAACGAGATCCATAAGATGCTTCCCAGCAGGTATCTTCCGTATAGTATTAAATGGACAGATTCAAAAGTTAGTTGGATGTAAGAGCCTAACCATTCTATATTAAATTATTAATAAGACGAAAAGTTTACCAACCTTTCTTTTCTCTACACTGAAATTCTTGCCCCGAACTTTGAAGTTGTTCCCGTCAGAAGTCCTCCAGCAGTTACGAGCGTTTTCATTTTCATTGCGCTTTAGGTTACCCGAGAAGCATGACAGATCAATGTTGTGAGCAGGTTCTTCTTCTGAAGTGTCAAATCGCACAAAAAATCATTGCTATTAGATATCCTAATTGGCTCAAATAGCATTTTCACACTTAATGATAGGGTGCTCACCTGGTCTCTTGACATCGGTCTCTGTTTTACTTGTTTCAGGCTGAAATAGTACACAAGAATGACGATTCATTACAAGATGCTGCTTAAGATTTTAAAATGAAAATGCTTGATATTCAAACCTCTTGTTCTGATTCAGCAATCTGAAATTCATCATCATCATCCGAGTCTTCATCCATAAGCACAGAGTTTCTGTTAACAGAATTTGTTTGATCAAGAGAAAAGGCAGACTTATGCAGAGACTTCCCACTCTTAGTCAAGCTCAAGGAAGATGATGCCATATTAACCATGACAGGGATCCGAGTAGGAACACCTCTCTCATCTGTCTGTGAAAACCATTCCCGCAAACCTGTGATGAGAGCAGCACCAAGAATTAAGATGGATGATATTAAGTAGGCAATGAAATTACTTTTCTGCAAGGACCTAAGGAAACCAGTGGAAAGGAAGCATGAAAGCACTTACCAGCAACACTATTCAGCATTTGAAGAAGACAATGTTGTTGAAATGCTGGAAGATAGCCTGCACCCCACCCTTTTAGATCAATTTGTATTAGATGTTGCACTTGTGTTCTAGGCCTCCCATTCCGAGGCTTTAGTGGGGAAATATTATATCCTCCACCTAAGCGAACAAAAACAGCCGAGGTTAGATAGTAGTACATCAAAGGGTAGAATTTTTTTATCAAGCGCTTAACACCAGTTAGTTTTCTAAACGTACTCTCAAGATGAGCCCGAACACATCCAGGTTGTGGACCACAATTCTCATGCTCCCTAGAACGGAACAACACAACTTCACAGAAAGAGCGAGATAAATAACCAACAAGTTTTATAAAACTACCTTTCCAGCAGATTCTAGATGAGTTAAGAGGACAGAAAGATACCATAACTCCCATCATCGTTACGGCGCCAATATCGGACATAACACAGGTCGCGAGGCCACACAATCCTGAACCATTTGATGTAATAATCAGGATAAAATAGAGCTAGTGGAAACAGTAAAACAATATTCAAACTGGAAACAGGAAGATCACAAATGAAACCAATAATAATAACCCTGAACTGTTTTTCTGTCACCAGTCTTATACAGCATCGTATTATGGTCGACAATAAAATAAAGACACCTTTGCATCGAATCTACAGCCCTTGAGGGCAACAAAGTCTATTTCCCTAATGATGTAGTAATAAGGTTTAATCATCAAATTTGTCAGCTTGACTATGTGGACAATATTTTTTCAGGTGCAACCTTACATTGGAAACCAGTCGAGCAGAAGTCTGTGATAGAGCACTGCTGTGTGACCATCGACCTCTTCCACTAAGCTACCATACTGAAAGCTGCAGTCCCACCTGCATCAAACAGGAACACAGATAACTTCAGATATAAACACTAAAATAAAACACTTCTGGAAACATACTTTAAAACTTTGGGCAACCGACATTGTTTCTCAGGGAAAGAAACAGAAAGACATAGACCCGACATTAAAATGCATAAAACTACAAGAAAATACATAATTAAAATTTTCCAAATAATAGTGTCTAACTGCAACAAAATGAAGAGAAAGGAACACTGTACAAGCCATCTCCTACAGTCAGGAAATGAGTCAAAAACAAAAGAAGGTAGAGAAGCACCTACTCATAACGAGTGCCATCCATGCTCATCAGAAGCTCGAATATGTCCTCACATGTTGCCTCCACTACACCAACAGCCTTCATTGCCCTGCTACAGCTCCTTGGCTGCACATGTAGCACTTAAATGATGGTTCTTCTTTATATAAAGTTACTATGTAATCAAAGGGAAATCACGCCATAAAAATGATAAGGTATTCGACATTTCCGTACAAGGTAATCAACTTCAAGAAGCTCTTCAAAAATCCGAAGACCTGCCAAATGTGTGTCAAAACAAAAGCTGATTATGGCTAACTTCTAAAAAGCAATAATCAAATAAATATGTCCCTAAATAAAAGATTAAGAGCCTTGAGCCAATGAAAACTTGAGAAATTCACTCAAAAACAATTAAAAAATGAAAGTAAAAACATTTAAGAGTTCCATTTTAGAATTTGGGCCTATCAATTAATCAGGAAGCGATGGCAATGACGAAACCCATAAAGATAGAAGATTGTATTGATTTTTCATTATAAACCATCATCCGGTTCCTAGAGCAGATAGCTAATGAAGGCACTGGAATCCACATGTTCCAATTATAATCTCATAATTGTTGTAGTTTATTGAGGGAAAATAGTATACTAAATTGCATTTCAGAAATAGCAGCATGTTCTAGAAACCCTGTAAAACCACTAACCATTTTGGCACTGAAGGAGACGCCAGTGTTTTCTGGAAAATGCTTGGTTGTTGGAATTCTGGTTCGCCAACTCTGCATCAAATTCTTTGGTCCAGTCAAGCACAGATTCTGGAGGACCTGCAAGTATTTTTGAGGTTATGATCAGCCAGGATCGCAGTACCAGGTAGAACACAAATAAGAGAATTCGAAAATAACCATTTCCAATAGTTGTCCTCCTCATTAAGCTACGTCGAGAGTCCTCTTCATCCTCTGGCGCACTAAATCTGAAGGAAATTGCAAATATTGTTTTGCATAAGTATATCAATATCACTATATCGAAGTCAAAAGATAAACGACATAGTGACAAACATCAAAAAGAATGATATATGATGGGTACTCTCTAAATGCAGCATTTTGTTAGCCTCTTCTGGCCTTTGTAAATTGTGATAGTCTTAGAATGACTGAGGCAGCCGATTCGGGAAAAATCCAAACACGGATCAGGATTGGTAGTTTACTTCCTATATTTCTTATCTAACAGAATGACATTTTTTCAAGTTTATTTTCTAATCATAAATTGCCGCCACAAACCACTTAATTTGAACAATT